CCGTTTATATTCTAGCCGACTTTTTTAGCCTTCTATTTATAGTACTATCCTATTAATTAACTACGTAAGTATAGCGCTTATAATGCTTTTTCTCTTAAGTAGATTAAAACTAGCTTCGTATTATCGGTAGATATCCTTTTATATTATTTTAACGTCTACCGAGTATCGATATTATATCTATAAAGGAAAGAACGAGAATTATTTTATTAAGGCGTTATTAGGCAAGGAATAAGAAGTAAAAACAATAAAAATAAATATACGTAATTTATTTATCTTCTATCTATACTTTTATTCTCTATTATAGTTTATAATAATAAATATAAAGGGGATTAGCTATAATAATTCCTCTTAGTTCTTCTTAAGTAAGAAATCGTAAGCCGATAGCTTTTAAATATCTAATGTTATTATTATAATAATAAATAAATTAATAACCTCGTATAACTACTTATCTAGGTACGTTAGGCTAATCGTCGTCGTCTCGGCCTTTTCTTTATCTATAAGCTTTATTATTACCTTACTTAACGATATTAAAAGCTTAATTATACTACTTAATCGCTTATAATTTTTAATGTCGTAGATTTTTACCTCGCCTACGAAACTTATAAGAAGGTTCGTATACGATAGCTTTTTATAAACTAAGCTATAGTTAAGGAGAAATTTAAAACCCGTAAGGACCTTACGGAGTATTAACCGGAATTAGGTCTATATAAGCGCTAAAATATCTACCTAATATAGGATAAAACCGAGCTAAGGTTTTATCGGATAAATAAAAAACCGGTAAAGGTATAGAAAAGATATAGGTATGAATTCCGAAATTAAGAAGTAGCTTATATCCGGATACGCGTATATCTCGATATTCTTAACCAGGTTAAAGTAATAAAGTTAACGGATATTCTAGATATATTCCTCCGCGTTACGTCCGAAGATAGTACGGATTATAAAGCTTAAGCTCGCTATATTACGAGAAGTAATAACCCCGAATAAATAACTATATCTCATACGATACCTTCTTTCGTAATAACTTTACGGCGATTCCGTTAATACGGAAATAAAAGTAACGTTATTACTACGGTTCGTATGTTTAACGGAAAATCGGCGATAAATCGACGCTAGTTTAACCTCGGTAAAACCCTTATCCTTATAAGCGTCCTAATTAATTATGCGTTATTACCGGAGCGTTTTACGATAAAGTAACGCAAGCTCGGGAACGTCTAACTCTAGCTTACTATCCGATTAAGCGTCGTCGAAGAAGAAAGTATACCGATTAATAATCGATATTTCGGATTAAAAATAAACGATAATAATTACATAAGTACCTAGCTCGAATCGAGGTAAAATCCTATACTAGTACTTCTTTTTTAACGGAATAAAAAGAAATAAAGATAAATATAAAAATAAACCGCAGTTAAAAATAGCCGCTTTTAGCCTATATTCGGTTTCGGGACCGTAAGACTATCCGCGATCTACGCTTCTCGCGAAAAACTAAAGGAAATTATATAGCTCCTAGTAAAGAAGCTCCCGTAAGGTATACGAAATTTAGGATACGTAACTCGTAATAATATACTTTAATTTAAAAGCTCGGTTATAGTAGCTAAACGCCGAAATATCGTTAAAATTCCGAGGAACTATTAAGATCTCTTTAAACTATTTCCTCTTCGATCTAAAGAAGGAATCGAACATTAAAAAAACTAACCGCTTTATCGAAATCTTTAAGCGAAAAGGATACGATCGTTTAAATAATAACTATACTATCCCCGGAAATATTACTATCGACTTACTTTCCGTATTACTATAATAATCTAACTTAAGCCCGGTTAATTTATATAGCCCCGAATTACCTACCCTTTACCTTCCTACGGATACGTATATTAATTATTTTCATAAAAAGCATCGCGTAAAAGCGCTTCGGCGATCGAAAAGCTTATTACCTTAATAAATAATTAAGCTATACGTAAGTAGGTTATACTACCCCGGACCAGAAGCTAAGTCGGTATTAATTCCCTCTTAAGACCTTTCGCTAGAGGCCATCCGGTTTCTAACCGAGGATTTCGTAAACGAAAGATAATTTTCCGACGGATATATAGTTATAAAGATTTATAATTATCCTTTAAACTCGATCGACGGAAATAAATAATAAACGAAGCTAAATAAAAGCAAACCCGAGATACTAAAGAAATTACTTAAGTACGAATAACTTAAACCTACTCTCGGATATATATTAGAAATCCCGGGCCTACGTTTTAGGCTTTAATTAACTATCTAAAAGAAGATTATAACTAAAAACGTAATAAAGGTACGTCTTATCTTAAAGCTATTTAAAAACGCCTTCCCCCTAGGGATATAAACGTTCGGCTATTAACTCGCGACTTCCTAAGAAGTTATTTATTATCTTAAACGCATATACGATATATAATACTATATAATAGGATCTAAAGCTACGCTTAAATTTATAAACGACGATATAGTTCGGAAACTCGAACTCCGCGCCCTAGGTATATCGCATTATAACGATCGTTATATATCTAATATAATACGAACGAATATAATATTCTAAGGCGTTATAAATAAGCGCGATAAGGAAAGCATCTTATAAAGAGCTCTATAAATCGACTATTTAATCCTAATACTTTATATATTATAATAAGATTTTAAATACCTACGATAATATATTAATATTATAAGGTAGTTAATCTTAGGGAAGAACCGATTCCTTATTACGGTTTAAACGATAGTTTCTAACGTATATAAAGCCGACGCGAGACTAAGTTATACGATTAACTTTCTAAAGAATATAAAGTCCCTTTACCTTATTATTATATAAGACCTCGTAAAGCTCTCGGATAAAAACCCTTTAAAAGAAAATAATAAAAAGAACCTAAAAATCCGTTTATATAATTAGAAAGCCTAGCATTAATTAATACGCCGAGCTTAAAAGTTAAGGTTTAACTCTAACGAAATCTCTCGTTTTTTTCGCCTAAACCCGGACCGAAAAATAACTAGGAAAGCGTTAATAAATACTCGACCGCTATAATACTTCGATTATAAATAAAACTTAAACGCTTTTATAACTACTATAGTTCGATATTTTAATAAAGCGCGGCTTATTATATTTAAAGGCGCCTATTTAATACTTATTACTTCGTATCCGGAAGAGCTAATTAAAAGACGATATAGTCGCTAATACTCGAAAGCTTACTCTAACGACCGGTTATATATTACATAGGATAACTTTATTAAATATATATAAAAAGATATCGATATTTCTTCCTTATTTATCCGGAGGTCCGTCTTTTAAGCGTTTTAAGGCCTATATAATAAATAAAATACCGATTAATACGACGTTTACGGCCGGAGCGGTAATACATAGAATTAGTAAATCTTAGATATAAATAAAGACTTTAATCGAAGTATTAATACGTAAAACGAAAACATAGGTATAAATAAAAAAGATTAAAATCTAAGAGACTCTAATTACGCGGGCGGGATTTCCGCGCTAACTCCTCGTTAAAATTACGAAATAAGAAATTAATTAATACCTCGGTAACGAAACCTAACGTTTAAAGTCTAGCGCTAGCGAAATAAGAAAGAAAAGACTAAAACTATCTCTTAAATAACGTTAGCGATAAATAAAAGCTCGGCCCTAACTACCTTTATTTCGGATTCCCCTCGGCTTAAGCTAAACGATAATAGCTAGTTAAACCCGGTATAGGATAATCGAACGATAAAAATTCTTATCCGAAAAAACGAAGATTAGGATAAATTTCGGAACTACCGGCGTTCTTTTATTATCGAAGGCTTAAGGGAGGCATAGCGTAATAATTCGGGCCCAGGAGAAATATGGTTTTTATTTACTAAAAATAATCGAGGTATTACTTTAAAGGATTACCCTAACTACGAGGATAATATCGTATATTTAAATACCGATATAAGTAGTTTTCTAGCAGAAGAAACGTTATAAATAATATAATAATAATCATCGGCTTTTATTTAATAGCGTCTTAATCTAGTAATCCCATATTATAATAAATTATAAAAAAGCTATAACTAAGATAATAAGTAGTCTTTAAGTCTATCGTAGCGATTAATACTTATACGGAAAGGATTATTCGTATATAGTTTTTTAAAGTAATTTAATATCTCGTATAACTTTTTACCTTACGTATTATAATAATACAGTAAGACATATCCTTTTAATATATTACGTAATACGCTACGATAGGCCTTATACCTATATAAAGTAACTATAGCTCCCGTAAATACGGACGATACTATAATCATTACCTAGCTAGATTACTAACTTTACTATTTTTACTTTAATTTAAGATTCGTTTTTACCATTAGATTCTTCGTTTTCCGATTAATATATCTATCTTAATAACGAGCGCTTAAGTTACTTCGTCGTACCGTAATAACCGAATAAGTAACTTTTACGTTTAATCCCTTTCCTCCCTTTACCTCTTTTACCTTCGGACTAGCAACTATTATATCTCTATAACCGAAGGGTATACCTAAGATACGATAACTATATTAGATTCCTCGTCTCTCGATTAGTAAAGTAATATTAATTTTATTTATCTTAAACCATCGTACGTACTATAGTTACCGATAGAATATACTTTTAAGTAAGCTATCCGGGACTTTAGTATCGCGTACGCTCTACTCCTTTTTAGTATAAAAACTAATTAGTAGCTACTTTAGGTCTAAGGTATATAAAATTAAACTAAATAATACGGATATAATAAGGCTTCGTACGTTACTTTATTTCGTTAACGGTTAAAGCTTAACCGTTTTAAGGACCGTTTCCTTCTATATAAATATTATATAAATATAACTCCTTAGTTACCTAACTAATTACAGACTAAGCCGAGCCTAAGCAAAAGCGGCGATTACGCTAAGCCTAATTTAGTTGCGGCATAGAATGTGGTATAACCTAGAACCTACCTTAAGAATACCTCTACTTATAACTTCCAGCTTGGTAAGGTGCCTACCTCAGGTACCGTGGATACCTTCCTACGGTAACCATTACTACCTCTCCCATTACACGTAATTGCACGTACCTTGCAGATGCTACGGGTACCGGCCGACCTTGTACCTATCTCAGACGCCTACCCTACCTCTCTACCTGTAGTAGGTACCTACCTAGATACCCGGGGCGTGGACTCGAAACCCATGCCGCTTATCCACATTCCTCCGAATCGGCCAACCTACCTAGACTCATACATTCCCGCCCGTCTCGAGAGTAGGGGCGTGTCCATAGACCAGGAAACACACGGGACGGACTATGCCACATCTTGCATCCTGACATCCTTACTACCTCCTACCCGTCTGTTATGGCGAGAGATACGCAGCAATGCCGTTCCACCGTCGTGTCAGGTCGGAGCCGTAACCAAGGCTGGGTCTGGTCCCTGTCCGATCCGAGATAAGAAAACAAGAAAGACGCGCCTTCGGTACCTACCTACTCCACGTGGGGTCGTCACGTAGGTAGTCGAGAGACCTGCACGGTAACGAATGGCCGAAGAGGTGCGACGAGCAGCTGGAAAATGTTCTACTCTTGATTATAATAGCGACTTGCGTCCCCAGACGGCTCTACCATCCGTAAATCTAGTACTGTGTAATAGGTAATCGAATATCAGTTCCGCAATGGCCATTCCGCCACCTCTTCCCGGATTCGGACCTCGTTCCTGACCCATATCACGTCGACATTCCGGTTCGCGTACTCCGATATGATATCGTCCACGCTGTCGTATCGAGTCTCGGTGTAAGCCGGCGGCGGCCTCGACACGTTAGAGTCCGTTCGCGCGTGAGAGAACCCGGAGTCGCGCACCGGGTCGGGAGGGGGGCTGGGCGCTTTCTGGTCGCACATCACGAATCGGGGCAGCTGGCTGGCGTTGTGGCTTCGGCCCTGATTCGAATACGCGCTCGTCAACCCTCTCGTTCGGAGGTATAAAGGTCTTAACGTAGGGATGCCGATGCACACCATGGCTACGGCGATTTCCGCGCCGGCCCAGGCAAAATAGGGCACGAAATTCACTAGGTCGCCAGTTAACCCGTTGGCCCCAAGACTAGGTATGAAAGTCGACCGATTCCGCTTACGTGTGTAGTTTAAAACGTCGAGCCGCGACAGGACCACGGTCCTCGTGATTCCGCAGGCCCCGGCGCTGGAGGGTAGAGTCAGTAACACCCGTAATCCTAATGGAAACAGCTTTGGGGAGGGGGGAGGGGGGAGGAAAGAGATGGCTATCGTGTCTCACATCACTCCTAGGCTCATCCCGCCGGCCAGCATAATCTTCTCCCGTTGAGACATGGGAAGCGACCGGATGAACAACCAAGGGAAGATGGCGAAGAAAAAGTCGCATATGCTCGACCACACTATAACGACACCCCCTATTAGCATTCGGCCAGCTTGTCAACGCCCGAGCGGCGGAGCGGGAGGGCAGCAATAATTACCGCCGAGTCCAACACTCAAGGGCTGGATCTGTATGTTCCACTTGCCCGGCGTCCGCAACGGATCCCAACTGGCCCTGATCGGTGACGTCTGATTCCATAGCATGATAGTGAGCGCGATAGACGTAGCGACCGTGACGATGACGGCCGCCCAGAGCGCGATCTTGTGCCACCTGGTCTGAACGACGCGGAGGAGGAAGAGCCCCATCGACAGTTTCGCCATGGCGTTTCCCGTTATCGCAAAGCTATTCGCCACGTACGTCCAGAAGATGGCCTTGGAGGCGTCGTCGATGCCGAGTCGCCAGAAGCTCTGGCCGAGCCCGTAATGGATCGAGACTTGTATGAAGACGGCGAACAAGACGAAGAAGACCTGGCCAGGTGAGGGAACAAGTCAGCTGGGAAAATAACTGCATGTAAGCCTGGGCAGGTACACAACCCGTCAACTGGTGCAAATAATCTTACGTACGCCCGTCCATGCATACATGTGGTCCTCGGCGCCGACGAACTTGACGATCCGGATGCGGGTATACAGCCGGAGGACGACCAGGGCGGTCGAGAGGGCCGCCATCGCCCACGTCGCGCAGGCAAGTTGTAGTCCCGGGTGCATCGCGAGAGCACCATGTAGCGGCAGCAGGACATCGGAACGGTGAAGCGTGTAAAAGAAGAAAAGGGAGGGGGCGTCGCGGCGTGTTGGGGAGGGGGAGGGGGGGTTCGCTATTTTGTAAACGAGGAGCCCCAGCTGACTCCCGGGGACCGGACCTGGGCTCGCCAGGAACCGGCCCTACATACCTTACAATCCCATGCACCCAACATGGGGAGTGGCACGGTGACGGCACGACGAATGGCGGGCCAGACTGTGATGGATGCAGGGCGCGGGACCCAATGGCATCGTCGTGCCATAGTCTGGACAACCCTGCCGTCCACGCGTGACAGTACCGAGCGCTTCCAGCAAATAAGCAGATGGAGGAGTCGACGAAGAGGCGAGCCAGCCTGCATCGCCGGTCTTGTTCTCGCCATTGGCTGTGAATAGCAACCCCCTGCGCCCTCCCTTCGTGTTTACCGGATTGGTTAGGAAATCGACGCCGCGAGCCAATCAGCGGCTTAGCCGGTGTTAGTTGTCGACCCCCGTCACCAACAGGGCGTCGCCCACGATCTCCCATGGGTTGAGGCGGACGAGAAGCGGACAAGGATTAAGCGCCCGCCGTACGGCCACTCGGCGCAAAAAAGGCTCTCCTGGCGTGCGGAGTGGATCTTGCGTCAATCGATATCGGAGCCAAGATCGAAGCTATTCCTACACCGGGTCTTCCGCACCGGGCGTGACTCCGGATGCGGGCACAGCGAGCCAGGATGAGACGGAGGGGTGGGTATAGGTAGATAAAAGGAGAAGAGAAGATGATCCCTACCCCTCGCCATCGCGAGTTCGAGCTGTAATACCTCTTTGAAATGTGTCCATATCGAGTTGGCAGTCTCGGCGCGGAAAGCAACCAATTAGGGGGGTCCACTGCTGTCTATTGACATTACAATCCAAAGTGTTGCGTGTTGCAAGAGAAAGAAGACACCCCATAACATCGCTTGTCCCGGGGCTTGTAACTCCCGATAAACTGGGCGATATATCGATAAATACAACTACGTTCCGGGGAGGAGATTCTCGGGTGGGAGGATACTATCGCGGGGAAATATGTAGGTATTCTAGGGGCGGAGTGTCCTATCGTCAATGGTCGACAGGTCGCGGCTCGGGTTAGTACCTACAAGGGGACGCGGACGGATAGATAAACACGCTGCGATGTCTAGAGGAAATTAATTCCGACGCCGATTTGCAGGCCCTTCCTGGTATCCTCGCCTCGCCTCATCACAAGGGGTAGGCTGAAGTTGAGCTCGAACCTCGCCATCGGGTGTGCGTAGACAAGCCCCACGCCGGCGGCGATGCTGGGCAGTCCCGTGCCGAGGTCCCTCGTTGCGGCGATCACGCTATCCCGCACCGTGCCGGCGCGGAGGCCCTGACCGGGACCGGCATCGCCGCCCTTTGTCCTGTTCCTCAACGCCACTAGCCTACCGCCGTTGGCGAAGAGTTGGAACCGCAAGGGGGACTCGGGCCCTACCCGCGGCAGGGGGATCAGCACGTTCACGCTTCCGGCGGCGAACACGTCGCCACCTAGGGAGTCGCCGCCGTCTCTGGGGCCAAGACCGCCCGACGAGAAGCCGCGCACGTCGGTAGGTCCTCCGAGGGTGAATCGATCGTTGATCCGGCTGGGTGACGCGCCACTGAGGCCGTACGAGAGCGGAAGAGGGTAGAGCAGACCGGCCCTGAGGCCACCGCCGATGGAGACGCCAGAGGGCCCCCGGATTCCGGGAAGGGGAACCGGTAACGCGCCGGCAAGCTCCACCTCGCTCTTGGAGAAGCCTACATCTCCGCCTAGAGGGCCCCACCCGGCGAGCTCGGTGGCCGTCTTGAGAAAGTACCCACTCTGGGGCAGAAAGGGGTTATCTCTCCGCTCGCGTTGGAAGGTGTACGAGACGGCGCTCTTGGTGGAGTCTCCGGCGTCTCGCCTCACGGCGGGGCTGGCCTCGTCTCCGAGGCCGGTCACCTGTCTCCAGGTGCCGGAGTAGCTAATTTGGTGGCGATCGCCATCGTCCTTCAGCCATTCCAACTTGGTGCTTCCACCCTTGAGGACCTCGTCGTGACTTGCCCACGGCTTTTGGGTGTTGCTCGCCAGCCCCTGGATGCCAAGTCGCAAGTCGGGATTGCTCTTCAGCGGGGTGCTGAATTCGGCACGATAGGCCGAGCGCGTCCTCGTGCCGGCCGAGGCATTGAACGACAGGGACTCGGCGCCGCCAAAGACGTTGCGCCAGAACAAATAGCCGTAGGCGGAGCCTTCGGTGTTGCCCATATCGGTGCCGGTCTTGATGAGGAAGCGAGGCCTTTCGCGCACGCGGAGGGAGACATCGAGATCGGTGGGCGAGGAGGAGGGGTCGAGATGGGGCGGGCGGGACAGATGGAAGACGATCTGGGGCTGGAAGATGTCTTTAGGCAGTTAGCGATAGCAACTTGTGCCACCATACATATGCGAGAGTGGTCGGGCGGCGATATGGAAGTGAGCGGTACCGAACTTGTGCAGCCTCTCGACGGCGCTGCCGACCTGCTCCAGCATGTCGGCCAGGGTGTAGTCGGCATTTCGGCTGTCTTGGACGAGCGGCTCGAACAAGGGATCGAGGAAGGATTTGCGCGTATGTTTCGCGCCGTGGATGTAGATGGAAGAGAGGGTGACGGGGAGGGTTTTGTTTTGCGATAGCTGCCCCCCGAGGTTAGCTGGCTGGGGGGGGGGGGGAGGGTGTCGGAAGAGGGCGAAGGGTATTTACCAGGTCGATCGTCCTCTGCTCCGACCTTACGTCGTCGATACGGTGGTGGTTTGGCGACGCCCTGTCGGGATCGAAGGTGACCTGGACGGTCTGGCAGGTGCGAATGCACCCCTGTCAGCTACGGTGTCGAAATTGGAGGGGGGGGATATCCTTGGCTTACTGCGTCGTCCTCGCCGTCGAGGGCATTGCGGGCCATGGCGAGCGGCAGATGCGGATTCGGAGTACGGCGACCGGGCTGGCGCTTTCTCGTCGGGAACTGAGGTATTTATATATTTTTTCTTGTTGTTTTTGTCCTTCCCTTCAAGGGTTATTTCAGTTCATCTTGGTCTGGTGTTCCTGTGCCTGGCACGGAGGTGAGGCCGCGAGGATGGCGGTAGCGGCAAGCAGGAGGAAGAGGAGAAGGAGTAACAGCGGTGATAGCGGTGATGGTGACCTTTTTTTTTTCAGCAGGTCGTAACGGGTCGGCCTTGGGAAGCGGCCGGCTTGTTAATCGGCCCCGCCACCGGGTAGGTAGGCAATTACCTATTTTTACGGACAATAATGGATCGCTGGTGGCGGCACGGTGGCGGCGAGGGAGGGAGGGAGACGTGTGGCTTGGATTAGTGGCGCAGCAACACCTATCTCTAGTCAGGGTTGCAAAAAAAAGTTTTTAAGTTAAGTTTCATTGAAACTTAACTTAACTTAACTTAAAAAAAACTTAACTTAACTTAAAAACTTAAACTTTTTTTTTCAACCCTGTCTCTAGTAATGCACGATGCACCTGTCTCCAAGATGGACCCAAGGTATTAGATACCTACCTAGGTACCTCTACTGAGTGTGAACCTGTCCTCCTGTTCTACTCTACAGAGGTACCTCTCACGGGTGTCTGTACTTTACGCAGGGCCGTCTGCTGCACCCCATTTGGCCGGTGGACCGCCAGGTGCGATGGTCCCGATCCTGTTTTCGGTGACGCAATGACCCGGCCATCAAATAATAGGCTGCGTTCCGGGCCCCGTCCGCTAAAGCGTTCTACATACCTAGGTACCTAAGGTACAGACAGGTCAGACAGGGCACGTGACGGCTTACCCCATGATGGAGATGAAATGGAAGACAATCATGTACCGCAAGTACCGGATGTACCGGATGTACTCGCTACCTGCAGCAGGTATTACACGGGCATCCATTCCATGCGCCCCCAAGCCCGCACCTCCAATACCTCTAATATGCCTACGCTCCGATGTACCCTCGACGTCTGCCCTCTGGCCCTCTCTGCTGTTCCTAAACATGGACACCTACACGTACAGTACCGTCTGCACATGTATAGAGTAGAAGTACGTAGAGGTACCTAACGCAGGGGTTACCTTGGGTAACGTTAGGCGTGTAATTCTCTCCCATCCTCTCTTACAGGTCTCTAAGCTTCTTTCCTCTGACTGGGCTCGGGCTAGGTCTCCGGTGGGTAAGTGGACTTGTAGTTGTCTTTCCCACACATACTCTCTCTCTCCTCTCAACTTCCCTGTCCCCTCTTCCTCCCTCCCTCTCTCTCTATCTCGTTGTCCTCAGCATCATCAGCCTCATCCCCAAATTCACCCACCCCTGTCTAATAATTTGTACGTCTCCCATATCTGCCTCCTCCTCTCCCGGTTCTCCCAACTCGTCTCGTCTCTCCTCGTCTCTCCCCCTCCCACCGTCGTCGCCTCAATCTTCACAATTATTATCCGCCTCTGTGCACAATTTCTCTGCAGCCAACCTGCGCTTCCGCCTCTCTCTTACTCTCGTTCTTCCTCCATCCTCTCTCTCTGGCCGATTCCGCGCATTCGGTTCCTTTGTTTATTTGTTCCTTCGTCCGGCTGCACCGACGGGAGGCAGACTGAGTGACTGCTGCGACACATTATTTCTCAGACGGCCTCGATATCGCCTCGCACCAACACCAGCGACTATGGCCAGTAAGCAGGCGAGCAAGCGTGTACGATCTTCCCACTCTTCCCCCACCCCCTCCTAGTCTTCCGACTGGCTATTCTGCGGTCTTGATCTAACCTGCACCGTCTCTTGCTTGCAGTTGGCGCGCGAATACAAGACCATATCAGAGAACCCTCCGCCGTACATACAAGCCCATCCGTCCGAGTCCAACATCCTCGAGTATGTCCCCGTAACCCTGCGTTCTCACTCCCTTCTTCTAACCGATGCAGGTGGCACTACATTATCACCGGCCCCGAGGACACTCCTTACTATGGCGGCCAGTATTGGGGGACGCTGATCTTCCCCCCCAACTACCCCTTCGCGCCGCCTGCTATCCGCATGCACACGCCGTCGGGCCGGTTCCAACCCTCGACCCGCCTCTGCCTCTCCATCTCCGACTTCCATCCGCGATCCTTCAACCCAGCGTGGGAGGTGTCCACCATCCTGATTGGCCTGCTGTCCTTCATGACCTCGGAAGAGATGACGACGGGCTCGGTGTCAGCCACGACGCACGAGCGTAAGATGTTCGCTGCGCGATCGAAATGGTGGAACTCGACCGGCGGTGGCTCCCATGCCAAGAACCCAGCACTCAAGGGGAACGTGAAAGCCGGAGATGGGGGCGCCAAATTCAGATCCGAGTGGCCCGAGCTCGACAAGGAGAACTGGCGGTGGATCACGGAGAATAACATCGATGTGGTTACGGGTGCCAGGAATGGCGGTGCATCATGCGGCCCGCAGCTGGGTATCGCTGGTGGGAGCGGTGGCCAGACCCAGGCCGTCGTCGACGCCGTCGTGCAGCGCAGAGATGCTGGCACCGGTTGGCTCAGCCGCAACAAGCTCCTAGTCTTTGGGGGCATCATCTTTGTCTACGTGCTGATAGCTCGTATCCTGGGAGAGGGCACCTCCTAGGTGACTCATCCTCATTCCAGGACGGGGCCCCCGTTGTCCCCACCAAAGTGTGTACATAGACGCCCCTGAGCACGCACAGCCGCTTGCGTGGCGCTATCTGCTTGCCGAAGTGTTGTCGGCTCTAGGCTGAGATGGAACGTCTCAGTCCGATTAGGTACCTACGTGGCATCAGCTAGAGTAGGCAAGGAATTGCCGAATGAGCCCTGTCCGAGGGGTCAAGCCAGGGGCAGGCGTTTGGGACGATGGGTAAAGGGTTGATTTTGGCTTCGGATGCTTAGCAATGCTTTCATGTACTATAGGCGACCGTTAGATAGGGCAATATTTGCTCCAAACGAGCCACAAGAAGTAAAAAAAAAAAGAGACGAAAAAGGAAAGCAGCCTAACACTACGTATTGAGGCTATGCTGACCGTCCTGTCTGCGGTTTCGACGTTACTCAATCCTGTCATCCACCTCCCCCCCCCCCCCCTTTCTGTCCCTCTACATGCCCACCTCCGTTCGGGGCCTGTGCCGGGGGCAGAATTCCACGTAATGGATGAGACCGTGGGTATAACACTCGTCTTCTATCGGTCCAGGATCGGGGGCAGGGCCGAAAGGTGACCTAAGCATGTGGACCTTCTAGCTGGCGGTGAATATCTGTCGCCAGCGGTGAACGAAGATAATGTACCTAGCCTCCTCCATCATGAAAAGGCTATATCGTATATCCATTCCATACGTATATACATACGCACATACGTGCACACTACATACAATATCCCTCTGTATGGGTTTATCTCACGGTATCCCGTACGGCAGCTGTACCCGGGGTGGGATCCAAGTTCCAGCTCTCTCCTTATTGTCCATCATCCACTCATCCATCGACTTGGGCCTCTATACCTAGGCTGATCCACCTATATAGCTGCTATATAGGCCAGGTAAGCACAGAATAGAGACGCGTTTTCTTTGGCTCGGGTCTCAGACGCCATGACCAATATTTCGAGGCCCGCGACGGCGCAATAATGTCAAGGACAGCTATAGCAGCCCCCTGCTTTCTTCGCCCACAGGGTTGATCCAGCCGCTGCCTCTGCACGCGTCGAACTAACCCCCTTATCACATACATACGAGAGGAGAGAGGAGCAGAGAGAGAGAGAGAGAGAGAGAGAGAGAAGGAGGAGGAGAAGAAGAAGGGAAAAAAGGAAGAGAAACCAGTCCGAGTGAGAGGGCCGAGCCCACTCCCTCGGTCAATATGTGACCTGCAGCGGTGGCGTACGAGAACGACCCTCTTTCTCTCTCTCTCGGGCCCCGGGGAACGACGGCTAGCTGATGCCTGCGCCGCCGGAGTCGCTGCCGCCGTCGGGAGCGAATCGAATAACGCGCCCGGTCCTATATACGCTCGTATAGACCCTATACCTACCTACCTACCTGCATATTTGGGTCCGCAGGCGGTGGAGCCTGGAGACGAGGAGGTCCACAAGGCCGGGTCGGTTGTCTCTACATACCTTGTATTTGTGTCTGTGTCTGTATACGTGGGTAGGTAGGCACTTCTTCGCGCAGGTGAGCTAGGTAACGGGTCCTTTTCGCCAGCGAGGGGAGAGCTCGGCCCCAGATAGGTAGGTAAATGGGCAAAATACCTGCCCCTCGCGACTGGGGCTCACCTGCTCTCGCCGTCTGCCGGGGGGGGCCACAGAGGCCGAGCAAGCTGCAATACCCATACTCATCGTCGTACATGAGGCACGCGTATCCGGTCTCGCCGGGCTGTCGGGACAGCCGTAAACATCTCCATGCAGGTAGTATGTAGGGATGCCTACTTCGTGTGATTTACTAGCAATAGGATCTAGTTCCGCCGCCGCCGGTCCCCCACGGCTGTTCCGGCTCTTCGTACGGTGAGAGGTTGAGCGTAGGTGTGCATCGTGTGTATACCTACCTACAGCAATCGAGAAGGGTTAGAGGGAGGTCGCCACACCCCCTTTTCTGAGAGAGATAGAGAGATCTGTCTTCACCCAACGACGACGGCGTCTACCGTGCTTCGGCTGTGCCAGGCAGCCTGCGCTCGACAGCCGACTTGTGGGAGCATTGGGGCAAGATAGGTATGTAGTCGCGACGCTATATTCCATGGGTAGGTACCCAAGTAAGGCATTATTAGGTACATCTTGCGAGGATGCACAGCAGACGTGGCTCGAGCACACACACCAAGATATTGCGAGCGACGAACTCGTAGGCCGAAAAGCAAGAGGCAGATATCTATTCCCGAGCAATCCTAGCCACCATCTTGGCCCCTCGAGGCCGGAAATCCGACCCCCTTAGATACCGAGAGAAATGAGCGGGGAGACACGCAGATAGGTACGGGCAAACCAAGCAAGACCTCTCCGCAAAGACGAAAGCGAGGACGGGCGTTGAACTCGCACTTCTGCTGTACATATGGACGCGAGTCGGCGACGTGTATATACGTTCGGGTATCTCCATCGCTGGTCCTCATCACTGTCCTGCGCAGCTCACTTATCGAACATATAAGTCCAACGGAATCCTGTCGTTTATTCAAGCATCGGCGGCATTACTGTGTCAAATACGTCCGAACTCTCGGTGGAGCGGTGAACTATGGGTGACCTGAGTAAAGACATCACGGTTCTCATGGTAAGCTATCCCTGTTGATATCCGGCGCAGTCGTGTCTGTAACCCACGGAACGATATAGTCCTCTCTTCTCTCGGCATCTACATTATTGGCGTTGTATCTACCCATCGTACCCAATGGTGCTTAGACATGTAGGCCGTCTTTGTCTATTCGATCTTCTATATACGAGCGATATGCCTGCCCATATCATCCATCATCTTCTCGGGTCGCAGTGGGAACCCGCATGTTAAAGTAGATTGCATCGTGGTAAGGAGTGAATGTAGTTAATATTTGCCCAACTACATGTTGGCGTGTGATAGTCATCTGCCTCCCCCAACCCCTGTAAGCTACGAGCCGTCACTTCGTCCATATATAATGAGTGTGTATCCCGAAGCCAAGTCTCTGTCGTAAGTGAGTGTGTGCCCGACTGTGCCTAGAACACTTGCCCCCTTTGCCATCGGCGTCGAGCGAGAAAGAATCAGGGCATGTAATTGACGGACAAGAAAGTAAAATCCACCGCCTCAACGCCTACTATCCCCACTGGATCCATTGCGGCTGTTCGCACCTGAAATCCGAATTCATTCCACGTAGCGAACGATCATGTCCTACAGGCCCGCGCGAGAACCCCGACGAATCGGGATAGGTGGTACCTAGGCCTCCCGGGCGGTAGTTTGGCGACTGGCGGTGATGCCCCTCCCAAACCGCCGCTTTCCGGCCTTCCAGATCTCTACTAACGCGATATACACCACAACACAGATGAAAACGATAGCCCATTCGACGCCAATCGATTGGTGCTTGAATACTATCCTGTTGATGACAGGTAGGTATACTACTGGGAATGTGATCAGGAACCCTGCAACGACGGCTCCAAAGAGGAACCTGTTCTTCCAGACCGTCTTGAAGACCGAAAAGGGTCCGTGGAACGTTTCCGGGTACATGTTGAATAGGGAGCGAGTAAAGTGCTTGACTTCCCAGGCGGTGAATAGGAGTAGGAAGCTGAGGGTGGCGTATGTCGTCGCGCGGGCGCGGAAGACGTTGTCGCAAGATGAGCTGTACTCAGCATTACAATCATGGCCGAGCGTGTTATACTCCAGCGTTGGCGAATAAAGATTGTACATAGGCGTATAGATGACCGAGGTAAAGGAGGCAATGCAGAGCGAACCCATGAAGAACCCGTATGCCATCTTGTCGAGAATAATCTCCTTGGTAAAGACGCCGATGCGCAGGTCATGGGGTGGCCGCAGCATGATATCTGGCTGAGCCTCCTCGAGACCGAGACCGAGGGCGAGGAAGGACGACGTGATCAAATTCGCCCATAGGATCTCGATGGGCGAGAGCGGGAAAATTGATTTGCCCTCCATGTCTTTGAACGCGAGGCCGATGAGGAGAAGTAGCACCTGTGCAATGTTGGAAATCAGGAGGTGAAGCAGGAACTATAGCATCTCATTAGCAAGATCTCGGGATGTATATTGGAGGTACATCTTATTTCCACCTTTTGAATGTTGTCGAATAGACGTCTGCCTTCTTCGACGGCGGTGACGATGGAAGCAAAGTTATCGTCAGTGAGCACCATGTCCGCAGCCTCCTTGGCTACATCGCTGCCGTTCAGACCCATTGCGATACCCACATCTGCCTTTTTCAGAGCAGGTGAGTCGTTGACTCCATCGCCCGTCATCACGCAGAACGCGCCGCGACGGTGCATGGCTTCAACCATGCGCACTTTCGTCGAAGGGCTACACCGGGCAAGCACTAGCGGGAGCTTCTCCAACTGGTCAATCTGGGGATCGCTGAGGGCATCGAAAGCGGCAGCGGGCATAACGGCATTCGCTGCATCCGCAGCGGTAAGATCATCACCGAGAATTCCCACCTCGCGGGCAATCGCAGTAGCGGTCTTAATATGATCACCAGTAAGCATGTGGACCGAGATACCAGCGATCTTGCACCTCCTGACTGCATCGGCTGTTTCGACGCGGGGAGGGTCGTAAAGGCCGGCAAGACCTAGAGGGGTGAGGCCGCTTTCGGCAGCCTCGCGCTTCTCCCTAAGGTCCGCACTGTTGGTCGCCGTCTTATGAGCAATGCAGAGCACCCGTAGGCCTTCGGCGGCGAGCGATTCAGCTTTCGCGGTAAACTCGGCCTTGACGTCGTCAGTTGCATTGAGTAGCGGTAGCACAACCTCCAATGCTCCCTTGGTATAGACCTCAACCGAGTCGGAGCCGGGCGACGAGTAGACCACAGTCATACGCTTGCAAGACGAGTCGAATGGGTGTTCTGCGTATAGATTCACTTCTTTTGTCTGGGCGACGACAGATTTGCTGAGACCGAATCGCATCGCAAAGACTTGAAGCGCGATCTCGGTGGGCTCACCGACGGCGGTCCAATTTGAAATGGCTGCAGTCGAAGTAGTCGAAGTTTCGGCAGTGTCATCTGTCGGCGCGGACTTTCCATCCGTTACCGTAGCGTTGTTGCATAGAGAAAGACATTCGATGAATTTCCTCGCACCGAGGGGCAACTGACTGGTGGACTCCAACTCAGATTTGGAGTCTGACGTCTGGCAGTTCCAGATAACCGCGCCGCTGGAGGGGTCAAAAGGGTGAGTAGAGCCCTCAACGGTGGCCGTAGACCCATCGCGAAGCCATACCCTCCGGGCGATCATTTTACCCTGGGTTAGCGTGCCCGTCTTATCGGAGCAGATGTTGGTAACTCCTCCGACGGCTTCCAAGGCGGATAGCTTTCGCACGATCACGTTGCCCTTCGCCATCGCCTTCGTCCCAACAGCCATACTAATAGTCAGGACGGCTATGAGGGATTCGGGAATGACAGCGACGCCGACGCAGATGCCGTAGATGAGGACCTCGTCGTCGACGTTCCAAAGGCTGGCCGAAAATACGATGATGGCAAGCAGTATGGCGAGCGCAAAAAGGAGAAGAGCAAACTTGCTAAGCTGGACTTGGAGCGGTGTGCCGTCCAACCCAAGAATGCTGCGGGTGCTCGCTTTCACGCGCCCCCAGTACGCATGCAATCTCGACGTGTTGTGGCCCGGGTCAGGATTTGCTCGCAGTAACTGAGCGATTTTGCCGACTTCGGTGGCCATACCCGTGGCGACAACGATACCCTTCCCTCGGCCACGGGTGACGACGCTAGCGGAATATAGCATGTTGATACGATCGCCGAGGGGAATGTCGGCATCGTGCAAAACGACTTCCGGGTGCTTGCTGATGGGAAGTGATTCTCCGGTGAGGAGTGCTTCGTCGGTAGACAGGTTCAAGCCGTCGACAAGACGGAGATCCGCTGGCACAATGTCGCCGACGTTTAGGAGGACGATGTCGCCCTTGACAAGCGACTCGGCCTTCACGGTGATGGACTGCTCGGAGCGGACAACCTTGCATGTGGGTGCGGAGAGTGCGTAGAGAGACTGAATGGTCTGCTCGGCGCGATAATCCTGTACGAGTCTGGGAGGCAAGGCATTAGCATGACGAGGCACAAACAATCGGGCATCTCTTCCTCCTGTTTTTATGGCATATGGGTATTTTTATAGCACCCTGCGAGGCACGTGGATTGGAACGCACCCTACGACGATGTTGAGCGCGATGACAGCGGCGATAACGCCGCCCTCGATGAAGTCATTGATGGCGAAGGAGAGGGCCATGACGAGGATGAGGACAATGGTTAAGCTGTTGGACACCTGTCTCAAGAGAATCTTCCACACGGATAACCCTTGAGCTCCCTCCACTCTGTTCGGCCCATCCTGTTCCAGGCGATGAGCAGCCTCACTGCCGGCGAGGCCATTGCGGATGTCGGTCTCGAGGAGCTTCTCTAGAGTCCCAGCCGATAGCGTGTGAGGCTCGGCGCCGTCCTCACCTTCGACGTAAGAGGAGGCTCCCTTCTCGTCGGCGGGCGATTTCGAACGGTCCACTACGCTCGCAGTGGTTGTTGTTGTGATGTCCTGGGTTTTGTGGCCAGGAGGAGTATTCGACGCGGCATCGGTATAGCCACATATAGGAGGTTCAGTCGACTCCTCGACAGTAATTTGGTCTTCTATACCCATTCACGTGTTGCTTAGCAGCTAGGAAGCTCGATGGTGTTGGACGGTAGGATCGAGGGGAGGGGGGGGGGGAAGACCCAGAAAGGCCGGGGCCAGAGGAGAGATCGTGGGGTGACGTGATAGATATACCACGATGGACGATACGGACAATACGACATTGGTACGGGCGGAGGCGTGTCTAGAGAGCCACGGCTCTCGTCGAACGCCCTACCTAGGATCAACCGTCATGTGGCCTGGCGCCCATACTACGCCAAGGGCAGACCACGACGTAAGTGAGGCGAATCGGGCCAGGTATCGGGATCCGGGGCGCTCATTGGATTACGCGCCCCCGTGCCATGGGAGAGGGAGAGAGAGCATGCTATTGCACAGGGAGAGGCAACAGGGAATAGCGGACAAAGCAAAATGAGGATTGGATGCCAAGCAGGGCGGAGTAATAGTAGTTGAGGAGACTACTTAGGTAGGTAGGCGAACGTATACATTGCTGGTATCCATACGTGGACGTGTGAGCTCGACGACTCGACCCATTCCGTACAAGTCGGTGGGATGTAGCGGGCAGCGGTGCTGGGAAGGGGAGCCGGGGTGCGGTCTCTCGATAAGACGCCGTCGTGGGCGGACATATTCGAGGTAGTATAGGATAAATGGAAAGGAGGGATGGAATTGGGCGAGAGCGGCGGAGGGAGAAGATGGGACGGCGCGGGACGGCGTGGGATAGCATGGGCTCGGGCGTATCACTACTACCATGGATACCTGTTCGGTAGTACTCATACTGTCACTACACCACCTCTACTGGCCCTGGTACTGCCTGTAGTAATAGGTATGTGTAGGTATCCAGGTCCCTATCCTCGGTAAGCGGGTACACAGCCCGCGGTAAGGAGGCCTACGAATGTGTTGTACGTAGGATATGTACCTACGTAGCAGGAGGTCGGTATCCGCTCATAGATAGGTACCTAGACCTAGAACCTATAAGGGCGCAGATGGAAGCGTCTTGGAAGCCTTCTCCACCTTACCCAGCTTCCTTCCTCTGGTACGACTTCCCATTGCACAGGCTCGCAGCTTCTCTCGCTCGGCATGTGCCTGCCATGCAGATAGGATGAGGCGACGCTTTCCTTGTTACGGAGGCGCCAAGACGCCACAAGAACTGTACATACGTAACTCACTACCTTAGGTAGGTACCTACGGTAGATTGCGTGTGTTATACCTCTGTCAGAGGTACCCTGCAAGCGTGTACGTATACATACGTGGGTGAGCAGCGGTGCCATCCAGGGGGCCTCGCGGGAGAGGGAATACCTACCGACCAAGTATTGCCAACTACCCCTATGTGAACAAGGTGCGACGGGACGGTGCCGTAAAGCCGAGCGGTCAGGGGGCCAGCTTCCCAACCGGTCCAACTCGCACAATACCCGTTCGCGACCTGCCAGGTAACTCCGGGTGCGCACACAGCGACCGAATCTACTCATACTGAGTACCTAGTACGCGGGCAGCCACCTACGTATGTGTACCTATGTAGATACCTGCCTCCTAAAGCCGGACGGGAGGCGAGCATAGGTACCTACTACATATTCATGTAGAGGTAGGTAGGTACCTGACCTAATTGCTCTCTTGTACCTATGCGTGATAGTATTATACCTCTCTTCGAATTGTCAAACGGAAGGCCGACCGAATGGCGCGACGCCCTGCTAACTGCGTACACCGGCGCTGCCACACCTGTCCGTCCCATCCCCGCCCCGTTCCCATTCCCCCTCCCTACTGCCGTCCCCGATACGGAGCACTAACAGGCGGGTAAGCAGCCCCCGAACCAACCCAGTCCCTGTTTTTCGCTGAGAAATAAACGCCTTACCACATATACCACGTAGGATAGGATATGTGCTGCACAGTGTGTAGGAACACATAACAGCCGGTGGCTAGCGTAATATTCACCATGTTGATGTGATCGCCCGCCCCCGTCACGAATCACGAGGAGAGCGAGTTTCAGGGGATTTCGCAGCCGACGGCCTAGTTCCGCACCATCCGAGCCGTGTTACGCAACAGACTTCTCGGCCGCATGTTCTCCACTAAACACCGGTTGGGGAAGGAAGTAAGAGGAGGGAGGGGGTTTGCGAGGAGGTGCTGTCGTTAGGCAGCATGACGAACTCTTGCCTACCAGAGAACGCTCCGTTTGCACTCCGGTCCGGCCTCTCTCTCCCTTCCTCTCTCCCCCCTCTCTCTTCTTTCCCCCCTCTCTCTGTCTCGTTCCCTCTCCTCCACAATATTCGCCGAGATGTATGAATCGGCGACGGCGACGGCGGCGACGGCACCTAGGAGAATCGCCATCCCCGCCCGGCCTAACCACGAACGCGGAAACGGAAACGGATAAACGGCCGCTCGAGAGTCTTCCCAAGCACTTGGCGGCAACACGTGTATACTGCGTCGTGCGCACGCACGCACGCACGCATACACATAGGTACTACGTACACACACGTACATGCAGGCATTCACGCGATGCTGCGATTATCGCATCTTCTCTCGGCCCTTGGGGCCAAGACTTCCGGTGGTTGGCCACGTTGACGCCGAGATATGGCGGTCCACTGCACTAATGGCGGTGAACGCAGGGTGCAACGCACGAGGTAGCCAATGAGCGAGGCTCCGGAGATGCATTCTAGACTGCTGATTACATTCCCTTCGCTCCCTTATCTACCTATGTATGTACGTGACTACAACTGGAGCCCCAGAGGCTGGCTGGAACCAGCAAGCTGGTAGCGTAGGGCGAGTTGGTTGACGGCGAATGGTGGGGTGACCGGCGCGAGACAACCGGCTTCCGCTACCTACCCGCCATACTGACGCACGCATGCCGAGGCGACACAGCCACCGCCAACGTCTTGGGCAGTGTCGGTGTCAGTGCCGGTCTGGTTCACCCCAGCCAGCTTAGGCCTCGGCGTCGAATACCTTCTCGCCCTTGAACCAGGTCTGCACCACTCTGGCATCGAGCAGCTTGTCCTGGTCCCACTCCATGTCCACCACCGCGAAGTCCGCTGCCCGCCCGGCCTCGAGCTTGCCCGTCCACCGGTCCGTGAAGGTGCTGTATGCCGACCCCTCGGTGGCTGCCGCGACGGCTGCCGCCAGCTCGAGCGCGAAGCGCGGGTTGACGCGGTCGGGCAGCTCGGGCTCGCGCGCCGACCGCCGCGTCGTCGCCGTGTACGCGTTCTTGAGCGGCGAGTGCGGTGCCGTCGGCGCGTCCGAGCCCAGGGCCAGTACGGCGCCGCCGTCGGCGAACTCGCGGTACGCGAACGCCCGCTCGCAGCGCGACGGCCCTAGCAGCGACGGCCACGCCCGCAAGATCGCCGGGTCGGCATGCACCGCCTGGATCGACGCGGTGATGCCCAGCTTGCCGAGCCGAGCCGCGTCCTCGGGCGACGCGAGCTCGAGGTGCTCGATGCGGTGCCGGCGGCCTGGCGTCGCGTTGTGCTCGAGCGCGTCGATGGCTACCCGTATGGTTTTGTCGCCGATGGCGTGCAGCGCGCATTGCAGCCCCGCGGCGTCGGCCTTCTTGACGACGGGTCCCAGCTCCTCGAGCGACCATACCGGATCGACCGACTTGCCGTTCGACGTGTAGGGTTCCGAGAGCCCGGCGGTGCAGCCGTCGACTATGCCGTCGCCGATGACTTTGATACCGGCGATGCGGCAGTCCGGGCTCGTGTCGGCGTTAAATTGGCGGTTGAGCTCGATCGCGCGATCGACTTGCGCGAGGTTCTCGGCCTCTGTCTTCCGGGGGGTGATGAGCCAGTAAGCCGCAATCCTCATCGGTACGGGCCCTCTGCGGCGCAACTGCTGTAAGGTGTCCCACCCGTTCTCGTCCATCGCTAGCTCGACGAGTCCCGTGTAGCCGACCTTGTGATATGCCTTGATAGCGCCGTCGAGTGCCGCTAGCTTCTCCTCCAGCGGCATCACTTTGGCAATATGCGGCCAGACAATGGTGACGGCGGCGGCCTCGGTGAGGAGCCCAGTCGGCTTGCCATTCTCGTCGCGATAGATCTTGCCGCCTTCCGGGTCGGGCGTGTCTTGGATGCCCAGTTCTTCTAAGGCGGCTGTATTGCACCAAGTAGAGTGCAAATCCTTAGAGTCGATGAAGATGGGTCTGGGGTCCAAATCGTCGATCATGCTAGCCAAGGCCTCGCCGTTGGTCATGAAGTGCATCCACCCTTTGCACATGATCCGGGCCACCCCCGGATGCGACGCTGCGAACTCTTTGATGGTCTGCCGGATGTCCTCAAGGTTCTTACAACCCTCCAGGCCGGCCTTCTGCAGGGACTGGCCCAGCATGAGGAGGTGCATGTGTCCGTCGATAAATCCCGGCACTACTACACGCCCGCTTACGTCGCGCTTGGCCGCCCCGGCCGCCTCGGCCGCCTTGACCTGCTCGTCGCTCGAGCTGCCGACGTAGGCGATCTTGCCGGCGCCGTCGACGAGCATGGCATCGGCGAAGGTGTAGTCTTCGCCCTTGAGCCCGGACCGGAAAAATCGGCCATTGTGGAACAGGGTGGCAGTAGGAACCATCTTTCTACCCTACTTAAACCTAGCAATCGATGAATAATTTTTTTCTCTTGAGCCCGGCGTTAATTCTCCTAGTCTTTTTGGCCGTTCACATTCGCAACTTCGACAGCTCTTTTGTTCTACGATGCACCCCCAGGCCCCCACCTCGTGATCCGGCCGCGATCGGCCGCGATCGGCCTAATCTCGATGGAGCCGAGAAGCTCTAACGGCGATTAAGACGATTGGGGCTAGTCCTCTTCGCTGCGCTTTGTCGGAATAGGTAGGAGACGCGCGACCCGATGTGTGACGCCGCGCGGCGATATACATCTATTATAGTAGAGCTACACTTGCACCTAGGTTTGTGGTATGCAACAGTAATAACGAAACGTAGTCTGGGTAATGCAATGCATAAATATGCATGTCGTGTACTCACACCTGGGAATACACAGATAAAATTATTGTCAAGATTACCGATACTACATACCTATATATTGTCATTGTGTCATCTGACGGACAGTGATATGGTATCGGTTGGCGTGGGAAACACGACCCCTGGATAGAACGCTAGGGTGGCTAGCTGGACGCGTACGGATACACAGAACCGATCATAACCGCAGGATCGATAACTTGAATTTTGGTGTGTCAAGCGTCGAGACCATTGACGAGGCGAGGGCTAATCTCGTCGGCTCTTCTCTTCCGTAGTCACAGGCCGCAGATTGTAGGAGCAGAAGAGGAATCCCACAGCGCTCTTCACCTTGAGAGCTCACCAAACCTTGCACGCGACGATCGTTTTTCAAGATAGAGTTAGGCTTCGCCTCCGTTGCCTTCTCTCTTTGTTGGTTAGTTACAATGCCTTGGATGTATGGGAATCTTCGGCTATTCCCTGGCGGCTCAACAGTCCCCCTTTTGCCATGTCCGCCCCCTTTTCCTTTCCGAACAGGTGACTCAGAAGTGAGTGAAAGTAAGTGAGAATTGTCACACGGAGATGGAACCCTACGCCAATAAATCAGGCTATAAAGGTTAGGAGGATAATATCGGGTATTAAGGCCGTTACCTCGGCGACCTACTAAGGAAAGTCCTAGATAAGCTTCGGATAGCTTCGGTATTAAGATATAAAGGTATAAAGGTACAAAGGTACTTCCGGGTTATATTAAAACGAAAAGGGAACGAGGAACTTAGAAGAGGATAAGGACTTAAGAGACCTCCTATAGAATTATTAATTAAATTAAACCTATTCTAAGTATATTTTTTTGTTATAAATAATTCTATATTACTCTTACTCTTACGATTTTACTATAAGTTAATAATAAGAAAAGCTTACGCTTAAGCCGGCGTTATACGCTAAAGCCGTTACCCCGGTACTATTATTACCGGATTAACCTCGATCCTTTATTAAAGAACTAAAGCCGTAGGCTTTTTTATTCCCGTAATTAGCCGCTTCGAAGGTAACGCCGATCTCTATAGCGGAAGTGGCTTAAATAATAGCTACGATTAATAAACTAAAGGCCGTAATAACGGAATTAAAGGTAAAAAACGCCGAACGAATTATTCTAACGCCCTAGCCGGAGTTAATTCCCGAATTAATTAATAAATCCCTTATCGTATATTAACCCTAGGAATATAAAGTAATTATAATAAATACTCCGGAAATCGCGAACTTAAGAGTAATTATACGTAATTCTTCGTAGTAAATCGTAGATTTATATAAATAAATGAAATAAGCGTATTAAAACCTAGTAATACTAGTTAATTAAGTCGACGTAAGATATTAATAAAATACGATCCTAAAGGAGTAATACGAATAATTACGATAGCTTTATTAAACCGTTACGGTAATATAAGCTACCGGTATCCGAATTACGAAGATATAAATCTACGAGTTCTAGAAATAAGTCGTAGAATAGAGTACCTACTTCGCCTAGAACGTATAGGAAACCGTAGCTAAGTTTATCCGGTAGGATAAAGTACGAACGGCTATAATAAACTAACTTCGAAACGCCGTACTATAAAACTAACGAGCCTTAACTTAATTACGCGAGGAATATAATAAATTAATAACGAACGTTAGTTCCTAAGCTACGTAAAAGAATAAATAAATTAGCGAAATCCTTAGTAAAGAATACCTTATCCTCGGGGCTATAAAGAAAAAAACCTAGCTAATTAAGAACGACCTTAAGGCTTACGCGATTAATTTAATTAAGGAATATTAATAACGACGATTAAGTAATAAGCTAACGGATATTAAGTTTATTATCGTAGGAGTTAACTAGAGGATAAGAACGCTTATTCCCGCGCCGGGTATCCGTATTACGATAACGTTTACCGGAAGATATATTAATAACGAAGTTAAAATAAGGGAAATTATTTCCGACGGCGTATTCTAAGACGCCGCGGCTAAACGTACCGCCGCGCGCGTAAGAATCCGTTTCTAAAACGCCGCGGTAGGCGCCTTTATGTTAGGAGGAGCCGGGTAAGGATTACCGTAACCGCTACGGACCTTACGGAATGCCTTAGGAAATCCCGGGAATTCCGACGATTCGGATAACTTAAAATCCGGGGACCCGTAGAAGCCGCGACGCCCGTCCGGCGCCCCTAAAGAATCGTAAGAGCCTCTCGATCTAGCCGAAGAACGTATGGTTAGGACTTAAACTAAAGCTATAAATAATCGACGAAGTATTACGGTAACGATTAATTTAATATACCTTATTAAACCTACGGCTTATAACGGTAAGGACTTAGTTAAGTTCCGATTATAATAAATTAAGGTTAAATCTTACCTTAAAACTTATAAAGAAAGTTTTACCCGGGACGTTTAAAAGATTAATTAAATAAGATCGATATTTACCGAAAAGGCTTAGCTTTAATATTAATAACGGTTAACCTAGGTAGAAAGGTTAATAATCGTCGATATTTAAACGGGATATTCCTAAGTACTTTAAGAACGGTTTAAAGACCCCGCCGAACGATATCGTAACTTTAAGAAGATATAAGAACTAAAGTATTAAGGAGATATCTCCTAATACTTTACCGAGCTTATAAACTTTAACGATATCGTTTAATAATTTAGAATTACCTTTTAAAATTATATCGCTTATATCTTATCCGACGAAATAATTAAGCTAATTTATTTACGATTAAATAGCATTCCCGAAAGCGATAAAGCCTTCCTTAAAGTAATTAAAGAAGCCGGCTAAATCTACGAAAATATAATAACTAACCTAAGAATTTCGGGGAAAGGAAGGTCCGCTTCGTAAAAGGAATATACGAAAGCGGACTAGTAATAGCGGTAACCCGTAAAAGAGACTCGCTCCTACTTAGGTTAATCGGTAAACGAACGTAAGGGAAAGAATAATAAGAAACCCGTACCGGTTAAGGACTTACGATAAATAAGTAATAAGGAAGCTTTAACTAAGATTAATTAAGCCGTTATCGATTAACGAAAAAAAAATAAGAAGGCCTACTAAAGATACGGAAGGGATAATTACTAAACCTTAGCCTACTTCGTAAAAAAGGACTTAAAAGGACGGGACTTACCGGCGCTACCTAAGAAAGTCTTATCGGGAAAAAAAGGAAGGAAGGAGTCCGAACTATTACCTAATAAAAGGACTAGGATCGATATTATTATACGATAGAAGGAAACTCTTCCCTATATTATGGAGCTATCCGACTCCGATAAAAAACGGGATTTTTAAATGCCTTCCCGTAAGCGTTAACGGAAAAAAGGGGCGATAAAAATAACGTAAAGATTACGGTTATTAAACGGCCCGGAACGCTAGAAGTAACGGAAGCGGTATTAATAGCGAAGAAATTACGAGTCCCCTAGCGTAACCTAAACGAATTAAGGTTAGGTAAACGGCTTATTTATACGATATAAATAAAATATTAAGGAAAAGAATACCTCTTACGAGTCCTTTTAAATACCGGTAGTAAGGTACCGTTAATTAACGTCGCTAAAGTCGAATAATTACGCCTTCTTATTAACTAACGCTTTAGGGCTAGGACCTTAATAAGATTCGACGGCTCGGAAATCTCGTTAGGAAGATTTTAGTATATAAATAAAATAAAGCTCCGTAACTACGAATATATCTACCGTATCGCTTAAGAAGTTAGTAAATTAAACGAAGAAGTCGATATTATCCTACCCTAGTAATAAATAGAGGAATACCTCCCTTAAGGATTATTTATAAACGGACGGCTATATTTTAATTCGCTACGGTACTAGAGTTATCGCTTACGGCTAGCTCGCGTAGGGATAATACGAGAAATAAAGGCTTTAGTATAAGTACCGGAATAATTTCGCGACTTCGTTCTTATTATAACTAAGGAAGCCGGATAACGGTTCCTTAATCGGTAACCGTAGGACTACGTTATTAAGCTCCGACCGGGAACTACTTCCCCGTAAGGACCTTTATATATTATAAACGGACGATAATTAGACGCCTTAAAACCTTAGCTCGACGAAATAATAGCTATAGAAAGAATCCGAAAATCTAAGGCCCCCTATAGCGTATTTATAATATTTATAAATAAAAAGGACCCGGGCGTTTTAAGACTAGTAGCGGATTACCGGGGGTTAAATAAAATTATAATACCCGTCCGATATCCGATCCCGTTAATTAACGAATTATAGAACCTATTTTAAACGGCGCGGTAGTTTATTAAGATTAATCTAAAATCTAGGTTCCATATAGTACGGATTAAGGAGAGCGATAAATGGAAAACCGCCTTTAGGACGCGCTACGGATTATACGAGTATATAGTTATACCCATAGGATTAATTAACGCCGCGCTACGGATTATACGAGTATATAGTTATACCCATAGGATTAATTAACGCCCCCGCTACTTTTTAAGCTATAATAAACTATATTTTCCGCGACCTCCTAAACGCCGGGGTTATCGCTTACTTAGATAATATCCTAATTTATATTAATACGCTAGAGAAATATAACAAATTAATTAAAGAAGTCTTAAAACGGCTTATAGAAAACTATTTAGCGGTAGCCCTAAAAAAATATACCTAGCGAACGTAAGAAGTTAAATTCTTAGGATATAATATAAGCCTTAGAGGTATTACTATATCTAAAGATAAAGTAGAAGCTATCCTTAATTAGCGTATCCTAGCTATACTTAAAGACTTATAAAGCTTTATTAGGTTCGTTAACTTTTACCGTAAATTCATACGTAATTTCTCGGGCATAGTTAGGCTAATTATTAGCGTTAATAAGAAAGACCGTAAGCTATAAAAATAGGAAATCGAAATAAAGAAGGCCTTCTAGGAATTAAAAGAAACCTTTACGAAGGCCCCGGTACTTATATATTTCGACCTTAACTAAGTCCTAATTATTAAAGCCGACGCCTTAGATTTCGCTATTTCCGCGGTCCTCTTATAAAAGGATAATAAAGGGAAACTAAAACTAATAGCCTTTTTCTTACGACGACTTACCCTAACGGAAATAAATTATAAAATATATAATAAGGAACTACTAGTAATCGTCGACGTATTCGAGAAGTAGCGATATTATTTCGAAGGTACTTAGCATTAAATAGAAGTATATTCCGATTATTAGAACCTAACGTACTTTATTACGGTAAAAGTATTAAATCGACGCTAAGCCCGCTAAGCTTAATAATTCTCCTCGTATTACTTTATGATATATTATCGCCTAGGAAAGTAAAATAAAAAGGCCGATATTTTATTTAAATTATTATAATATCGCTTTAAAAAAGGAGGAGCTAAGGACTAGCCGATAACGACGGTTCTATAGGAAAAGCATTTTTTAAAAAATTCAGGCTTACCTACGGTAATACTCTCTAGCGTACGACTAAGTAATATCCTAATACCCGCTTAAACCTTAAAGTTCGTTAAATAAATTAAAACGGTAGCTATATAAGACCCGGAGTATTAGGCTTAATTAATTAAACTATTCGGTAAGGAAATAAAGCTTTAGGAAGGCCTTTTTTATCGGCGAAACCGTTTCTAAATACCTAAGAACCTATAATAAAAGGTAGTTAAATCGGAATACGATACTAAAGTAACGGGGCATATAAGTATAAATAAAACCATGGAACTTATTACTTATAACTTTTAATAACTTAACCTAAAAGTAATAGTTAGGGAATTCGTTAGAAGGTACCGCGAGTACTAGTAAAATAAGGTACCCCGATATACCCCGTTCAGATTATTATAGCCTATGGAACTATATTATCGACTATAGTAAACGATCGCGATAGACTTTATTACGGACTTACCTATATTTAACGGTTACGATTTTATTTAAGTTATTATAAACCCCTTTATTAAGATAACGTACTTTATTTTACTAAAAAAGAATGGTAAAAAAGCCGAAGACCTAATACCTATCTTTATACGTAATTATTAGCGGTTATATAGGATTCCTTTAAACATTATTTCCGACCGAGACTCGCGATTTACTTCCTATATATAGAAGGGCGTCCTAAAGCTCCTCGGCGTTAAGCCTAAAATAAGTACCGCCTTCTATCCCTAAACGGATAAATAAACGAAAAGACTTAATTAAATCCTAAAAGTATACCTACGCGCTTTCGTAAACTACGAAATAAGCGACTAAAAAAGCTTATTACTTACTACCGAATTTACTTATAATAATACCGCTTTAATAACTACTGGTATATTACCCTTTTACGTTAATTATAAGTAATATTTAGTAATATATAACCTCCTTTTAGGTACCCCTAAGAATCTAGGAAGTAACTTTTATACTTATTAAATAACTCGGATATATAACGAGGCTAAGTAATATTTAGAAAAAGTACGGTAGCGGATAAAAGGATAAGTAGATAAATACCGAAAGAAGGAATCCCCTTTAAAAGTCGGATAGCTCGTTATATTAAATACCCGTAATATTAAAACTAAGCGCCTTATAAAGAAGATAAATAAGAAGATATTCGGTTCCTTTAAGATTTAAAAGGTCGTTTTCCTTACCGCCGTAACTTTAATACTCCCGAAAGACTAGCGTATTTATAGTACCTTTTACGTATTCCTTATCGAACCTTATCGTATTAATAATTAGGAATTACCTAACCTTAACTAGGTCCTACGGAAGGTAGCCCCGATCGAGGCAGGAGACTACGAGGTAAATAAGGTATTAGATTCCGTAAGAACCGGAAAAGTTATTAGATACTTAGTAAAGTAGTAAGGCTAGCCGGCTAAGCGTTATTAGACTTAAGAACCGTAGGAGTACTTTACTACCGAAGGAACGAAGGAAGCCGTTAAGTTATTCTACCTATAGAACCTTAATAAGCCTACTAACTATCGGGCCTAAGTATTACGCTTAAGGACGAGTTCTTCCGAAAAAGGGAGATGGTATTATACGGAAATGGAATCCTACGCTAATAAATTAAGCTATAAAGGTTAGGAGGATAATATCGGGCATTAAAGCCGTTACTTCGGCGACTTATTAAGAAAAGTCCTAGATAAGCTTCGGATAGCTTCGGTATTAAGGTATAAAGGTATAAAGGTATAAAGGTACTTCCGGGTTATATTAAAACGAGAAGGGAACGAGGAACTTAAAAGAGGATAAGGACCTAAGAGACCCCCTATAGAATTATTAGTTAAATTAAACCTATTCTAAGTATATCTCCTTGTTATAAGAATGTATATTTTTTCAAAGACCCCGTCGTACGAAGCCTTCTTCCGGGCGGTATCTGGCACGAGTAGGATGGCACCTAGGCAGGCAATGTATCATCTTGGTACCGATGTTTACTGGCATATTCCGTATGCGGACTGACAGCCGTTAGTGGCAAGACAGTGTGCAGTTGTGTTTCCATAGTAGCCGCTGGAGGCCGTCACACATCAGTAACTGCGTTTCTTCTCGTGCATCTCCGAAGAGAGAGCAGGGAGGCGACATACGCGATAGAGCAGCAGATATCCCCCGCCTCAGGACACCGGTAGCCGAACTCGCCAACGCCCTCGTTCCCACAAGTGCCGTCAGGAGAGACGGTGGTGCCGTTTACCGGGTTGACGCACGCCGTCGTCGAGTTCGAGAACTTGTCCTGGCAGCCTACCGACTTTAGGCAGTGCTCGTCGGTCGAGCCGCAGTAGCCGCTAGGCGAGCAGCACTTCTCGTCGCTGGGGCACGTGTACTCCTTGTTGTTGCCCGCCTTGGCCTGCCCGCAGGTGCCGTCGGGCGAGAGCTCCGGCCGGACCGCGGCGGCGAGGAGGAGCACAAGGCTCAGGGTCGAGAGCGCGCTGTGCATGTTGGGGATAGGCTGCTGCCCGCAGAGGTGGTAGACAATGAATGATACGTGCTTTCACTTTCCCGGAGGCTCGGGTGCGATGAAGAACCGCGGCCGAGTCGTGTGCGCAGGCGAGCGACCCAAGACTCGCCCTTCTTATACCTACCTACGCGGATCCCACGTCGCCCACCCAAGTCCCAGCCTCGCCGGCGCCATCTCCGCATCGGTCAACTCGGGGAGATATCGAGACGCGCGTACTCGTGCTCCTGGGGAGATGAGGGGAACGGATAGGCAATTTAGGTAGCAGCCAATATCCCCTCCCCTCTTCAGCTCGCCCGGGCCAGTTGCAAATCGTCAGATCGTCAGGGTTGCTTCCCGTAGTAGAAACGGCGGATGCGTCGCGTGCGATTTAGCCGAGCATCGAGCCCGCCGGGACCAGCCAATTGAGTAAGCAGGGCAGACGGCAAGTGTTGGCGGTCGTCGCCCGGCGCGGTTCTCCTGCCGCTGCCTCGCCCTCTTCGCAGAGATTGCCGGGCCCCCCTCGAGCCAATCTACGTCAGGCGATTTCCCGAGAGGCTGAAGATCTTCCCCCGTGGGATCCATAGCGTCTCCTCCGGAGGCCGTCCGACCTTAGGCAGAAGGCGGGTCGAGTTCGACCACCAGCTCGAGAACGTTCGGGATCGTCGGCCGGCGTGGGTTACCCGTTCGTGGGACTGGGCGCTGCGTCCCCCGGCCGGCTGGCGAAGCAGGCTGAGTGTTTTCCCGGAACGGCGGGAGATCTCCGAGTTATCGGCATTATTATAGGGGAATAGAATACATGGAGCTATTTCCTGTGGCGCGTCCCCACCTCCTTCGGGAATACGTGGCAGTTTACTATCGTTTCTTATATACCTATACTCGAGACAGGTGGTGAGAGTAGGCTTGTAAAGAGTGCTTAACGGAGTAATAGCCGGCTACTTACCCAGAATTTCACCGCTACTTTTGCCTACAAAAGGGGGGAAAGGGGGAAAGGAATTTCCCGTACGAAGCCTCCGACACGTATTTGGTATTAAAACAGTATAGCAGACCAGCAGCCCTCGACGGCCCTTCTGCGGGCATATATAAGTGTCACTTCTCTCTCTCTCTCTCTCTCCACCTCTCTGTCTCCTCCCTCCCCCCTCCCCCCCTCTTCCTCTTTGTATTTATGAGTGTCCCCTATTCCCGCGGCGCCGCCGCTACACCGTCACGGATATAGGTAGATGGCAGGGTTGCGCCGGGAGCGCCATTTGTCGGCGCGCCGCTCTGGCCGCCGCTACGCTTGGGGAAGTCGACCGAGCCAATGGCGACGACCGCCGAAGTCGTGATGCCAGCTAGTTCTGCAAATACCCAGCAGGCGTCGTATGGCACCGCCCATTTCTAAGCAGCCCGCCAACCATTACCAAGCACCTTACGACCGCATCTTTTCCGCATGCGCTAATATTAACGCTCCCCCACCTAATAGCCGTCGGCGGGGGAGCGCCGGGCAACCTCGCATCCTCGGTAGGTATATAGGTAGGTCTGAGAATCGCCAAGCACCTCGCAAGCAGGCGGGGAAAAACGACAGAGCTCAGCAACAAGAACGGCCTCTTTCTGTCCTGCGCCGCCGCGAACACCCACCTCCGCGCGAGCACCCTGACAGCAGCACCAGCACCGGCACCAGCACCAAGCACCCCGCGATCGTCCATCCATCCATCCATCCAGCCGCTACTATGGCCGACGACTCGGCGCCGCGCTCCGGCTTCCAGAGCAGCCTGACGGTGACCTTCGTCGGGACGGCGACGGCGCTGCTCGAGGTCGCGGGCGCGACCTTCCTGACGGACCCGTACTTCTCGCCCGCGGGCACGCAGTGGGACCTGGGCTTCCTGCAGCTGACGAGCGCGTACGAGCCCGCGCTCGGGCTCGCCGACCTGCCGCCCGTCGACGCCGTGCTGCTCAGCCACGAGGACCACCCGGACAACCTCGACGCGCGCAGCCGCCCGCTGCTCGACGGCCGCCGCGTCCTCACCACCGCCGACGGCGCCGCCAGGCTCGCCCCGCGCCCCGGCGTCCGCGGCCTGCGCCCCTGGGAGAAGGCCTCGCTCGCCGCCGCCGGCGTCGTCTTCGACGTCCTCGCCACCCCCTGCCTCCACGTCCCCGGCGGCGAGTGCGTCGGCTTCGTCCTCTCCGCCCCCGCCCGCTTCGGATCCACCGGCGGCAAGCCCAACGCCGTCTACTTCTCCGGCGACACCGTCTACCTCCCCGAGCTCGCCCGCCTCCGCGACGACTACCACATCTCCGCCGCGCTGCTCAACCTCGGCGCCGCCACCGTCCAGCTGCCCGGCGCGGCCGAGCCGCTGCTCGTCACCATGGACGGCGCTCAGGCCGCGCGCCTCATCCGCGACATCGACCCCGACGTCGTCGTGCCCATGCACTTCGAGGCCTGGAATCACTTCCGCCAGGGCCGCGAGCCGCTGGCCGCCGCGTTCGAGGCCGCCGGCGTCGCCGACCGCGTGCGCTGGCTCGAGCCGGGGAAGCCGACGCGGATTCTCTGAGTCCGTCCAGAACATTCATGTACCTACCTATCGCGGCGGTGAATAGACGCTGTACTAGAGGAGGTGTCTACTAAGTCGGAGTTGTGCCAAGCCACTATTCGCGCATAGCATATCTACGTATAGAAGGTTGCCTCGATCTCCGGAGGTTTCCCTGGACGTAACATGGAAGCCCGTACCTGTAGAAACACGTAACTGTATCTACCAGGCGCATATTTGCCCCTTCAGGCCGTTCCATACGCTTTTGACAACCTCGACCTTGTTTCGTGTCTCATTGGTACGATTTATATGTGCGTACGTATGGGGGCGCAACACTACCTGTATAACCAGTATTTGGACAACTACCTACGTAGGGCATGCGACCAGGGTCTTGGCTCGCGAGAAAGGGCTGGAAAGAAATCCCTCGAGTAGTATTTGCTAGTCACGAGTCCACAGCGACCGAGAAGCTCAAGTTTGCGACGGGACATCAATTGGCAACCTCTTTTGGGTCCCTACATTTCCGGCGTTTCTCCTTCGTACTCTCCCCCCATTCGTGGGCAGCTTGTGCAATCTCCAAGGCTGCCGTTTCGATCTGCCTCGCCCGGAGGACCGCTTCATCCGCCTTCTCGACTCTGTGCAGTTTTAACACCTTCTCTACTAGGTCGAGTACTTCGAGGTGGTTTGGGGTCGGGGAGAAGGTCCGCTTGATCGGGGTACGCGTACGCTCCCTGGGAGGCGGGCTCAGCCCTGATGACGGTGCTCGTGCGTCGCACTGGCTGTCCCGTCCATCGTATAGACAATTGCTACACGTCGGTGCTGGCCCTCGCGTGCTGGTGTCGGCTTCTGCAGCTTCTGCTTCCGGCCCCTGTTCCGCCACCACGCACCCGGGCGATATGCCCCGGCCCTGCTGGCAATTTGTGCATTGTGATTGCTGGGAAAGCATGACGCCCCTCTCGTAAACCATGATAGCTTCGACGGCGCGTGCTGAGCTAGTATCGGGACTCTCACGGTTGTTACGGCGTCTCCAAGCTCGGCGGATCGGGAGGTTGCCAAGTCGACGAATAACGGGCGTCCGGGGCCCTCTCGACGGAGGTAAGCATACTGGGTCGTAGACATAGTCCCAGACAGCGGGGGCCTTGGCGGCGTCCTTGAGGTCTCTATTGATGACACCCATCGCCTCCCAGTAGCGATCCCTCATCTCGTATCCGTCGATGCTCTCAGAGCGGCGTCTGGGTCGTCTCCGAAATGGCTCCGGGCTAGTCTCTTGTGTGCTGTCGTCATCGCGAGTGTCGGTCCGCGCCTTGGCCTCGAGGGACAGATCTGAGGTGTGCCGTTCCGGGAACGTGTCGTCGCCATCGGCGCACAGGAGGGTCATACGAGCAATGTATCTCTCATAAGCCATGCCTACTGAACGGGCGAGCGAGGACGAGGACGGGACTCGATAGTGGTCAAGGTACCCGAGGCAAAGACACGGGTCTTTTGAAGAAGGTGCATCGTATTTTCGGTGTGCTGGCAAGCTAGAACGGCAGCGGTTCGCAGCTCAGCTGATGGAGCCCGAGTTTTAACTATGTAAATATTAGCCACTCCAGCGTTCATCAGCCGAACTCGGTCAATCGGAAATCCTGGCAAGGATGGAGGCCACCTACCTATTTCTGGTAGCCCCCAGCCAACTAGCTCCATGATATTTCCAATCACAGCATTCTATTTCCCCCCCTTCTCTGATCCCCCTAGCCCTGCCAGCCGACGGGATCCCGAGAGACTTCGAGACGGCCGGGCTCTGCTACTGCGGCTTTACCTAGACATCGACGCGGCTTGCCGTAGTCTCGAGCCTTTGTTTCCTTCTGGTCCCCATTCGCGCCGGCACGATGCTGTCTTGGCTGGCTGGGGGGAGAGCCAGCGATGTTCGGCAAAGGCTCTTATAGCGAGGTAGGAGGAACCCCCACAATCAAAGCACAGCTACCTACCTACCTACCTACCTAACCCTTGCGGGAGGGGCGCCTTGGCTCACATTCGCATTCGGGCGAGTTCTTGTAAGCCCAAGGCTACGTGGAAGACCATGGGCGCACAAGGCCTTAGCCTCGTTTGTGGAGCCTCGCCGGAGGCTTTCCGACGCCATTAGAAACGGCGTCGAGGGTGAGGGCAAATGGAGAGAAGCGTGAATCCCCCCCCCCCTCCTTCTCGTCTCCGCCACGCTACCCCGTACATCGCGTAGCTCTGTGGGGATGTGGAGTCGAAAATCTCGGTCTGGCGGTCTCCCATCACCTGACGTTTGGGGCTTAAGCGGGGGGGAACACGGAGTATTTGGAGCGGAAAGATGCTAGCAGCAGCAAGCTTGTGACTTGGATGGCTCCCCTCCCCCCCTTAGGATCGACGTGGGGGACAGGCGGTTCATGCAGACCAGTCTGTTCTCACGGCACTTAGACACTGCTGGTGGCTCGGTGCTTCGACCGTTCCCAGTTCGAGCAGTAAAGATGCTTTCGGCCAGTCGAGGAGGTTGCCTACTAACATTCAGCACGAATCTACGCGGCCGCCGACTACCGCAGGGCAGGTTGCCCGTCTGTCTCCGTCTCAAAAGGCGGGCCGCGACGATTGCCAGGGGAAGAAAAAACGCCCAAGAAAAGAGAAAAAAAAGACAGGGGGGAAATATGGCCTTGCTCTTCCGATCACGCAGGCATCGTCGAGATCCGGAACCGGTCTCGCCAAGGGGACAACTGTGCCCCTTCCTAGATAGGTACATGATATACAAGGTATCGAGGCGGAGGGTATGCCAGCTTGGGTGTGGGCACGTTGTAGCAGGTTAGGAGGTTCGGAGGTTAGCAGGATGATGATGGTTCTCTGTGGGGAGAGAACTAGAGGTGGGTGGATGTTGGAGTAGAGGTTGATGGCGTCGGCAGGTGTGCCGGGCCTTTCTTTGTGCGACAGATTACCTAAGGTGTGTGTTTAGAGGAATTCTACGATGCACCCCCCCTCCCTCCTTAAGAGGTATTACGTCGCTTGTACATCACTATTACAAGCAGGTACAGGCACAGAAATAGGCACAGGTGCCTGCCTTGCCTGTCTCTCCGTACCTGCCTAAGGCTGCCGCGGGTGGCGGGCGTCGCTCTGGCATCCTAAAGGGGAAAGCACTAGGGTCAGATGGCCAATTGGAACGGAAGAAGGGGCAATCAACTGGTGGACGGAAGCGAGGTACCCAGTATCTACATGTAAGATACCTAGGTACCTATAGGCAGGGTTGAAAAAAAAAGTTTAAGTTTTTAAGTCAAGTCAAGTTAAGTTAAGTTTAAGGAAACTTAACTTGAAAACTTTTTTTTGCAACCCTGCCTATAGGTGCCTTCAGGTACTGACCTACCAAGGTACCTCTACCTAGGTACTTACCATACAGGACCGTTTCTATACGCCAACCCGATATAATTACCTGCTATCTAGACATAATGTCACTATTAAAACAAGGTACATTGTATAGGACTACCCGGTTCTCTCTAGGAGGTAGGTTATCAAGTAGGTTTATACTTAAGAGCTGTGTGCTGCGTGAAAGTGTGTATACAGGGGGCTGGTGGATATATTGGAGGAATAAAACTGTACCTACCTATAAAGAGAAAAGGAAGAATGTGCGCTCTGTTAGGGCCTCACTTTCAAGAGGTGCTCGATCCATCCTTAGGTAATTGGCCCCCTCCCCTTCTTCGATTAATTGACCTCTCTCCTGCTCCTCCTGCGCCTATCCTGCTTCAACGACAACAGCAACAACAACGACAACAACTGCTCCCCTGCCGTCGCCGTCACCGTAAGCTATCTCCTCATCTGGGCCCGTACTTCGCTGTTGGGCCTTCGCCGGAACCGTGTCTCGGCGAGTTGAGCTCGCGAATCAAAGTTTTGATGGGATGCCTCGTTCAATTGGCTGTTGATCGCGAACTGACGGTGGCGTTGATAGATGTTCTCTTCTTCACAGGCCCCGCGAGGCAACCGCCGTAGCTGGTCTGCGTCTGCCGCCTCTCTCTCAGAGAGCGGCAGTGAGAGCACCATCATTGCCGAGCCTCCCGTGCCTCCTCCCTGTGTAAGGCTGACCTCGCTTCTCCCGCTTCTCCTGCTACTCCTGCTACTCCTTCCGCTTGGCTGAATGTTGATCGGTTTCCTACAGCAAATAAACCTCCCATTCCGCTCTGGCCCCACCACCCGAGAGGCTGCCGTCCACGCTTCCAACGCCCCTACCACTCCTCGCGCGGCCGCTACCTCTCGTTACGCCACCCCTCGTCCGGCGGACCCTCAAGCCCTGCCCTGCCGCCGATGCGCACGCGCTCTACGCACCTGCTACGAGGCCGAGGGGCGCGGCTCCGCTTGCGCCGAGTGCGCTGCCCGCGGCCACCGTTGCCTGCCGCTGTAAGTGCCAACAGCGACCTCCCCCCCCGGCGCTGCATCTCTCCCGCGGCCGTAGGCGAAGATCGAGAGCGAGGACCCCCCCTGCGTGTAGGCACCTCCCGCTGACATTTTTAAAGGCCGTATATCGCCCTCAACGCCGCCCGCGGATGGATGGCAGACCGCTCCGCCGACAGCGGCTCCCTCCTTCGGGACGCCCTCTCCTTCGCCAACGCCGCCAAGCGCCTATTAGCCTCTGGCCTCATCGAACAGTCAGTCTTATCCGTTTTAGTTTTTATTTTTATTTTTATTAACCCCTTCTCTTCCAGAGAGTTTGCAGCCACCGTAGCCCAAGCCGCCCGCCCGGTTCCTCGCTTCGGCGCAGGTGGGGCGGCCTCTGCCGGCCCGCCCCCCTCTGCCGATGCCGCCCTCCGCGGCGAGGTTTCGCGCCTAGAGGCGCGGATCAGCGCGTTGGAGCGCTCCCCGCGCCCTGTTTGCCCCCCCGGATCTCATGTCGCTCGTGCTCTCCCAGATGAGGAAGTGGAGACGTCGGAGTTTTCTCTGGGAGAGGGGGAGGAGGACGACGACGACTAGCCGCGCTGTCTTTTTTTATACCTAATTTTTACGCCCCCTGGGGGTCTGATAAGAGATTGGCCTCGCGACCCGGTTCCTCCGTACTCCGTTTCCTCGTAGATCGTGCCTCGTTTCTTAGCTGCCGGTCTTAATGAATTCTCCCATCCAGCAAGTCGCGGGGTGCTCTCCGTTGCGCTGGGTGCTCTTCCCCGGATGTCCCGTATAACGGCCTCCCTCCTTTCAGGCAGCGGCCTTTCCTTCTCGTCTCTTTCCATGTCCTTCATTTTTTGGGCGCGAGAACCTCTCCTTTCTTTCAGGTACGAGGGCCTTGCGACCTTCTTCTCTCGAACCCACTTCGCTCTTCGTGTGCTGCTATACCCGCTTCAGGACCGCCGGACCTCCAAATGTTACCTATCTTTCACTACTCATCTTCGAGCATCGTTCCGAGGATTGAATACCATATTGACACTCCCCGTTTACTGTCTCTTGTTATTAAAACATATTTCGGGGCGCGCGGGAGTTGTCGGACTATTGTGCGCATCTTTTAGTCGGGGTGTAGCCGTTGCTATTGTCATTCTCTGCCCGTCTTGCCCTTGGGCTGAGCTATCTTAACTCTGGACCGGCCCACCGCTACACCGTCCGCCCGCCCAGCTATCTCGTCGCCCAGCATGAGCTCGCGAGAACCGCCTGTCGATCCCCACGCCTACGTAGAGCTCGCAGTCGTGGAACGCGAGGCCGCCGAGGAGCAGACCGGAAGACCTGAAGCCCCCGAAGAGCAGACGGCGAGGCCGGAGGATCCTGAAAACGGAGACCCGGCTACGACACCTCAATGCCCCGGCCTTCCAAGCCCTGGCGGTGTGCCGGGTCCTCCACCAAACCCGGGGCCCGCAGCAGCACCAACTCTCGCGCCGGGGCTACCACTCCCCCCTGCTTTCGTAAACCAGGCCGATTTTATGGCTCGCCAAGAAAGGATTCTCAAGAGGCTGGATGCTTCACTTATGCCGTTCCTTTCCGTTGTGTGTCAGTCTTTGCCGATCCGACTCGTCACGCCGGTCATTCGTCTCCGCTAACCTCGGGTCGAAAAGACATCTGCATGCAGTTGGACCGTATACTTTTCGCACTCCACAAGCCGAGTTTCACCCGGGAGCTAGGCCTCACCGAAGATCAGTACAAGGTAAGTCGAGCTTCGTACTAGACGGACAAATGTCCATTCTCCAGGATCCGGACTCATCTACCTCCAGTACACTGCGATAGCCCAGGAAACCGGCCTCGCCGTGTTGCAAGGTCCGTTAGCCTCTCGAGAGTCCTCTCCCCTCGGCAGTTAGACTAAGCAACCCACGAAATGGGATAGCTAACCCTGCTGGCTGTAGTCCCGTCGGCGCTTCTTACGAATCACCTCAACCGTCCGAAGATCTTTCTGTGCTTTGCCCTGGCGGCTTGGTCAGCAGTCCAGCTATGTTCGCCGTTTGTTATCAATTTTGTTGGCCTCATCATCTGTCGCTCGATGATCGGCATCCTGGAATCGGCATTATGCGTAAGTGCGCGTCGCATACGCCGCCCCAGCCGCTCTTACACTGACTGACTGGGTCTTGTCGCAGCCGGCAACTTTCCACTTCATGACCTGTTAGTACACCGGTCGGGAACTTGTTGCCAGGCTTGTCTTCCCGGTCGTTTTCTGGCCCTCAATCCTGGCCTGCCTAAATATATGTCGTATCGTGGAGCTCGCCACCACCAGAGACAGCAGCATGACGTACGTAGACTTACTGGTGATATCGGGACTCGTCGCGCTCCTAAGCGTTTGGTTGTGTTACTCGTCCCTGCCCGGCTTCCCTCGATCGACCGACTAGCTTTCGGACGAGGAGCGTCAGATCGTATTGTACCGGCTATCGAATGACTACGGCTGGTCTCGCTTTAACGACTACGAAAAAAAGGATGACGCTATTCAAGGGCTGATATCAGCCTTGTTAGACTACAAAATATGGATTCTGGTGAGTTAGCTGACGTATACCTCGCGGATGAGTCTCACCACTATCTTGCAAGGCCGTCATATTTTCCCTCGTCGGTTTCATCGTCTTTAGAATGAGCGATCCGGTTACGCTGAGAACTGCGGTTGCATTGTTAAAACTCGAACCAATGTCGGCGTGCGGGCTGCAGGCCGGCATACTCGTACGTGGTATCGCGCGGAGTGTTAGTAGATGCGTGGTCGCTGACAAGAAGATGATAGGTGCTCTACGTAGTCGCAGCCATCGCGGGCAATTTATGCGTCAGAAACGGCCGAAGGAGAGCTGTTCCCATCTGTTTGGGGCTATTTGTGAGCCTGGCCGGCTCCGGTTTTGGCCTGGCCGCCCTTCGCCACGGCGGCCCTCCGAGCCTGACCTTAGTAGGGATGGTTCTGTGTCCGTTGGGTGCCTACTTTTGCTACACGACCGCCCAGATTTGGGTAGCAAACTGCGTGCCGTGGGAACGGTCGAAGAGAGCGGCGTGCATTGGACTCGTCGGAACCCTTTCGCGCGCTGGCGTCTTATACAACATCTTTAGGCCGCCGATAAGAAGCGATTCGGATTATATCGGTGTCGCTACTAAGTATTTCGGCATAGTAGCTGGCTGCTCCATCGTAGCTGCAGGACTCGCCTGGTGTTTGCGATGGAGGCTGGGTGAGACGAATCGGCGCTTGAAGATTTGCCGGAACACACTGGTATTAAGCAGCTATAGGGCCAAGATGAATGCAGAGTTTTATGACCCAAGCAATTCCTATCTCTTCCCACGCTGAAGAAGTGGCGCGGGAATGAGGCGTGCGCAGCTTACATTAGTTGTGAGGCTACGGCACGAAGAGGGGCGTGGGCAGGTATACACAATTACACTAGCACCGGGATTCCAGAGCTATGAGATACCTCGGAAACAACGCCACGGGATAGGAAGACGGACGGACTGTGGTTGGCCTGGGTTTCTCCCTGTGGCAACGCCAGGAGAGAGAGGGAGGAGGGAGACGGGAGCAGGACGGTATTAGCGAACAAGTACGTTCTGCCGTGTAGAATGAGAAGACACATAGAGCATACCTACTAATTGGCCTCGGCCGGGAGTGCGGCATAGGTAGAATAATGATAGGCCGGAGATCACGATGACGAGGCATATCCGCTCTCACAATGAGGCCGGGGTGGCCCACCTTTTCTGGCTTCTTTTTCTTACCAAAGCTCCCGAGGACGCGAAGGGGATTACAGCAAGGCATTGCGGCGCCCGTGAGAGTGACTTCGACATCCGTGCTCGCCCATCCAAATTATCTACTTAGGTAGCAGGTGCGTAAATCAGGAAATCTAGGTATGGCTCGCGCTTCGCCGCCGCCAAGCTTCGCTAGGGACCTGGACTAAGTAAGGAGTAGGTCGGTAGAGCCACCGACTGGATCACGCGTCCCGAGTATGTATCTGAATTCCTTTTTTCTTTCTTTCTTTTAATTTTAACCCCATTCTTCTCGTCTATTCCTCATACCTAGGGCTCGAGACCCGAGCGCGACGGGGTACCTAGAGAGAGGAGCGGGGAGAAGAGGGAGGGATTACCAAGACAGTACCTAGGGATAATACCTACACGTACGGAGGGTTTTGCGCGATCCGACCTCCTGTAAGCTAACGAAGCGGCGACGGGGACGGCGGGGAGGGGTATCTTGTATAAGCACGGGCACTACCTTTGTCTCCGCCTCTCCTCTTTTCCCCTTTTCTTCTTCTTCTTTTCGGTCCCCCTTTCCGTAGCATCCGCCGTAGCGGACGAAGCTAGCTATTATGGTAAGAAACTCGAGGCCTTAGAGTGGAGGCGAGCTTGTTCGTATGTGCCGTATGTGTAGGAGCTTCGATCGTGAGATATCTAGGTTATGCCGCGCTCTCACCCCAGCGGGAGGGGCAATCGAAAGACATGCGGGCGCGGGAGGGCTGCGGTAGATGGCGCGCGCTGGCAAGGTTCAGACCCGGCCGATCCCTCACATCCTCTCGAGAGGGCTCAGCCCTAGCAGCCGCATGCAGTTCCCGACCACTATCCGGGAGGCATCGTACAGCGCCATGCGGGCCGCCTTGAGCGCGGGCTCGCTGCCGACGACCTGGAGGTGGTCGTAGCTGCTGCTGATCACGTGGGTCAGCCGGAAGAGGTATGTCACCACCGTCGTCGGCTCCAGCGTGCGGAGCGTGTTCTGGGCCACGTCCGGCCACTGCGCCAGGAGCCGGACCACGTTGACGGCGTGGGGCTCTGTCAGCAGCGACAGGTCGGCCTTGGCTAGTTCCTCGTCCGAGATATCCGCGCGCCGCTTGATGGACGAGAGTCGCGTGTGCGCGTATTGCAGGTAGGGCCCGGTGTCGCCTTCGAACGATGTCATGACCGCGAGGTCGAAGGTGTAATTGTTACCCCTGATCAGCCGACACGTTAGCGCCCAACTTCAACCCACGAGGCTGAGCCGGTCTCGACGAACCTCTTCCCGCTCATATCCTGGGTCATGACACTACTAATCCCGAGCGTGTCGGCGGTTCCCTCGGGGTCTTCCACCTGGGAATACTTGGTTTCGTTTCCCCGCATGACATCGTGCATGTGGTCGGCGCAATCCCTTAGGATGTCGTCTAGGCTGCAGAGGTTGCGCGGTTAGCTCAGTGCCGGCGCGATTTTTTATGTCAAAAAAACATTATACTCACAACTTGACGGTGCCCTTCCGGGTGCTCATGCCCAGCACCAAGCCGAAGTTAATGTGCTGACATCGGCTCGCCACGTCCTTGTAGCCGAGGAGTTCGATGATCTTGAAGAGCCGTTGGAGATGCAGGTCCTGTTGGCTTGCGACGACATAAATCATGTGGTCGAACTTGTACTTCTCGTACCGGCCCAGAAGCTCGGCAATGTCTCGGGTGAGGTATAGTGCCGTGCCGTCCTTCTTTCGGATGATGGCTTTCTCCAGGCGTTTGCCCTCCTTGCCGGGGATCAGCTCGGTGAAGTCGATGATCACGGCGCCCTGGTCTTCGCGCGTGATGCCCTTTTCGGCCATCTCCTTGGCCACCTTGTCCATCGCTTCCTCCGTGACCTGGCTCTCACCGCTGTACTCGTCGAACTTGATATTCAGCCGTGCGTACGTGGCCCTGTAGCGGACGATGCTGAGGTCCCTGAACCGCTCCCACAGCGCCAGCGTGGCCTCGTCACGGTCCGTCATCTTGCGGAAGTACCGCCGAGCCTGCTCGTCGAGGCTGTTGGCCTCAAGCTCTTCGACATTCTGTCCCTCTTTCTTCTTGGCTTCGATGGCTTCCTTCTCGGCATCCTTGTCGGCGTTTATGCGGACGTAGAGGCGGAAAAGGTGATCGATCGGATCCTCCTTGAGGGCCTCCTCGTCGCCATACTTCTCGAACGCTAGGGCTAGGAGGCCGTACTGTTTTCCCCAGTCGCCCAGGTAGTTGATCCTGACAACATCCCAGCCGGCGCCCTCGTATAGATTTGCGAGGAAGCTACCGATGATGGTGGAGCGGAGGTGACCGGCGTGGAAGGGCTTGGCGATGTTGGGGGAGCTAAACTCGACGACGATGCGTTTCTTGCCCGAGTTGGGGTCCTTGGGGTCCTTCAAGCCGAGGAAGCGGTTGCGGCCGTACTCGGCGCCGAGTTCTCTAATCATGGGGATGAGCAACTGGGTCAAGGGCGCGCCTCGGACGAAGAAGGACAGGAACGGCCCGGCGGCGACCGGCTTCTCGAAGAGGGGGTCATCTTCGGGGAACTACGGGAGACGGTCAGTCGGCAAGATGGCATTCTTAGGGTACGCCTCGCGGTATCGGCCTACCTTGGCGGCCCATTCGGCGCTGAGCGCATCAGGCTTTGCGCCCTTTATGCGCAGGGCTGGGACGGGCAGTGTGAAGTCGCCCTTGTCGAGGGCGTTTGTCCAGTGGACGGCGGGGTGTATCTTGTCGGCGTCAACGCCGGTGATGGGAGCGAGGACTCGGCTGAGGTGGACGCGGTATAGGTCGTAGGGATTGACGTCGGGATGGGTGGTAGGGAACTTGTCGACGATGGCTGGGAGAGTCAGGCCATCGAGCCTGGCGAGCAGCTGGTCTATACCGGCGGCGGACGCCATCGTGGTCACAGCGCGTCCCGGGAGGAAGACGGGCAAGACGGCGAGACGAGGAGGGGTAGAGGCGGGATGGTTGGTGGGGCGTCCGCTGGACGAATTGCGAAAGGGATGGCGAAGGGGATAGCAAAGGGGGGTGATGGGGTAGAATTGAGGGTATCGAAGCGGCCAGGCAGCAGCAGGAACGGCAGTTCTCGCGGGAAGACGCCGAGCGATGATCATGAAGGGTTTGGGGGTGGTTTGTTTAGAGGGGAAGGGAGTTCGGGATGAGTCTCTCTCCCTCTCCCTCTCTTGTGTCTTGCACTCTTTTTTTTCTTCTGGTTGTTGGTCCTCGCTGGACCTGCCACTTCTGACTCACGTACCTACAGAGGCTGGTTAGGAGGTAGGTAGTACCTAAACTCCACTACAAGGTACAACTTAAGGGCGCCGACTCTTGTACATGATACCACCGTGGAGAGGTGTGACAGCACCCTGATCACTGTAGACAAGGCGTACCAGGATACCTCATGACCTGGCTTCACGATGTAGGTGGCAGTTACGGCAGGTACTGCGATGTCTAATCTACTAATAGTAAGATTTTCCATAACCCCTCCCCCGCGGGACTGATTTGATAAGCTCACCAGCATTGCTTCTGATTGGCTTGCATATACCTATTTGCTGTCTCCCAGTAACCGCCTTAGGTACCTATTTATTACATAAGGCAGGTGATTTGGTGCGAGCCAGCATTGCGTTAGAAGGGAGGGAGATCTATATGGTAAATTGATACATGAGAGGGACACATACGGTAAGGGGTTATATATATGGTGAGGAGGTAAACCGGTTCGGAGATGACCTGGAAAGAGATGGCGGGTTGTGAAGACGCAGATACTTGGGTGCCTACCTCTACCTGCCCATCCACCCTCACACGACCACTGCTATAGAGTGCCTCTATAATCCTATCCGGAGGATAGTTATAATACGCATAACCCCCTGTCATGCTGATTAATTGCGGGGTTAAATACCCCTGTAAATACCCCTGTAAATACCCCTGTAAAGGGGTATCATTTGGGGGAAACTCTGTTTTTATTGGCTGAAAGTTCGTATACGCCGTTTTAATTGGTTAAAAGTTCGTATGACCCGCTTAAAAGGGATGCATCCAATAAAACCGCAGCATACGCGTCCATCTATTTACCTACGCGTTCAATCCTATTCAATCGAGGTCAGTTTCTCCCCGTTCAATCCAGGTCAGTTTCTCCCCGTTCAAAAATCGATTGCTAATCCTTTTTCGCAGTTCAATCCAGGTCAGTTTCTCGTTCAATCCAGGTCAGTTTCTCGTTCAATCCAGGTCAGTTTCTCCCTCAATCCAGGCCAGTTTCTCCCCGTTCAATCCAGGTCAGTTTCTCCCCGTTCAAAAATCGATTGCTAATCCTTTTTCGCAGTTCAATCCAGGTCAGTTTCTCGTTCAATCCAGGTCAGTTTCTCCCTCAATCCAGGCCAGTTTCTCCCCGTTCAATCCAGGTTAGTTTCTCCCCGTTCAATCAAGAGTCGATTGCTAATCAATCCCTTTTCGTAGTTCAATCAAGCGTCGATTCCTACTTACCCCTTTTTCCCTAGCCTTCGGAGAGGTTCTAGGTTTTCGGCACGAAAACCTGGAGAAGCACGGAGTGCTTCGACGTATTTTATATTAGAGGTCCCTTAGGCGTAGGTATATAGGCAGGTATTGGTGTGAGAGCGGGATGGTATCTGCCGACGCCGGAGGCGCTGACGCTTCGCGCCCCCTGTACCGGATTACCTAGGTACCTAGGTACCTGCCCTACCTAGACGGTACCTAGGCACATGGGCTCTCCCTACCGTCTGGGTGTATGAGTAGCGTACCAGGCACGGCGTCCCGCCCTGTCATTTGTATGGTAGGGTAGGGTACCGAGTTACCTAGGCATGTAGGTACCTCCTAGCGTTCCTCTGCAACGGGCAGTACATGAAAGGTTAAGGGTACATGCGAGGAACTGACCCTATCATTGGAAGTTAGGCACTCTTGGTTGTTTCGACGGGTCTGGAGCGGAAAGCACGGTGCAGGGCAGGGCAGGACAGGGCAGGGGCAAGCAAACACAGCAAGCTTCCCTCCCACTCACGCCCTTCACGGCCCTGACGCCCTCTCCTCTCCCTCCCTCCACCATCCCGTATCGAGTCCCGACAGCTTCGGTATAGTTGGATAGCTGCCTCAACCTAGCTACCATCTATCTATATCCTGCTGCTACGCCCCTTCGTCGACCTGCCATCTACCTCTCTCTATTATATGCACCTATACCTGTCCTTGCCGCCGGCGTACACGCGTAATACCTGCAGAGTTGGCTACTGATTGCATCGTCTACCCGGCTACCAACAACCACATATCGCTTTGCCTCGTCGTTTGCCATCTAGTTCGCTTCTTTGCTCTGGTCTGCGTCGCTCGGCTCTGCGTTGCCCCCCTCCCCCCCCCCGGACTTTGCCCGTCTTCTAGAGCTGCTGGCCTTGCTCTTGCGTCTGCTATTCGCTCGATATTTATACCTCACCTCCCTTTCTCTACCCATCCCGTCCGCCGTCCGCCGGGTCTAGCCGCGTTCTGCCCGCCATGCCCCCTCTCCTCAATAAGATCTGGGCCAAGTCACCAGCGCCCAAGCCCGCCAACAGCGGCCAGGCTAGCGATAAGGGGCCGCGCGGGACCAAGCGCAAGTCCAAGGGCGACCCCTACGACGAGATAGACGATGGTGAGAGAGAGAGAGCTGCCCGCCTGATTTCGTCCTTGCCTAACCCGCTTGAACAGACGACGAACCCCCGAGACCACCCCCGACCCCTCGCAACCGACCGCGTATTGCTTCTGAGACGCCGGCATCCAGCTCTAAGGGACGGTCGTCGCCGGCGAACAAGACTGCTAATACGCCTAGAAGTAGAGGGCCCCACTTCACGTTTAATTCCTCAATGGCAGCGCTGACATGCAGTGTAGAGCATCGAAGTCGCTCGTGGGGCACCCGCAGGGGTAATGCTGCCAACGACACCGCCGGTAATCCCGCTCGTGCACAAGGTCGAAACACGCCAACGAATCCCGCCAACGCCGAGGCCGAGTATTCGGGGAGTTCATTTGCCCCCATTCTAGATACAGACGATGCTAGTGAGTCTACTTTTATCTACTCGCGGGAATTACCTTTGCTCTACAGCAGGTCCCTAACTTAGGAGCACCCGCGCCGCATAGACCCCTCCCGCAACGAGCAAGCCACGAGCAACGGTGCCGGCGCGGATACAGGCGACACCGCTGCTGCCAAGCCCGGAGCTGCCAGCGAGGCCCCGATGAATGCCGGCGCGAAAGAAGACAAGGCGGGCGCGAGTAGAAAGGGCGGGGCAGATAAGAGCAAGGCCCAGGCTCAGGCTGAGGTTTCGGGTGATGACGTCGAAGTCGATGGCGGCGAGGAACTCGAGGTTCGTGCCCTCCTCCGACACCGGATGGCAGAAGACGGCAGCGGTCGGGTCGAACTGCTCGTCCACTGGGCCGGGGAGGGGGAGGAGAGCGCGACGTGGGAGACGGAAGAGGAGATACAAGAGGGGGCGGCAGAAACGCTGTACGCGTATTGGAAGGCCCAAGGCGGCCGCATCAATGCGCTCTTCATCAAGCCGAAGAACCCGCCGGTGGAGACGTACCACGTATTCAGATTGCTGAGCCACGCGAAGAAGGCCCGGGGCGGTTTCGAGTTCGAGGTGCAGTGGGTCGGCCATCCGCCGACGCGCGGCGAGACGTCGAAGGAGATGGAGGCCAAGCTGAGGAACGTGGCGCCGGGCGCGCTGGATGCGTACTGGGAGAGCGTCGGGGGCCGCGACAAGTTCCTGGCCAGGCGCGGTCGCAACCAGAGAGGGCGGGCCGAGTGATGAGGGCAGGGTTACCTACCGGCAAGGTGGATATGTACGGGTGTTTTTTTTTTCTTCTCTCTCTGTCCTCGCTCTCTTGCCTCTCCGTTTCTTTGCTTCTTGTTTCCTCTCTCTCAGTGGGAGACGCGGAGATACCTACCTCTAGGGCTTGGCGATGCATCATACGGCGTTAGGGAGACACGGCTTACGATATTATACGGTTGTTCCTCAAGCCGCGGGGTAGGCACGGGGGGAGGGCCGTTCCCTCGCCGGGACTTTTCTCTCTTTCGATTTTGTCGTCATATTCAGGGAGGGGGGGAGGCACCGGTGAAGAGGTGCGTTCCCCCGTCCACGATTTCTATAACCGTTACGGATGTAGCTCGGTTGTGTCGGGGTTCGGCCAGGCGTTGGTAGGGTCGCACGGTGAGTTTCGGAGCGTCGACGAAGACGATGAATGCAATATAATGGCCAAGGCACGAAGGAAGCTCTCGAGTGCCTATCGTCGTTCTCGTCTCACCCACTCCCCCCGGGTTTCCTCCCCCGTGGTGCGCGTCGTACTGCGTTGGTAAGTGGACAATACACACGCAGGCTGGGGGGAGGCTGGGTGAGAGACTGGAGCGAAGTCTAGTGTGCAGTGAGATTATGTACCTAATGCACACGGGTATGCGGCGTGTCTGCATTGTCGTGACCAAGATCTGTCCATACGACGCTGGAACCAGGGGTCATCATCTAGGCCCTAGGTAGGTATAACTATCTCTAATTAGGACCTCTTTTCTGCCTACGACCCCGGGGCATCTGGATGCGTCCGTATGCAAGTAAAGCGGTCTCTGGCCGTGATGCTGGCCGGCCTACACAGGGTCATGGCACGGTGCCGTCGAAGAAACTCGGCCCTATTCTCGCATGGCATTACGAGCCAGCGTGCATGCATGGATGCGCTCTGCCTCTCTATACGATATGTTACAGGTATCTTTCTTGCCGCCTGAGGCAGACAGAGGTAGGAAGCCATATACATACGGGTACCGAACTACCTAAGCCAGGCAGGAAGCTGGATAGGAGGTAGGTACCTACCTAGGTATTTGTCAAGCCTGAAAGGAGGTGAAAATTAGACCAGTCGGGATAGATATAGGTACCTGAGTACGTACCTAGGTGCCTGTAGAGGAGGTACCCAAGGCGCGGTACATGTACAATACAATAACATCCATGCGGTGGAGCACCAAGCTGCCTTAGGTAGGTACCTAGGTACCGGGCTAGGTAGGGCCCGTCATAGCGCGTCTGGCTAAGGTTTCCAGGGGCCGGACCAGGACCCGGGATAGGAGAGAAGGGGACCTTTGGCGAACCGGAGCCAGCCGAATGCGAAGAAGAACCGACAACTGCATATCTCAGGTACGTGCATGCCCACCTAATACCTGTCGAATTAGGTATATATATATATATCTACCCACCTAGGTCTATATATACACATATATATACCTATATATAGGCATAGACACCCCGTATAGAGCGATAGCCCTCCTCCCTCCCCCCTCGTATATGTATATGTATAGGCAGGCAGACAGGGCAGGCAGCCAGAGGAAACGGTCCTTTTGCCGAGACGACTTCGCTAACCACCCCGCCGCCATCGACGAATGCAGGGACGAGAAGGCCGCGAGAGAGAGAGAGAGAAAGCATATTGCCCACATGCAGGTCTTCTGCGTCCCCAATAGGCAGAAGTAAGGAAAGAGAAGGCCCCCCCCCCCCCGGGACACCTCTCAGCCGAGTGGATACGCCAGCATCTCACACATGCTTCTCTTTCTCTCTCTCGAGCACAGACCCGGTTGACGAGGGCTCGCTCGCCCGCTCGGCCGCCGAGGAGGCCGCGGGCCGCCGCGGACCGCCGCGGACCTGGTTTTGTGCGGCTTCGTCGCGAGTCTCTCTCTCTGCCATCGGTTCGGCTGCCGCGCCCTGGGTTAGGTTTGCTGGAGGGCTAGGGAGGGGGGGAGGGGGGGACAAGGGGAAAGGGGATGGGTAGATAGATAAATAGGCAGCTGGCGGGGAGGCCGAGCTCGTTGAGGGTTGGGGTCCCGTCCCGCCTCTCCCCCCGTAGACGGCGTCGACTACGCGTAGAGACGTTCAGCTCCCCCTCCCCCCTCCTGCGCGCGCGTGCGTCGACTGCTCGGATAGTTTTATATGGTTGCCGGCCGCTACTAGGCATAGTATTATTATTGCCGGTGCTAGTATTCTCGACCTCTATATCTGCCTACTACTGCTCCTATTACTACTGCTACTGTTACTACTACTACTCGCCCGGCCTGGGGAACCCGTTGTCGTGATTTCGTTCCCACGAGCGACGTCTTTTTTTCTCTCTCTCTTTTTTGGCCATATCCCCTGCACCGACTCCGAAAATAATTCCATAATTAAAATACTAATATTTGCTATCTTCGCCGTGCCCGACTATATCCGTCTGGCGCATATATAATACTACGTATATGTAAGTGTAACCCATCTGGGTGGTATGGTGTCGAGCTGCTCCAACGCCGATTTACCTATCTTACCCAGGTATCCAGATGACTTACACGCCTGCTCACTCACCTCCTATTTGCCCTCCTATTCTCTACACGCAGCATATACCTACCTACCTATTTCTTATACCACGTCCTTCCCCTCTATCTTGTCGCCAATATGTTAATGTCGCATCTACGTCTAGACTCTTATTCTCAGCGCGAAAGTCGGCGCGTGCGTAGGCACTCCGCGTCGACATAGCTTACCTACGCGCGCGAACGCGAGACCTTGCTTGGTGAACCGAGTACTCAGCCAAGGATTCCGGCTGACCGCCGAGACGGCGACCATGGGCAGCGAGAAGGGGGATAAGCCCAAAGCCAAGGCCAAAGCCAGGCCTAGGATCGTCAGGCCTCTCGGGTACCTGTACGCTTCTCTTATCCTGCCCCCGCACTCTCTCCCGTTTGCTGACTTGCCTAGGGAGCGCTACGAGTTGGCCATGCTGACGCTGGGATACTACCGCAACAGCATATTGACTTGCCGATACCTCATCCCCGCCGCGCTGCTGCCCCTGTCGCCGGCCCCCTCCTCCACGTCCGAGCCGGGATCGAAGACCGCCGGGCCCGCTGAACCCGACACCCTCTCCCCGATCCGCCTTGCCTTTGAGCGCGCCCTCGCCCGCGTCGTCCTCGCCCATCCCTTCTTGCGCGTCGGCCTGCGCGGCGAGGACCGCCGCAAGCCTGACTGGGTCGCGCTCGAGACCGTCGACTTCCGGCGGCACGTCGAGTGGCGGCTGCCGACGGCTACCACCACCACCGCAACCGCCGCCGACGGGAAGGTGGCCGCGGTAGATGCGGAGGTCTGGCCTGACGCCGAGGTGTGGGCGACCGTGCGCGAGCATCTCGACGTGCGGTGCGACGGTGGCGAGGATGCTCCGTCGTGGAAGGTGACCGTGTTCGTGACCAGGGGGGCACAGGAGGGGGAACAGGGCGTGGGCGGGCGCCTCGACGTCTTGTTCGAGTGGGGGCACGCGCACACGGATGGGATAAGCGCGAAGATCTTGCATGAGGATCTGCTACGGCACCTTAACGAGCACATTAACGACAGCGGCGCCGCGGGCCGCCTCCCCGAGTTCGCCGACCGCGTGCTCACGGTGCCTCCCTCGGCACCGACCCTCCTCCCTTCGCTTCACACGCTATGCCGGTTTCCGGTGTCGGCCGGGTACGCGCTGGCGACGCTGTGGCGTGAGCTGCGGCCGACGCCTCTCACATCGTATGTCGCGACGCAGGCGCGGTGGTCGCCGATCCGCTTGCAGCCCTACGCCACTGAGTACCGGCAGTTTGCGCTAGACGCTGCTCCCCTGGCCGCCGTCCTGCGCCGGTGTCGCGCCCACCAGACGACGCTGACGGGCCTGCTGCAGACCCTGATCGCGGTCGCGTTCGCTCGCCGGATCCCGGCCGCCGACGCGCCCGCGCTCTCCGGCGGCACGATACTAAACTTGCGGCCCATCATGGCCAAGGACGAGGGAGCGAGGAAGGTGCTGCGGGAGCTGAGAGAGAAGGGCGAGGTTGACGGGGAGGTCGATCTGGCACGGGCGATGGCGAACTATGTGACGTCGTTGCATCACGAGTTCGGCGCCGAGCTCGTCGCGGCGATTAGAGCACATGCTACCTCCGCGGGCGCCGACACAGCCAATGAGCCTAAGGAGCACAACGGAGGCGAGAACGGGGGCGCGAGCTCGACGGCCGCGATAATTGCGCTCGAGAAGCTCGTCTGGCAGACGGCGGAGCGCGTGCGCACCGAGATCCAGGGGAAGCTGGACCAGGGCTTCCGGAACGACCTGCTGGGGTTGGTGTGGGCAGTGTCAGACTACCGGACGCTATTCACGGACATAGCAAAGAAGCCACGAAGCTCCTCGTTCGCCATCACGAACTTGGGTGTCATCGACGGCAGTCCCGCCGGGCCGGCTGCTTCGGCTGAGGGGGAGGGAGGGGGGAATTGGCGTATCGACCGCGCCGTCTTCTCCATAAGTCCCCAGTCCACCGGTTCCGTATTTACGCTGTGTCCGGTCGCGGTCAAGGGCGGGCAGCTGTGGGTGTCGTGCAACTGGCAGGCCTGCGCCATGGACAAGGCCCTCGGGGACGCGGTGATGGCAGACATCGAGACGTGGCTGCGGCACTTTGGAAGGGAGGCAGAAGAACGGGAAGAAGCGGCCTAACCCGAGAGGAGCCACCGAACATTCCATGGTTAAGCGGCTCACGGACCCGGGGGGAGGGGGAGGTGCAAAAGAAAAGGGAGGTGGGCAAGGGGTTATAGAGATGACAGTAGACTATGTTGTAATTCTGCGGGATCCGTAGCCCGTTTCTGATAGTTGTAGCAGACGTACCGGGGTTTGGGGTAGAGAGGGAGGAAAGACAGAGAGGGCGGGGAGACGGGGGGGCTGCTAATCCGCATAAATGCCCATCGCCGCGACCTAGTGATCGAGTTAGATCGCCGCACCCTGTCGTCGGCATAGATAGATCTGTGTTGGAGTCGCATTGAGGTTTTCTTCTTGGGTGATGTGCCACGGCTTTCTTCGGCTTTGATGCCTCCTCTTCAATCCTATCCAGGTCTTCCTATTCGCCTTTGACTCATATGTGCATTCTGTAAAGGGACCTCAGTTTCGGGATCATCGTCTTAGTTGGACTTCTCAGCCTGGAAACGTGCCGACTTCGCCGCAGAGGCTTTTTCGTCTCTTTTTCTCCCCGTCCCTCTCTCTTTTTGTCCACTTCTCCTGCCCTTTTCTTCTCGCGGATAGACGTCTACGGCGCGCCCCGGTCTTGATAGGGGGTATTTGGACGCATGTGTGGCAGAACTACCGCGGGAGCAATCTCACCCTGCCCAGCTCTTCCCAACGATGCCTTCACCAACAATTAGGTAATTGCGCCTCGATATCCCTGGTCCGGCTGACGATGCAACGCCACGTACCCCCGCGGGATGGCGTGAAATTCGTCAAGTGAGGGTGGCCTGGAGGCTCCATTCGTCCCCCCATCCGCGTTCGCTCTCTCGCTTTCTCCGTATCCGCGGCCCTCTTCCTTGGTTGGGCTCATTGCTTGTCACGATATACGCAAGTGAGAACCCCCCTTTGCCGACTGCAGTATTCTCTTCAAATTCGGCTACTCCTTTCTAAACTAGGGGCGATATCAAGTCTGTCCAAACCAGCGTATTCGTCAGCTCTAGTGCGAGTCCGGGATAGGAACTCGAGACTCTGGGCCGGAACAGAGAAGGGGATAGCATCCCTACCCTTCGCTACTTTTCATCAGCCATACCTGTCTCATTACATTAATCTGCCCTCCATCCTATATATCTCTTGCCGCTACTAGATAGGGGCCTTCGAGGCTAAGCACAGTCGGGCCAAGCGTTATACCAGTGATCCCTAGGCAATTGTTAGCGACTTGTTGCCTTTCGAGGTTCCGCCCAATGAACGATACGAGACCGAAGATGGAACCCCAAACAAGATCGGTCACCTGTCCATCACCACCTGGGATAAGGCTCTGTACGGCGTCGGACCCGGGAATGATCACACACACACACACCGCCACCACTGTCATCGTCATCATCATCCGTGTCCCCATATGATATCAACTACAATACGCGCCATCCCTGCTATGGCCACGGCCGTGTCTGACCCAGATCCCCCCCTTTTAATGCTTCTGCATGCATTCTTCTGTCGCTGTGTCCTCGTACCCTGAAAGACGTTGGTAAAATTTACCAGATAACCTAACCTGGCGTGCTGTATTTACCTCCTATCATCTCCAAAAGGGAAGGGGAGGGCAGTAGCCTGGGCTTTTACCTCTCGAAGACTGGCTGTAGATTTTTTCGATACGCCTCATCTCGATTAGCGGAGTCGAGGTTCTAGGTTGCTGGGTAGGGGCCTCCTAAGTGGCCTTCTAAGTGCCGAGTGCGGTCTCCGCTGGCCATCTGGCTGCCTTCATATTCTAGTAATATATATTCCTGATAAGGCACAACGAAAGGCCGAGAGAGGAAAATATCAACATAGAATCCGGGAGCGTAGAGGGTGGTAAGATACTACGATACGGTACGACCATGACATTGCTCTCTAGACTCGGCGGTTGGAGCACAGTATGGGAGGAGGAAGAGGAGGAAGAGGAGGAGGGAGGGGTTCTATGCGGTCCGTCTCACAAATGCTACCTTGAGCTGTCCGTGTGCTCCCCGGGACGCCAGTAGATTCGAGAAGTCGCTCTGGCAGGGGGACGAGGAGCTCGTAAGCAGTTCATCGACGGCGACGAGGTTCCGCGGGATGCGGAACCGCGGGTGGCGAATGATGGGGTATGGGAAGCCTGCGATGTGACGGTAACGCATGCATGTGGCTGTCGTGCAGTCGACCTAATGGCTTCTCTGATTTCCAACTTGGGCCTCTCTATCAGCACGCAGGGCAAGCCCGCCTACGTCCCACCTATGCCCATCCTGGACATCGATGGGGTTCTAGCAACTCGAATGAAAACTCCCTCATGGATCTGGATAGCGTGCGTGCCCGCTCACCCTAGCCGCCACAGGGGGTGGGGAGGTTTTGGGATACTCGGACACCGATTTATTGGCTCCCACTGGCGTCGGGGAGCCGTTTAGCACCGAGTAATGTGTGATATTTCGACAGTGGTGGATGTCGGCAGGGCTTGCGAGACGCATGCACGTAGGTGCGTACGCATGGTGTGGTGTGGCGTGGCGTGGTGCAGGTTGGTAGGCAAGCGGATAGGGAGGCGTGTATCACGTAGGTTATATCGCCTACTAGAGGGTCGACCAGATCGGCCCTCTCCTCCTCCAGTTAGCCAATTCCCGATGGAAGAGGGCCGTTTAGGAGATATTCCGATCCATCTCGCTGTCGGTCAAGCGAGGGAGAACAGCAAGAAGACCCTGATCAGCGGGCTGACGACAATTGCATTTGCACGCCACGCACAAAAGACGCAGACAGGGAATACAGAGAGAAAGAGAAAGAGATAACAACAACTTGCCGCCACAAAGCAGTCCTGCGGGAGAGGGGAGGGCGGGGGCAAGGCGAGTACCTGATAGGAGAGCGTGTAAGACAGCCCTATTTACCAGGGTTAGGCGTGCGAGCCGTCCTCGTCACGGGAGGGCGACGGCGACGCGAATATCTCTCTCCCCTCTCTCTTTCTCCTCTTCCCGTGGAACGCTGATAAGGATGGGGCGGTAGAGAGGCACCGTAGGCTATTTTCTCCGCGCGACTTGTGCGGAATCGGACTCGCACATGTGTGCAGGGTGATTGGTATTCCAAGGATCAAAGGGTTGGAAGAGGTAGGCGACGGATGAGAAAGAGTCGGGGGTTGGAGGTGGCGGCGGCGTGTAGATGTGAGTGGGCGAGATGCGGACGTGGGCGGATGTGTGGATATGTGGGCGCGGAGAGGGGAGGGGGGTGTGACCAGCCAAGTAAGACTTTTTTCCTTTCCACAGCTTCTACATCGAGTACTAGTGCCAAAACAGAAAAACAGGTATATCGTGGGCAGGGGGGTGTACCTATACCCCTATTGTGCATACCCATACACCTTATCCACCTATTGTGCATAAGGTATATACGTATCGGCTACGAGAGCAGGGAGGGCGAGTGGCGAGGGCGTGTACGTAGCAGCGCTTGGGAGGGCAGATCGATCTGCTATCGACGAATGGATCTACAGCTAGACCACGGCTAGATCGAGTGGCATGGCGGAGCAGAGAAAGCCAGGATCTCGCTGCTGTGCCTCACCAAGGGAAACCGGAGTAGACAAGCGAGTCCGTAAACTAGGGGCGGGTAGGGAATGGAAAGAAGATGGAAAGGAAACTGAAGAAATCACACAACAGAACGGAATACAACGAAACGTAATCGAGGATGGCGAGGGATGGGGGGGAACCAAACAAAAGCAGGAACCAGAAAGAGGGAGAAGAAACCAGCCGAAAAGCGAAAGAGAGGAAAAAACGCAGAAAAGGCTCATCCGTAATGCCAACAACGAAGAGAGACTGGGAACGGACACACGTCACGGACAGCGCTGAAGTTGAACCAACCCCGCACAGGCAGCACTGTAGGTGTGTGTTGTCCCAATCCGGAGGGGCCACGGCGCCAAGCAGCCGCAGGTATCCAGGTATATAAATCTCGACTTGGACCCCGTCCCTTCATCCGTCTTCCTCCTTACAACACACAACACGCTCACCACCTACCCGCCGATCAGAACGACGTCTTCCCACCAGATCTAGCAATTCGATCCCTGACAGAAACGCTTCTAGCTTCTCTCAACACCACCCCAGCCAATCTATCAAGATGAAGGGCGAATGCGGATGCGCTGACAACTGTAAGTAGTAGGAGTAGGAGAGAAGACTGCTACCCCGCGGCCACGAACTGACCCAACACTATCACTACCACCACCATGACCACCCCCGATTTGTGCTGCTGCTAACCAGTGATGCTAGGCGAGTGCGGCACTAGCTGCGAGTGCGGGAAATAAGCCGTGCCACCGACGAGACCCCCTCTGCGAATGAGGTCGACTACGCTACTCGACGCCGGCTTCCCCCGCAGACCTCATCCCCAACCACGGACCGGCTAAGACTTGCCTCTCCGTATCTCTCTCTCTCCTTCTCGTGGATCACGCCAAGCAACAACTACCGAAGACTAGAAAAATAAAAGGAAGAAAAAAAAAAGACACGGCAGCAATCGGTGTACTATCACCAACACGACATGCAGACCATCATTTTCGGCTCGACTGCGGGATCCGGAAGCCCCGAGAGGCTGAATTAGTTGGGAAATGGCGGAACGACGGGGAACGGTGCTGTACTAGTAGCTATCGGAGAGCCGGCCAAGCCAGCTTAGCCACCGCTCCTTAAGAGTCTCAATCCGATTGTAATATTTTTTTTTTTTTTCGGTGTGGCACCATATGCTTATGATTTTTTGCCTCGTGTGATGCCACTGTCTCCTGTGATCTGTCCGATACCACAAAATCCGCCCTCCGTCCAGAATCGGGGGTTTCCCTGCCTCCGGGAGACCCCTAAGCGCCCTCGACCGTATTCGGCCTAGCTCCGAGCTCAGCGGGGGCGGGCAGGTAAGTTTAGTCCCAACTAGGAAGTTTCTCAAGTCTGACATCAGGCCCAGGTGGCGTTGTTGCCTCGATCTTGATTCGGTAAGCAAATTAGGTAAGGCAAATTAGGTAAAGTGAATTAGGCCCCTACGGAATCCCCTCTCTCTCTGCTCTTGCGCCTTCGCCTCGAGGGTGCTGGGCGAGGGCTTCTAGGAGAGAGAGAGCCGGCCGTGAGAGCGGGTTGAGATGTAGTTGGAGGTAACCCAACAACAAACCTCTCCTCTCCTCTCACCTCTTACTTCGACGCCAATTACAAGTTGAGATGATTACTAGGTATTTCTTCTAATACACAATACGCTCACATTTTACCTGATACGAGGAAGCCGTGCGCCCATCCAAGCTTGACCTTTGTATTTTTACGGTTTGTTGTCCTTGTCTCTTCACGTAGACAAATGGGTTCGGAGGTAGGTAGCCGTTAGTAGAGACTTACCACCTGTAGGTATTTTATGTACGCAGTACGTACTCGTCCACTGCCAAGTGGAAGACAGGAGACGAGTTCCAAGTTTAGGGTCCCAAGCTCTGACGAACCTACGTCTATAATCATGCCTAGCACATGGTGATAAGACAAATACTCATACGATTACACGAACGCAAGGTACCGCGGGAGCCGGCAGCCAGCCACGAGGAGGAGGCGAAGGGAGGGGTGGTCAGCCCATGTCGCACCACCGCATCCTCGGGCCTCTCCCGAGAACATGGGTTGATAAACATCTGCGCGACCCAATGGCATGTCGAGAAAACGACGACAGTCTTTCCGTCTAGGCCGAAGGCGTCATATAGGGCCGCCAGTAATAATGGCTAGGAGACGGACTTGTCACGACACTCCTATCCGGCCTGGGGAGAGGTGGGTGTCCGGGAAGAGAGTGGCGGGGCTCCACCACCCTGTACAAAGCCGACGTCACCCCAGCCCGTTCCGAAGCCGTCGACCGGGCCCGCGTCGCCGTGGTGCCCGTAGGGCCAAGGGCGATCTGCTTACTACGGGCGATAGTTATTAAGATCTAAATAAATGCAGCTGTTTACGGTGGAATCGTATATGGATGTCTAGTGTTGCTAGTTGTGTACGTAGTAGTAAGAATAGGGGCTAACAGTCATGGTCATGGTATGCTGCGTAGTTAGGGTCTCTCTTGAGTTCCCCTCCGCCGTAGGGCTTGAGTATATCCCCAAATAAATAAATGTACAGGAATGAGTAAAACAAAAAGGTGAGCGATGTATCATGCCGCTGGCGATGTCGTTTTAGTCGTGGCATTTCTCCTAGGGCAGAAAGAGGCGGAGAGACAGAGGGAGGAAAAGGAGCTCGTGTGCTGTGAATAGCAGTGGACAAGAATCACGCCCCCTTGTAACCCTGTGCCTCTCATCTCCTAGGTGAATCACGGTAGGTAGGTGATTTCTGATAACTCCTGATCCAGCAAAACCAACACCGTGAATATAACCATAGGACCGGTACGTGAACCCAGCATAATATACCGAAATACTTCCCATGTATTCATCGCACCTGGCTCACCCCTCTCACACTGGAAGAGCACACAGTTGCCTGTACGACAGCAATATAACAGCAGTATGCCATCAACATGCCATCAGCATATTCATAAGTATATTCATGAGTATAGGCATCTTGGCTTAGGTACCTATTCACAAGAGAGGTATCTACGGTACCAGAACCGTCGTGCCTGTCACCGGGCCATATCAGGTACTGCCCCTGCCCATCTCAAGTACACCAACTTCGAGCATATACTGAGGACCGATTATTCACATCAGGTCCGACTGGGGAACGTCTATATACCTACACTGCTATTCAACAATATGTACCACCGCCGCTGCCGCACCCCTTATTTATCTCTGCCTCAGATACCTTCCTGTTGCTGATTCAGTTCCCTCCCCTCCCCTCGGCATCGTCAGCAACCTACTCCTCCGCCTCAACTGGGATTCTTCTGGTCTCCCCGGCCTGCGTCCTCTCCTACCTCTCTCATAACTATCGCCGTTCTCCCCTCTGCTCTCTCACCCTCATCTGTGCCGGCGCGTGGTACCCCCAGCTGCCTCCCAAGGGCCAATCCCCCAGTTTCCAGCCTTGAGCAGAGCTATCTGCTTGATTCTACTTTCACCACATTTACACCCACATCCACACCCACACGCCCTCAGTCTCATCTCCTTCTCATCTAGGCGGTACGTGCTGTCTCTTTTCTCCTACCTCAGTCCGAACGCAGTACGTCTAATGCCCCAAATTGCCCATGGTCTCGGCTAACATATGCCAGTCCAGCTACGCCAGTTTCCGCCAGAAACCACATACAGCGCATGTCCCATCCGGCCATCCGTGATATTTGCCAGGCCTGAGGCTTCATCCGTTCGGGCAATCCACATGAGGCAAGTTGCCTATTTCTAAATATTCACTCGCAACTAGTTAATAGCCCTCTAGGTTACGTGACACCTTCACTGTTCTGAATACACCCTCGCCACATCTAGGTGAGCCAACCTTCACTCTACGGTTGGTTATCTCTATTCCAGGTACCTATATATTTAGTGTCCTGGGACTCTTGCGCTCTTATTTCCCTTTTTACTTACCAAACCCTTATTATCCTTTAGTCTGAACTGCGCAAGGCTTGGCCGTGCCAGAGTTGTCTTTACAGACCATTGGCAACTCTATCTCGCTTCCCGTGCCCTGCCTTCTTTCCGGGACTTCACATACTCACGTCCCCTTAAGAATCCTGGCTCTGTCTTTCACCATGTCAGACCAAAGCAACAATTACCTCCTTGGTCAGAGCGACATGATCCCGCTCCCCAGTCTACCGGCTCGTACTCTCGCCGGAAGAGACACGTCCCCCAATGAACAACACAACACGGTTGGAGCATCAAGCAATGTCATTTCTCCGTCCACCCCGGTGCGAAGCCTAGGAAGCCATGCAACAACATTCCAGGAAATTTCATTCAACAGTGCCGGATCAGATTCCAGCATCCCCCGAGTTCTATCTCAACATCCGTCAAACTGGATCCGCGATAGCTTCGACAGTGTTAGAGATGAGGAGACCGGTGGTACCAATCAAAACAAGAGGCCTGCCATATCTAGGATCTGGAATTCAATCCGGAGCCCCGTCAAACGGCGTGTTGAGGAGTATAGGATGAATAGACAGTTTCGTGGTGGCCTCCCACTTCCTGTCACTGCAGGTATGTATACCACCGCTACCCATGACCATAATAGATGTGCTGCCACCCCCTTTCATACGACGTTTCCTGTCATCTCCTTGTTCGTCATCTACCTACCACAAATCTCTGCTAACCATGCTCATAAAGCCAATCCTTCGCACAATATGGTCCCCTTCATGAGCTCTAACCATAACAACCAAATGGCTTCTAAATTGTCCTGGGCTCAGGCTCAACGGTCGGACCACTTGAGAGAGAGAATAACGATGCCTTCCGCTACAATGTCTCTCGCCACTGGTGCCAGCATCAGCTATCCAGACGGTTCCCAACTGTCTTCCGGCCATCGTGTGCATTTCACATCTCCCAACCCTGTGTCAGTGTACTCCGCCGAAGCGGATCTCTCCCTGTTACCCCTGACCAGTCGACCCAAACCTCCAAATGACCATTTCTGTTGTCATTTCCGCTGCAACTTTTGCCTTCGATTGGTATCCATTCGGGAGTCCCTAACCGCGTCTGTCCAAGATGCTTATGACTGGCTGACTGTCAAGTTCTCGTTCGAGGTAAGCACTGTGACGCGCATCGTCTACCTTATTGCCGGTACAAGCACCGTCAATGTTATTGTAGCCGTCATTGTGCTTTGCACCGAGGGCGATAGATACCCAGGCAATGCCTCGACTGCTGTCCGCATCTGGCTCGGAGTTAGCGCTGTCGTACTACTGTGTGCACTACTCTACAATAGCCAGCGCTCTGACCGAATCGCCGAATGGGGCCCTCGTCAACGACTGAGGGGCACTGCAAGAGACCATGACGACCAAGGGAATTCATACGAACTTCGGGAGCTCCCAGCTTATTTACGATCCCCCCATACACCGGAGCCGGGACAGCGCCATCGCCACCGGCGGGTCTCGGAACCCGAACTCGTTTCCGGTGGCAATGTTGCCTCGAGAGAACAACCGGACCTGCCACAGCACGCTACAGGCGAGATGCAGTATCCCAGCCCGTATGTGAATACGTTGGCGGACAACCTACATAATGAGGTGGATAATGTTCCACCAACTTCTCTACTTACAACCTCACAGGCCCGCCTGGGTCACTCTAACCAACCGCGCTCTACCACGGTCGGTATTGCCCGAGGCAGCTCCTTGTATGGGTCCGAGCAGCGAGAACAGCGCCGCTACGGTGCGGAGCCGCCGGATCATGAGCGACATCAGCGAGCAGGTCCAGGTAGCGGAATCTTGGAAAGGACTCTCGTCCCAAACAGAACCGCCAGCGGGCTGACCGCTCCGACTCTCAGCCGCGGTAATAGTGGCGATACCTCCGCCACAGAATACCAGTACAGCGAGACCATTGTCAACGCCGAAGCAGAGCCATATGGCTCCGGCCCAGCGGCTATTAGACCTGCCAACACCCGAGAGCACCATGGAACTGGCACGGGAGGAGATGTTGATGGAGTACGTGTGCACCGTGATTCCTCCAATAGCGTGTCAACAGTTGTTAGTTTCGCGAACGGTTATGTCACGCGCTCCATGGTCGAGCGACGAGGTTCTTACTTCCGAAACTCAGCAATGCTCTCGCGATCGCCGCCACCCCAGTACTCCGAATACCCAGAATCGCCTACCATTGGTTATGGCGCTGGCACTTCTGCTGCTGATGCTACAGATGAATCTGATTTCAGCTCTGGTGAAGCCGAGCACTCTGGCATGGACTCGGAAATAGACCTCCCGCCTTGTGTCATTCCCGTCGCTCAGAGGTGGGACTTCGTCTCCGAGTTCGACGAGGATGACGACCGTGGCGGTGACAACCACAATGACGATAATGATCACGACGAGTATGGCCAAGGCCAAACCGGCAGCCTGGAGCCTGAAACACCCACACAGCAGTCCTGGATGGCTGAGAACAACAACGAGGTGGAGGGTGAAGGCGATTACGATGAGGAGGACGAGCGCGCTTACCAGGAGCAGCGCGCGGCCGACTCGGACGAGTATGACCTCCCGTACCGCATGTCGCCGATTCTCGAGCGCAGCGACGAGCTCAGCAGCTCGCCGCCCTCGTCGATGCCACGACGCCGTCGCTATTAGGCCACTCCCCCCAACCTGGCCAGGGCATGTTGCAGGAAGGCCGCGAAGTACATGTCGCTAGCCATCCATGACGGCAACTCAGCTGGACGGGGTGTCTAGGAGAAGAGTGCATGTTTGTTTTTTTGTTAAACGAAAGAAAGGACGGAAGGGCAAGCAGATACTCTGGATCCGGGTTTGGATCATCGCTCATGGCGACAAGGGCACTACCACCACCGCCAGATAGGTAGTATTGCAGGACTCGCCGAAGATTTGCTTGTAGGGTACTTGTCCGCTTCTTGCCGGCCGGGCCCACAACTGTTGTATGTGATCACTTGTAAACATTGTAAACAAGGGAGGGAGGGAGAGTGTAGGGTGGTAGCTGGTTGTTGACCTGACGCTAGGGCCCGCCGGGGCTTTGGGCAGGGACGCCAGGACAGACAGTGAAGTTTGTATCGGTGGTCGGGGCAAATGACGATGGCAATGGAGGGTGGCATGTGTGCGTGGCGCGCACAAGACTGTAAACTGGCCCCGAGTCGCAGTCTGTCTTTTGTCTGGTCTTGACCGCCGAGAGAGAGAGGATGATACACCATGTACTTCTGTCGCATAGCTGGCCTGGACTTCGGGCCCCGTAATTCACACAATGACAAAGACCGAGTCTTACGAGTGCCGTGAACTAATATATAAAAGCAGCCGTAAACAAAGAGCATACCCCCCGATGCTAGACTTGCGTAACCTGAGCCATCCAACATCATTGACGGTATATACATACATATATAGTAAGCAAAGAGCCCCCTCTCCTCCCTCTACCAGCCAAGAGACGAGTCAAGGAGCGTAGTAGGTACCCCAACGGTGACGTGTATTACCCCTGCCTCTGCCTTACCACTCACTCACTCGCCTTGCTTGCTGCTCGATACTGTACACGCGACGGCCAGAATGCGTCCTTAGCCAGAATGCGTCCTTAACTCCAACACCTATCCGCAGTTGTTCTCGCCCGACACCGATTCGTAATAGTTCCGGGACAACAGACCTAACCCGAGCCGACCTGGCGACGAGACGTATCTTATCTCTCCCGGCCAGCGGGAAGCAGCTGCCCGGGGGAGGAGGGCGGGGGGGGGGAGGGGACAATGCGGCGCTAGGTAGCCCGCCCCGCCCGGGCCCGGTTCTCGCGGTACCGCTTCTCCTTGGCGGCGGCCTTGCGCCGCCGGCGCCACGCGCGGTTCAGGTCGCCGCGGCGCTCCCAGAACTGCTTCTGGAAGTCGCTGAGCGGCGCCTGGCTGGCGTCGGCGCCTGCGCCGGTCGGCCCGTTCGCCGTGCCGGCGGCGTCCCCCCGCTGCTCCTCCTTCCCGTCGTGCGGTTCCTCGCCGTCCGCATCGGCTTCGTCGTCGTCGTCGTCGTCGTCGGCCAAGCCGTTCCGGGGCCAGAGGTTGAACGTCCGGCTCGGGTGCGCCGTGTCCGGCGTCGGCGCCGCGCTGCGCACGTTCCTGAAGTCGAAGTCCTGCTTCGTGAAGGGCGTCATGGGCGGCTGGTGCAGGGGCGCCACCACGTCGTCCTCGTCTTCCATGTCGTCGTCGTCGTCGTCGTCGCCCCCGAAGAAGCTGAAGGGCTCGGCGGCGGCTTGGCCAGGCGTGGCCGCGCCGCCCGGAGGCCGCTTATAGAGCGCCTCGAGAGGGTGCACCTTAGCCGAGGCTGGCGTCGCGGGAGGAATCTTGATAGTGAGGCTCGTAACCGAGCTTGAAGATTTAGGTCTTGCCGACTCGGGCTTCAAGGCTGACGTGGGGCTGCTCAGAGCAGATGTCTCCACCTTCAGCTTCAGCTTGGGCGGTGCCATCACCTCGGCCGTTTCCGCGGCGGCTTTGTTGTGTTGAGTCGTCGGCTCTGGTCGATCGGAACCATCATCGTCTTCCGAGTCGTCAGACGAAGAACCACTACTGCTTGTGTCGTCGTCATCCTCATCCGCCTCGCCATCGCCTTCCTTTTCCGGCGCGGTCGCATCGGAAGCCGCAGTCATATTTTGTTGTCGGGAAGCTTGGGCATCTCGTCTCTTCCTTACTACCGGCTCAACCACCTTTCCATCCCGATCAACCCAGCCTACGCCGTCTTCGAAAGTCACCGCTTCCGAACTGCCCGTCGTGGCATTAGCCTTCAGGAACGATGGATGCTTCACCGTCTTCTCAAATTCGTGCACGACCACCTCGCGCCCGCTCTTTCGCCTTTTCTTCTTGTGCTCGGTGGCTTCTTCGTCGTCTTTCGCTGGCGACGGGCCTGGGCCTGGGAGTTTGGTCTTGAAGAGGCACTCGGGCCCGTCGGTGTACTTTGATTTGATCTCCCTCTTCTTCATCTTCTTCTCCTTCTTCCTCTCCTCCTTGGTCTCCTTAGATTTCTTGTCCTTCTTAGCCTTTTTCCGCTTCTCCTCAATCATCTCGCGCTCCGACGTCGTCCACCCGCGCTTGATCTTGCGGCCTTCCAGCTCGACTCCGGGGGTGACATCGATGTCGCGCTTCCGCTTCTTGGACTTCGTCTTCTTCTCCTTCTTGGCCTTGCTAGCGTCGGCCGCACCCTGGTCGGCTCCGGCCGTAGGTTCGGGGATGGATTCGGGCCGAGCTTTCTCGATGCGCATCTTGGTTCCCCTCAGCACCGTTCCGTTGAGCTTCTTCTTGATCTTATCGGCGTCGGCGGTAGGCAGCTCGACGAAGCCGAACCGCTTCTCGGGAAAAGTCTCGAGGGTGTGATACGAGATGTTGCGCGCGCGGGGGAGGATGGAAGAGGGGACGACGATGGAGAGCAGGGACTCGTCTAGAGGGGTGATGTGAAGTCGTGTGTACCCGTCGGCGCTGGCTGTCGGGGTGGTTAGAGGCTCGAGGAGTTTGAGGACTACAGCCATAGCTGCGCTAGCATGAATCCATGGCCTGCGAAGAGAGGAGGGGGGTGGCCTTGTGTGGTCGGTCCGGTGTAGGTGTTGGCGATTGGTGTAGGAAGAAAGTGAAGAGGCTGACGGGCGGTTCGAGGAAAAGTCGCTTGGCGGGCCGGCGGGAGGAAGGGCAATATGAAAAAGTAGGGAATTGATTACTCAGCAGGGTGCACCCCCAATTCTACTAACTCACCTCGGTGGGGATGGAGATAGCTTACCTAAGGCACACGAGGTATATAGGTAGATGTCCCATATTGTCTCCCCCCCCTTTAACTCGTCGATCGTTGCACAGCTCCGTTTTTCATATTCCGGGCCGTCTCAACCTTCACACGATGCCACGAAAACTGCCTCCGCTTCGGTTCGTCAGGTCGGTCAGTACAGGTCCTCGGCACCGATAACAAGAGGTGGTAGGTAATTGCTAAGTGTCCTTTGGCATGCTTAAAAGGTCCTGAAATCGTTCATGGCCGAGTCTGGCTTGGAGCCGAGGTGAGCTATATCCTATATATCCTATATATGCCTATGTGCCTATATATCTATATGCCTATATATATATGTATACCCCTTGGTCCGGCTGGAAATGCCTTTTCTCTTCAAGAGGCATGTCGGGGACGTATTCTGATGATCGACACTCAGATTGTTGGGACCCCACGTAAGCTTCGCTCGCAGCCAGGCACGGGCGTTATCCTTCTGCCGGGTACTGACGAGGGGGTCCCAGCTTCGGGTGACCAACGCCGTCGCTGGCGAAGTTCAGTTTGAGCTGGACATCACGAAGGACCACACGGTAAGGCGCACCCGAAGAGACCTCTCGCCCGGGCCGTCTAGATAGCGGGCGGTCGCGCCGTGCTCACCGTCTGCCTGCGTGTCCAGAACCGGCTCAAGATCCTCCACGGCGGCACGATTGCTAGCATGGTCGACCTCGGGGGCTCGCTCGCGGTCGCCTCGATGGGGCTCTACGCCACCGGCGTGTCGACAGACCTGAACGGTAAGCGGCTCGCATCTTCGGCCCACTACGCCGCCGAATGGCTACCCGGCGGACCGGCAGCGCTGACCGACTGGTTTCAGTGACATACCTGAGCAGCGGCGGCAAGGTGGGCGACAAGATTACCGCTACGGCCGTCTGTGACAAGAGTAAGCGCGAACCGTCCCCCCCCCCGGCCCCTCTCTCGTCGGTGAACCGGCGCGCTCTGCGGCTTACTCGTTTCCGTACACGGCTAACCGGCTCCTAGTTGGCAAGACGTTGGCGTACACGTCCATCACGTTCAGAAACAGCCAGGGCGAGCTCGCAGCAAGGGGAAGCCATACCAAGTCAGTGCTCACGCGCTCTCCCCGGCCTCTACCCGGCCTGAGAGGTGGGGCTACGGAATGGCTACTAACCGGCGCAGGTACGTGACGCAAGCCTGGAAAGCGCAGGAGAACCCGTTCACGCCTCCGGAGGGGGCCGAAGTGGAAGAGGAGAAGTGACACGGGTGCGTCGTGCTCTGCTCGACTGAGGGAGGACGATCCCAGCGGGAGGGGGTGCCGCGTTATAGAACTCCCATGTAGGTAACTAAGAACCTAGAAGTAGACGGGCAGCGGCAGCACAGAGGAAGAGCGTTTGTCGAGGAGGCTATTAGAAGTGAATATGGAGATTACTCGCAACCAGAGGATACGCGTGCGCCGCGTCTCTGCGTCGACGTTGCTATGTGCCTAGCATACCTCCCTACCACCGTGATAATCCGACGGCCAAGGACCCCTTCGCGACGGCGAGATCCGCGACGACCTGCCGAACGGCGCACCCGGGACGAGTGCGGGGCCAACGCCAGGCGTCGCCAGCGGCTAAAGGAATATGTATGCCCAGGCATCGAGCAGCAGGGGTTTGGCCACATTAGGCAAGGCGAGCCTGGCTTGGTGGTTGGCCCTGAGCGAGCGTCACCTTGTTGGGAGTAGAGCAGAGTAGAGTAGAGTAGAGAGAGAGAGTAATAGAGAGAGAGGATGGTTGACAAGGGGACGGGAGAATTAACGAGGGGGCCACCGCACTCGGGTCGTCCCTGTTCGCTGTTTCACTATGCACACACACTCTCTCTGTCTGCCTCCCCAGTTCTCTCGCCTTCGTCGTCGTCGTCGTCCTCCTCCTCCTCCCCTCCCACCTTCCGCTCTCCTAGGTTCTTCTTTCCTCCCACCTTCCGCTCTCCTTGGTTCCTCTTTCCCCCCCCCTTCCGCTCTCCTGGGTTCTTCTTTCCTCCCCCCTTCCCTCCCCCCCCCCCCCCACTCCCCCCAAGCCAAGCTTCCGCCAACGCTGCCATCCCTACTTGCAATTACCCCGGTTATTCACCGGTCGGATCTAAGTACCTAAAGTACCCTGGGTACCAAAGTAACCCGCCCACCTAAAGCGCGCACCTAGGTACCTTACCTTCCTAGATAAGGCATGTACCTGGTGGGGTGGACCCCTGGGCTGGGTGGGTACCTCCTGCCCTGGAGTTGCTAGCTTAGCTCGTTACAGTTACACACTCGGCCTATAGTTGCAAACCCATTGCGAGGAAGCGACGCTCTCCCCTGTCCCCCACAAACTGCCGTCTCCCCCAGGCACGGAGGAACAAAGTAACCTCGCTGCCAAAACCCGAGGTCGCCCTTCGGCTGTCCACTCGCTTGCCAGCGTCTCTCTTTGTCTCTCTGCCTCTCTCTCTTTTTTTCTCTTTCTTTTTTTCTTTTTCCCTCTCTTCTCTTCCCCTTACTTCTTCTGCCTCTCTCTCCCTCTCTCCCTCCTCTCTCCCGCTTCTCCTTGTCCTGCCTACTTGCCGTAGGCATATATATTCACACACGTATTTCTTGAGTGTGAAGACGTGCCAGTCTCTCTGGATCTGCGATGCCGCTACGCCCATAGTCACTGTTGGGGAGTGCTTCTTGGACCGCCATATAGAGAGAGAGACACGTAGAGAGAGAGCGAGAGAGAGCTTCGTCTTCGCCCTATCCCTACTGTCTATCCCTTCTTCTCGCCTCCCCTGCTCCAGCAGGACCTGGTTGTAAGCTACGCACCTGACCATGGCCGCGATCGGTGAGCTCTTACACATTCCCTCCCGCTCCCCCCTCACGATGCTCTTTCTACCCGGCCGCTGCCTACCTATCTGTATACCTCATCCGTTAGGCGCGGTCGCGAAGGACAGAGAAGAAGAGGATTCCTTACGTCGCCCGTCTAGTATAGACCGCTAACGGCATGGTGGGAGCTTCACAGCAGCTGCGTCGATAGCGGCCACTGCTGCCGGCCTCACCTATCTCGATGGTAGATTCCATCTGCGCCAGGACTGGCATGACATCCGCTCCCGCGCTGCCGCCGCGAAGCTGCTCCAGAAGGCCGGTGAGTCGGCGTTGCCGCCCGTCCACCCGAAGCCTCCTGAATAAGAAGAACCGCCTAACCTCTCCCCTCTCCCCCTCCTGCCCGCGTTCCCGTAGTCCAAGATAAACGCGTATCGCCTTACTACTTCTTCGAGGCCCGAGCCCAGGCCCATCCCGAGAAGGAGGCCATCTGGTCCCGGAACCACGGTGTCCACACCTACGATGCCACCTACCGCCGCGCCAACCAGTTCTCCCGCTGGTTCCTCGACAACGGCGTTCGCCCCGGTGACTTCGTCGCCTTCTTCATGGCTAACAGTCCCGACTTCGTCTTCGCTTGGCTCGGCCTACTCGCCATCGGCGCCGCTCCCGCCCTCATCAATCACAACCTCACCCGCCAGGCCCTGCTCCACTGCCTCGCCATCTCCGAGGCCAAGCTCGTTCTCGCCGACGGCCCACCCCAGCTGCTCGAGCGCCTCGACGCCGTCAGGGAGGACCTCGCCGCCCAGGACGTGCGCATCGTCAACCTGGCCGATGCCCGCTCCGAGATAGACACCGCTGTGAGCGAGCGCCCCCCGGATGAGCTCCGCGACGGCGTTCGCCCGGACTCGCCCTTTGGCCTCTTCTACACGAGCGGCACCACTGGCCTGCCCAAGGCCTGCGCGCTCCCCGCCGCTGCCAGCTTCAACTACGGCGTCAGCCGTGCGTGCGGCTTCTCTTACGTCCAGGGAGACAACCAGCGCTACTACGACTGCATGCCGTTGTACCACGGCACTGGCGGCATCAGTGGTATGACGCAGCTGCTGACCGGCCAAACCTTGTGTCTGGCGCCCAGGTTCAGCGTCTCGGGCTTCTGGGATGACGTTCGCGACAGCGGCGCCACCTGGTTCGTCTATGTCGGCGAGACGTTGCGCTACCTGCTCGCTGCCCCGCCTTCGCCGCGCGATCGCGATCACAAGGTGCACTCCATCTACGGTAACGGCTTGCGCCCGGACGTCTGGAAGCCGTTCCGCGACCGCTTCGGCATCGGGACCATCTACGAGTTCTTCAACTCGACTGAGGGTATCATGCCGCTCGACAACCCGGCGCGCGGTGACTTCCGCGCCCACGCCGTCGGCCACCACGGCTTGCTGCAGCGCCGCCGCTTCCAGAACGTCTTCGTCCCCGTCGAGATCGACGTCGACACCGGCGACATCGCGCGTGACCCGCAGACCGGCTTCGCGCGGCGCGTCCCCTACTCCGTCGGCGGCGAGATCCTCGTCGCCCAGCCGCCGACCATCACGCCTCCCTTTCCGGGCTACTACCGCAACGAAGAGGCCACCTCCAAGAAGTATGTGCGCGACATCTTCCGCAAGGGCGACCTGTACTATCGCACCGGCGACGCCTTGCGCCGCGACGACGACGGCCGGTGGTTCTTCCTCGACCGCCTCGGTGATACCTTCCGCTGGAAGGGCGAGAACGTCTCGACCGCCGAGGTATCCGAGGTCCTGGGCCGCTACCCCGGCGTGAGCGAGGCTACCGTCTACGGCGTCTCGCTGCCGAACCACGACGGTAAGGCCGGCATGGCCGCCATTTACGTCGACCCGGCAGTCAAGAACTTTGACTACAACGGCTTGCTGAAGTGAGTCGACCCCCCTTCCCTCTTCTCCCTCTCCGCTACTGACGGTCTGAATAGGCATGCACGCACGCACCTCCCAAAGTACGCCGTACCCGTGTTCGTGCGCCGCATCGGCGCCCGCTCCGCCACCCACAACAACAAGCAGGACAAGATGCCGCTCAAGCGCGCGGGCGTCGACCCGGAGCAGACGGGTGCCGATCCCGTCCTCTGGGTCCCCGACCACGCTAAGGGCGGCGAGGCCTACGTGCCCTTCTCTCCCGCCGACTGGGACTCGCTCAAGGGCGGCCGCGCTAAGCTGTGACGACCCTTCTCGGCGGGAGAGGGGGGGAACACTAGGAAAAATAAAGAAACGCTCGATAAGATGGAACCAACGTAGCCTACGATGAAGTAGCCGATTCCGTGCGGGCGCGCCCCGGCTGATGCCCCTACATCGCTCAGATACCTGTTTCACCGACTTCTTTTTCCTCATCACATCGCCTGCGACGGATAAGGACGATACTGGCGATGACGACGGCGATCGCGGGGTGAGGGCCCGCCCGGATCACGGCGAGCGAGATTGCCGTACGACGGCGCCGAAACTTCCCCCGCGGGAATTACTAGTTCTGTTCGAGGATGGGAAGTGGGGTGGTTCTGGCGCTGATGCTAGTTGCCAAAATACGGAGAGGCGAAGTTGAACGGGGAGGAGGACCTTCACTGCCGTCGACGCTCGAGGTCCGAATTTCCTTTTTCGGATTTGCTTCTTGCGTTGTCGTCACCGCTGCTGCTGCACTCTACTTTGCATCGACGCCATTTGCATCGACGTCAGTGATATCCGTGACCCCGAGATCTGGCCAGCAGGGAGGGAGGAGAGGGGAGAGGGGGCTGGGAGGAGATACCATGTCGACACATTTAAATTTCACGGAATCGTTTCGAGGGGTGGGTACAAAGAAACCGAGGGGGGGCCGGAGAAGGACAGGGGATCAGGGATTGGGTAAATGCGGCCGTGTCACTTGTTCAGGCGTATAGGTATAATACCGACACGCACTGCCTGACACAGATGCCATCTCAGCTCCATCATCCTCCTTAGTACAGTCGCGATCTACCCTGCCGATGCTGATTTCTCGTGGAAGTAATGCGCACTCATGATAAAATCTAATCGATGCTCGCTAATAGGCCCATACGCCCAAATAACCCGCCCGTATAACCGTCTAAAGCTATGTGATGGGTACTATCAATGTGTGTGGGGATGCAGGTAAATGCAGGTAAATGCAACCGTTAAATCATCAAGACATATCTTTCTCTCGTCGTGGGTATTCGCTCGCCCTCCAGCTAGGTAACCGTATACTAGGTATATGCAGCCTCCGTATATGCAAGTTGCTGAACCGCGTATCTAAGAGACTGTACCAGGGTACGTATCTTCAGATACCTTGACGAGGCGGGCACTGGTACGCCGCCTGCAGCACCAAAAGGCACACAGCTTTGTAGCCTCTCCCAGTCACTCACGCTAATGGTTATTACACCGAACACGCCGAGTCAACCGCCATTATAGGATCTATCGCTCGAAAGTATATCTTCAGCACATGGCCGTCTATCAATACACAGCGAGTCCTCTCCCTAACTCGGAGCAGCCCGTCTCGGCCACTGCTCCGACGTATAGCCGAAAGGCCTGCGGATACGTGAGACAATGTTTACCCGCAACGAGGGTGGAAGCTAACGTACTTACTGGGTTCCGTCGCCTTCGATCTGGTTGGGGATGGCCCGAGGGTCGACGCTTGCGAAGTGCTCCGCGATCTGCTGGCAGAAGGCTCGCGAGGCTTGCTGGTATTACTATTGGTATTGTGTGCCCTGGATCCTTTCGGGGTACGGGGGTCGACCTTCTGCGGCGATATTAGCGGTAGACCTCGTGGCAGAATGCATGCAGAGGGTGTGTGACGCACGTCGCCATCATGATCCGAATTCCAAGGGTCTTTGCCGGCAACCAGTTCTGCGTAATCCGGACGCGCTACACTCCGAGGTGTACGACGCGGTTTCTCCGTCTCCGATTCATCATCGTCCGACGTGTTAGGCACGTCGCGAGGCTGCCTTCTACTAGATGGCATATAGGTTTTATCTTCTGCATCTGGTCGTTTGCGTGCGTTGATGCCATCGGACTGAGCCGTCCTTGATCTCGACTTTCCTGGAGAGACTGTCCCAAGTTAGCAGCTATTTACGACACCGCGGTCAGAGACGGGTCGGTGAAGCGCCACAGGAATCCTGGGACTTACACGTGTGTGGCGATGGTCCGAGATGTTCTTTCATCCAGTACTTGCTCACCAAACTAGCACCCTCAACTACAGATCCGGGTTAGTTCCGTGGATTGCATATTGTAGCGGGTGAGTTAAGGAGCCATTTCCCACATACTCTGGCATGCGAAATTTTCGAAAATATACTCATTCGTGAGTTCCTCGCCGTCTGGTCCCTTCTCGCCGTGGTTCTGAAAGTGCTTCAACGCCCGATTGTATACTAGGGGCGGTTCCGTGAAGAATCCGACGGTGCAGTTGGGTCGGTTACATCGAATAACGAAATAAAGCCCCGGGCGCTCAGAGTGGCGGAAGATACGCTCCCCGGTCTCCAAGTTTGGAAATGCGATTTTACGGAAGATGTCGGACTTGGCCCGCGGAGGCGTACCCTATTACAGTGTGTTGGTGGGAGGTGTAGGGGATCCGTGGAAGGAACGGGAAGTCCTTACCTTGGCACCGTCTGCCTTTCGCCGCTTTAGCCCACGGTCGTCGCTGTCTCTAGTCTCTGTACCGGACCGCTTCTGAGCCTGGCTAGCTACGGAGGAGCTTTCGGACAAGACCTGGTTCTGCGCCTGGTCATCGATACGAGGGCCTATGGTAGGAGATACGTTGATATTCGTCGAACCCGAACAGAGGTCGTTCGTAGACCGAGAACGGCCCCGGTCTGGGTCCCGCAAAGCCGGTAAAGGGGTATTTGACGAATGGTCCGCAGCCAGGACGGTGCTGAAATAGTTGTCTCGGACCGGCGACACGACAGGTGTCGGGGGACGTATCGTCAACGTCGAGGCGCTAGGAATAATACCTAGGTACTTGGGAGCGACGGGGTTCAACTCGGCGACGGCAGCGTCAATGGTGTCAGAATCGACCTGAAGCAGTTCTAGTTTTTGTCGTAGATCTCGGATTAGCCTTTCCTTGTTTTCCTCGAAAGCCTGGCGCTCCCTATCAACTTCTCTCAGAAGACGGCGTAGCTTGGGAACATGGCAGCGTGCCAATGTGTCGTCGCTCTTGCGTGTTAGCTGCTGCAGTTCATTTTTGACAAATGACGAGGCAAAATGAGAAAGGGCAGCGTCGAAACAGTTGGGTTTATCAACGTGACCGCCGGTATCGTCCGGTGGCGCTTCGTCAGCCATGTCGACCGAGCTCAATGCTCATCGAGGCGCCGGCACAGGCCGCAACGAATAATATTATGGACAGAGAGGGAACAATACACTGTTAATGCTATAATTATGTGGATGCAACGCTATTCTCAAGAGATGTGTTATTGTTGGAGGTGAGGTTCGTGGACAGACCACCCGAATGCGGAAGGGGGGAGGGGAGGCAATGGGAGACGAATAGAAACGAACTAATCGACGCAGAGCAGGTATATGGACGCCTAGGCAGACTCGCGGGCAAGCGACCGAGTTGGACGAGCGAATCAACGGATCGGCTGGGCTAACTCCGCCGCCGTTTGGCATTAAGAACACACACGGGATCCCCAGAAGCCGATCGAGCACTCCGCACCATAATAGAGGCGCTACCAGAGTCTAGGGACAGGCTAGGACGGCCGCGGTTTGTAGACCCGGGCGCCGTGAGACGACACAGAAAGCGTCGATGTCCCGGAATAGGCGAAAGGGATAAGACGATGATAGAGATAGGCTCAGTTGCGCAGGTATCCCGTTGTGCACCGGAACACTCCGGCCCGTGCCCCCGACGAACGGCGAAGCAACTCTCTGCCCCAATTGTGAACCACGTTGAGGTTCGTGCGGTAGCAGCGTGACGGAGATTCGGGACCAATCACGGAAATCGGCCGAGGGAGTCGTAGTCCAACCGGAATTCGACGACGGTCCGGGGATGTAAGCAAGTTGCGAGGAGGCCCGAGTGATATGTAACTTGAGGCACGGGAGACGGGTCAGATCACGATCGGCGAGACGCGAGATTGGCTATGCGGCGAGGGAGCGGAGGTGAGCTCGATGGGTTATGCTGAAGGCGATTAGAAATCAGCTGGGGAATTGGATGGTACAGTCGGCGTGTGGCACGGGAGCGGCTGAGTGCGATAGATAAGCTGAACGGGAAAAAAAAAAGGGGGGGGGGGGGGAGGTGAGATAACAAGCAGGCGAGACTATATATCGAGGGTGGCTATACGGACGTAGATGGGCACAAACGTACAGAATAGAGAGAGGGAAGAGGAGGGAGAAGAAGAAAAAGAAGAAGAGGAGTGGAAGAAGGAGAAGGAAACAAGAGCGAGACAGAGATTTGGTGATAAATCAAAAATGGTGGATGTACGATGGAACGGTAAATGGATGAAACCTCTGCCATCGAAGCGGCCCCGGTCGCCTGAGGCATGCGGGCGTCAAGCGAGGCTACTACGACCCGACCCGACCGCCCAGGAGCCCGGAGAACCTGGAAGATGCAGGCGCGAGATGTCTGTCTAGGAGGTAGTCTGCGTCTGCTGCTGCGACTGCCCGTACCGCCGGCCTCTGGTCTGCGTACCTCGCTACACGGAACGCAGGGAACGGGTGCGAGGCCCGTCGACGAGAGGAGCCAGGCGCAGAAGGTAGACGGTACATTGGGTATCCACCTCGGGTACATACCTCCTCCTACCCACCTGCCTGAAAAACCGGAGGAGAGAGTATAGGAGGAAGGAAGGAGGGTAGTTGCGTTACGCGGTTGCGGAGGGAGAGATACCTCTAGGAGGTAGGTACCGAGTCGTTACCTTACCTACCTGGGTACCTCCGACTTGGCTTGCTTACCTAGGTGGGTATCTCTCTGTCTCTAGGTGTCTGTCCAGTTGTAGCCATGGCAGGTAAAAGGTAAGGTAATCGAGACAGGTGGAAATGGAAAAACTTGCCCTGGTTGCCTCCCCCCTCCTCACCCCCCAGGGCGAGGTAAGAGAGTAGGTACACGCACGCCCCCGAAAATAGAGGCACCTAGGTACCTAAGATACCTACCTAGAGTACATCTGCAACCGCCGGCGTCTCTGTCGACATGGGACGTACCCGGGTACCTACCTAACGTGTCTAGGTAGCTGGAGGTTAAGAGGAGGTTGCGACAGGTTGGGAGGTGGGCAGGTGTAGATAGGCGCGATTGCCGTGTCTGCATTCGACGGGACGTGTCCATTTCCCCGCTATCTGTGTAACGCGAACCACCCAACTCTTCCAACTCCCCGAAATTCCCCATCTTCCCTTTTCACCCTTGTTCCGCATCTCTCCTATAGCATGCCCCCCCTCTCCTCGACCTCGACCTCGACCCCGACCTCGACCCCAAACCTCGATCCCTGCCGCCCGCGTCCGCACACGTCCTGCTGTCCCCCGCCGGACGGCCTCCCCCTCTGGTCTGGCAGACGACGTCCAACCAAGGTCGGTCGATACCATCGCACCGACCACCTCCGCACCGCAACACGGCGGCGCAACCTGTGTGTGGGAATCTCCACGTGCCCAGCCACACGCGGTTAGCGGGCACGATCGCCTTTCAGGATCAGGCCGGGGAGAGGAGGGCGGAGCTCATGCGGTTGGTTCCACCAAGGAGGCGCGCGGGCGGGATCGCTAGCTCCGTCCCAGTTGACAGGTCACCTACGGAGTCATCCCAGCTTAGGCGCCTCCCTCCCTCCCTGCGAGCCCTGGGCTCTGTTAGGGACACTCGCCGCCGCTTACATGCCTCACTTGCCTGCCTATGCCTGTATACCTAGTAATTGTGTGAACGGGCATTTTTCGCATGTGCGCGAGCTGTCGTCGCTATCACCCCCCCTTTCGTCCCCTGCGCCGACGTGGAAGCCCCTCGAACCCTGCCGGAGCACATGCAACGCTGCCAGTTATCACCTTTTTTTCCCTTCTTCTTTTCGTCTCAGCATCCTTCCGTCGCCCTGGTACATGCGACATACCTACCAGTATTCGCGGCGCGACGCAGGTTAAAGGATGCGAGGTACCTATCTATACCCCGTCTGGAGGGCCCAGCCGCATTGGTACCGTGTTGCATAGAGGCCGTGTTCACATGGCCAATATTTTGGGATCGAGGAGGGAAAACCCGAAAGGCGACGCCAAAAAAATTTTGGTACGTCTGAAGAGAGACCCGGCCAGGATCCGCACAAGAGGCCCTGCTATTATTCGTGTTATTATTATTCCGCAAAATCTGGCCCCTAAGCGGCATCATACCTAGGTATAGGTATTACGCGTTGGGATAGCGAATTGCCAGAGAGAGACTAGGTATATTCTGTATTCCCAAGCGGCGTTGCTGAAGGGGAGATTACGGATCCACTTGCAGTATACCCCCAAACCCAGTAGGCAGGTAGTAATGAACCGAGTGGAGAGGTGAGTGTGATAACCTCACCCAACAACCGGGACTCGAAAGCTATGTAAATATTCTTAATACGGCCAGTCCATCGCTATCCGTACCTTCGTTCTGTCTGTTCGCGCCAACATTTCGCTTTTCGGGAACCGTCTTTTTCTGTTCACAGGCCGGTTCAGCAGCGTCACCTCCCCCCCTCCCCCTTCCCCTCCCCCTCCCCTCAGATCCCGGGTTCCCTCTCTTCTCTTCCCATTATAGACCAGGACGTGCAGACGTGGACGCATAGACACTGCATCACATACCTATCACTCCTCTCTAGCCGTGTCCAGGGGCGCTGGGGACCAATTCCAAATAGCCTACAGCCCAGCCACCAAGCCTCCAATCCTGCCGAGCTGTACGTAGGCAGACTTCTGTAGTGCCAAGGCTTGGAGCTGCCGGCGACCCTGCGTGCAACCATCAGCTACCCACCTAGGTGCTAATTCTACGCGCACCACTACCCAGGGACGTTAAGTAGCTGGTAGAGAAGCTCGCATCACGGTACCGCTATACCTACGTGTAGTATTGCCTCGCCCATTCTACCACGGTGGCGTCCAACAAGTGCTGCGATCTCGTCGGATAGGCACGTCTACCTACCTACCTAGTGGCAATTCGGGTCCTGCTCGAGACCCGGTGGGCTGCCTGTAGGTAGGTAAGTATGCCTTCTACAACATCATATGCTACCTTAAGAGACCGACCTAACCCAAGGCCGGTATTAGCATAGCGGCGCCACATATGGGCATGATTCGCTTCTCCACACCGCGACGCATCTTCCTCTCTCACAGGTTCCTACCTTCGCACCCCGCAGCCAACCTGGACATATGACCACGTACCCACCCGGCATACGCACGCCGGGTGGGCTTAGGTCCTCCCTCGGTCGCCTATCCGTGTGAAGAGTACCCGCCCTATATCTACCTCGGACGGGCGAATCCTGGAGATTCGTCAAGCGGGTGGCCGGCGGTGGGGGGGGGGGAGGGGGGCTATAGGTCGGTAGGTATGGAACTTTCCCCAGCCGAGTGGGGGAAGATCGAGCGCGCTCCCTTTGGTTCAGATATTCCCGTTCGGGGACACGCCCTAAGCCTGATCGATCGGGGCTAAGTTTCGACCGATCGCCAGCAGCTCAGATCGTAGCCTGGTCCGCGTTGACTCTTCTCTCTCCGGATTTGGCCGACGCATGCTGAGGTTGAAGTCGGGCGCAAATCCGGGATAGGCGATGCGCATCCCGCAGGCCCGTCGACGGGCCCCCCGTCTCGTCTGTCTGCATAAGAAAGTAGGTAGGTTAGACACTATGTGTATCGTGATGGATCTGAAGAAAAAGAAGCCGGTTGTCTTGAATTGGCCTGTAGCTATGGATGGCCCGGTGTAGGCACGAGCTACAGGCCGTAGGTAGGTATATGTTATATCTATCTTAGGTACCTAGGCATATGTGCCTATCTAGACATAGGGATATGCTGTGTATATACATACAGCACGCACCTAACGCAGCCGTCGTAAGAGCCTGTATACAGACACCCATACCAACAACCTCCTTATGTTTAAATGCATAACACAAAAACCCCCTCACTCGTTTCGTTACCTGAACCTACCTAGGTAACCTCATAGGTAGAGGAGGTGAGTTACCTACCTCTTAGGCGCCTATAGGTGGGCACCTCTTCCAGTGGGAGAACCTCGAGGTCTCTCCCCAACACACCACGTCCTGTCCGTTGCGCATCTGCACCTCTCACATATTACTGATCCAACCCGACACGCCGACAACCAGTAGGTAGGTATATTAAGAACTAAATAAGCGGGGGTGTGTACACAACTGGAATATGCCGCATTACTATCGAACCTGCTCAGGCCGCCACCCGGCCACCGAAATCTACCTAATCTTGATCTTCTTGTAGCGGACGACTTCGACGCCGTCGTCGTCGACAATCCTGTGCGCCTCGATCTTGTATCCGCCGATGGCTGGCCAGACCTTGGACCACAGCAGCCAGTACACGCCGCCGAGAAGCAGCACACCCACACCCACAACCGGGAATACGAAGTACGGGTATCCGTCCGAGTTCCAGTCCCCGTTCGGCGGTATGAACGGAACGATAGCGAGGAAGATGTTGGCCAGCAGATAGAGCACGATGATGGGCAGGTACGTGTGCCACGGGGACGTCCAGTTCTCCGATTTCCGCCACTGCAGGTAGATGAGGCCGGCGGCCACGAAGCCGTTGATCCACGCACCCGGGTACACGTACAGGTCGACTATGAAGTTGTAAGCGGGGCCCGCCGGAGGAGCGACGAGCACGATGACCGTCACGATCCAGTGCAGGAAAAGCTATCTCGCGTTAGTCAGATCCAGCAGGCGGGGGCGATGGGAGCTTACCGCAGGGGCCGGCGCGTTGAACGGCTTGATAGACGCCCAAAACTTTCCGAACGGCAGGAGAGCCTCCTTTCCGAACTCCTGGTTCAACCGAGCGTGGGCGAAGCTGACGGCCAAGACGTTGCCCAGGTTGCTGAGCGCGACGAATGCCGGCAGCGCTCGTGCGCCGGCACTGTCGCCGAAGACGTTGCGGAAGAACAAGCCGGCGACCAGGACTTCGGACGTCGCGAGGTCGTCCTTCGGGATCGCCGCGAAGTATGCCACGTTAGCCAGGACGTACAGGATGGTGACGCCGCCGATGGCGATCGGCGCGGCAACCGCCAGCGTCTTGCGGGGGTTTTTGAGCTCCCCGAGCACGTAGTTGGCGTTCTCCCAGCCCTTATAACTATAGATGATGCGCAGCAGCGCAGTCGAATACCCGTACGCGCCCTGGCCGCCGTAGTTCTCGGTGACCTCCAAGGTGAACGCGTTGTGGAAGTTCCCGGGAGGTGGGACGAGCAGTCGGCCGGAGAGGGCTGCGAAGCCGGCGAAGACGATGAAGAGGAGGATGACGACCTTGAATACGCCCAGCACGTTTACCAGGCGTATGCCCCATTTGGGGAGGGTCGAGTGGAGCACGACGGCGAAAGTGATGCACGCGATGGCGATGCCGCGGGCTTCCCAGCCGTCTCCGAGCGTGCTGCCGGAGGCGAGCAGGATGTAGCGGCCGAAAGCGAGCGCGTTTCCGGACGAGAAGCCCAGGAGGACCATCTGCGCCGCGAGGACGCAGGTGGCTAGGTAGCGCGGGTGGCGGTAGACCCGCTCGAGGTAGTTCTTCTCACCGCCGGAGAGTGGGATGGCCAAGCCGAACTCGAGAAAGACGCTGAGACCGCAGAAGGTCAGGATGCCGCCGATGACCCAGAGGAAAAGGGAGACGCCAACCGAGCCCGTGGCCGCGAAGATGCCCGAGGGCGTCGAGAAGACTGCGCACGCGACAAGTTAGCTTAACCCGCGCCCGACCCCGTCCGCCAAGTCGCCAGTCCCGCTCCCACTCACTTCCGGTTCCGATCATCTTGTTCAGGATCAGGAATACGGCGCCCGTGACGCCAATTTTCCGCGAGTCGTCGTAGGCGAATTCCTGGACGCCATCGTTGCCCGAGGAGTATTCCTCGTCCGTACCACCTTGCAGGACGCGCGTGTCCGCGTCCTTGGCCTTCCCATCGGACGCCATCTTCTTGTCTTGAATGCCAGTAACGTCCCTATCCGAGGTATCTGACTGACCGACTAACAGTGATATGTGACGGTCACGAAGAATGCGAAGGGAGGGAACTGAGAACACGGACCGGGCGCCTCGAGAACAGGAGAGGGACCGTTCCCTTTTTATCCCGGTGGCAAGCCGTCCATTATGCCTATGCCTTACCTACCTGCCTACATGGCATATGCCTACCTGCCTATATGGCGTGGAAAGGATATGTCGACATCAACAGCGCACGGGTTCCAGCGCGCGCCACACCCCCCCGTCTAGGAAAGCGGGTAGGATTGGATAGGATCTCGAGACACATGGTAACTGTTATGTATAAGAAATAAGGAAGAACTGGGGTCTGACCGAGTCTGGTTCCTCTTTTGGGTGCTTGGCGACGGCACGCCATCGCTGCGGTACTTGACGCGAACGAAACCTGGTAGATCCGGGTCCTGCTGGTGCTGACCAGCGTTCCCCAGCCTGTGCCCAGCGCAGCATGATCGGTGCCATTGCAGGAGCCGTAGGGCAGATTTTTCGTTCTTTGTTCTGTTGTTCTTTGTTTCCTCTCTGTTATACCGAGCGTCCTCCAGCCCAGGCGGCTCTCCCATCACCGCGGTGCCGTACGCATTGTGACGCGCGCGACCTTCTTGCTGGCCCCTCTGGCCCTTATACCATGGCAAACCGAGATTTCGAAAAGTAAGCCGAAAATCACACAATTGCATCATCACCGCCGTCTCGATCAACTCGGAAGGTGGTTTATTTTTCAGGAGTTGCCAAGGCGACAGCCGCCTTACTGCTGTCCTTGACGCGACCCGGCCTGACCGATCCTTCAGCATTCGCCACGAGTGTCTCTGTTGAAATCATCACTTCTCCATCTCTCCCTTGTTTTTCCCACAGCCTAGCCAACCCGACCCGCACGCGACCTGTTTTTACTCTGACCAGAATCGGGCGGTCTAGCCCTAGTTGTCGTCCTTCTTTGCATCCTCTCTCCCTCTCTCTCCCTCCCTCGCCCCGTAATTAGCCTGTCTGCTCACGCCTATTCGTCCTTAGTGGCTTTTTCGAATCGGTGCCTAGAAACGGCCATTTGCCTTGACCACGAGTAATACTTGTCCATGTAAGTCCTCCTCAACTCCTCGGCTCCCTCTTGGCATGAGAAAACGATGTCACCATCTATCTGTGGATCCGATTCGTTAGGTCCTCCCTGCATGAGATGATCGTGCCAAATGTCATGGTCCGGGAGAGCAAACCACGAGGTTTGCGCTGCATTGTGCATCGTTTAAGTCGACAACTCCACAATACAGTATCACCCGCGAAGAATTTTTTTTTCCTTCTAGAAGGCCTCGGCTAGCTGTCTGGGTAGCGGCATGTGGGCTCACGGTGAATCGTTGGGTGATTGTCAGAATCGCGGAGCTCCCTCCGTTCAGTCTGTTCTGCCATTCTACATCACCAGACTCGATGGCCTAACAAATCCCCCTCCTCCCCCCCTTAAAAATTCCTAATGCAGAACTTATATCCGTTCCAAGAAGTCAGGCGTCGAATACGGTTTTCGTCATCCCGGGGGCGTCCAACGTGATGAAGGGGCAATATGCTTACTTGCCAACCGGAGTCCCTGCGAGAGAGTTGCAAGCGAGCTTGGCTAGTTGTCTGTGGCTGGAGATTCAGCTTCAGCAGCGAATCATGTTTAATGACACTTCATCCTGTTGCTCTTTTTCATCAATTCTCGTAGGCAGAAGGCAATCTTCCGTCAATTCCAGGCCCCCCTTCGCTTAGGAGACGCGCGAAGAGGGTCGAGGTAGGGGTGCATAAGTATACTACAAGCCAACGAGCATATGAACAGCTAGGTATATCCGCGTCGACGCCGACAAGGGATGTCAGAATCCTATATTCAGAGTTGCATGTGCTTTTCTACTCTAATTTCCTCCTCTTCCTTGGCGTGCTAATAGTGCTAATAGTCCCCCTTTGATTGGGCCTGGGGTCCAGCAATGAATTCCTCCTCTTCCTCGACTCTACTACCCCTTCATCGCTATGGTCTCGTGCTTCCTTCTCCTCTTTCTCTCCGCGCACTTTAACTACGTCCAGTAGAATAACCATCTCTTGCTCACCGCACACATCGACCGCGAACCTGACGCCGCCAAATATGCCCAACTGTTCCTCGCGCACCTCTTCGAGTCGGACGAGGAGCATCGGCGCCGGCGGCGCCAGCCTCCTGGGTGGGAGGCCCTCGCCATCGACAACCTGAGAATCGCACCGACAGAACCGACACCCTGGGCGAATCCTGCTTACAATGGGGCAGTTGGCGTAAGTCGCTGCGATATCACCCCCCCGTTGACGCCGGTAGAGTTTGGCAGAGATCTGGGTGACACGGCCCTCGATTCCCGCTTTGTAGTCCGGCCAGGGGAGATGAAGCTGGAGTTGTTCGCGGCGAACTCTCAGTGCCGTATTTTCGGGTTTCTCGGTTCCGTTCCCTGGCCTAGGGCTACTCCGGCTGCCGGTTTCCTTCTCTGAACGGCCTTCCCGGCTCTTGTCTCGAACCCTTCGTGCCGGCTGCACCCTCGTGGGCGCCGTGGGCCACTTCCGAGCTTTTGTGGGTTTCGGCTTAAGCGTTTCGCCAGCGTCACGCCCGGAAATGATGTTTTCTTGAACATAATATGCGCAGCACTCCCTGATGAAATGGGCTCTGCAGTAGGCCTGGCCTTGTGATACCGGCCGAAGCCACCGGAACGAGTCTGGGTCCCCGTCGTTGACAATCGCGTCTATGCCTCCATCGCTGTCCGTTCCTGTTGGAGATGCCCGACCAGCGGCATCCGGAGCGCCTAGGATATCATATACCGTTACCGCCATAGAAACTGCGCTTCGATTCTCACCATTAGAATGGCATATCGATCGAGCCAACGAGAATTCCCAGTCCGCGGTCCTGCTCACCCGTACTTAATAGGCTGCGGTCCCAAATAAAGACCCGGCTATAATTAGTTAGACGGTGAATAAAGGGAGTGAGTATTCTGAAGCCTGTATGGGAAGATGCAGCAATCGACTCTTCCTCCTTCTTTTCTTCTCCTTCCCTCTTTGTGTGAGACAATCCAAACAATTACCACATCGATTGTAGCACGACAAGCGGACAGCATTGCCGAAAGCAATCTTGACAAGCTCCCGTTGCTGTGGACAAAGAACGACACTACACTTGCACTTGGCGGTGCAATAACTCGCTCACGACACGCAAAAAAGTGCCTCTACGGTTGGGGGGGAAACGATGCATTATAACAATAGACTATTATTAGTCGTAGACAGTTCCTGAAGTGAGTTGTCCCCCACTTTTTAGTTCCCGCTGAGCGTGGAAGGTCAATAGACAAACTCTCTATACAAACGCAATACCAAACAAAACAAGGAAAAGGAAATGCCATAGTAAATTTATACCATTGCAGTGAATTGTTCACATTTATTCAAAGCGAGGAGCGCTTAACACGCATATTGTAGCAGTATCAACTCTCGAAAATGACCGTTGATGTATACTCAACTATTAGCGGATTTGCTAGGTATTACTATTTTGAAGACGTGCCTCGTCTAGTATCATCATCTTGGCACGTTGGATCCAGGCTAGTCTCCTATCTTCTCCTTCTTTCTCTATCCGAGTGTGTGATTCACTCGCATTGTAAGGTAGCCGCCAGGCCCGACGGGCATGCTAGAGGGGCTTACTATGTGAATTGTCGGTATCTCCTTGCCTCGCGAGTGCGGGCCGCAGGATTGCCGGTTATCATCCGGAAGCCCTTCGGCAGAGTCAGAAACGAACCCGCGCGGCCACCGAAGGGGATTCGTCGAGTTGGGCGATGATAGGAAGGATAAGTACCTATGCGACGTACGGGCTTGAAAGCAGTGACATTCCGGCCGTCGTACATCGGGGTGTAGTAGGCATATCGTCATGCTGCCGTTGGACTTCTCAAAGTAAACGTCGCCCTTCTGGGGCACCCCCGTACGTGCCGTTACGCACGCGCGGAAGAACAGGACGGTGGTCCAGTAGTTGGGAAAAGTCCTCGACGAACGTGCACGTCGTGCAGGTAGCGGCGCTGGGGAGGTCCAGCGTGTTCGGGTCCACGGACTCATTGAAGGCATTATATGGAGTCTTCCCCCGTCTGTTAGAATACCCCCCCCCTTTGGAGCTCTATTTGTCTCGGCGGGTTCAGATGGGATATGCGTACGTACTCCGCCGATGGCCTAGTGAAGAGGGGGCGACTCGACAACCCCGGGATTGACCAGGGGATCGAGGCGTCCGACGACAAGCCACGAGCGCGAGGAGCGTAGCAGCGCAGATGCGCTGGGAAGAAGGACGCCGGCGCCCGCGGCCACGCGGTTCCGACGGAATCGCATCATGAGGTTTTCGAGAGCTAATACTCGAGGGTCTCGGCGGAGTGGTACAGCAGATGCTGAGGCTCGGTTTGACGACGGGCAAGATACCTGTTACGGGACCTGCCCAGAGTCTTAGCCCTCGACGAGAGGCGCGCAATGCGGCTATCATGGTCGACAACACCATCCCGCTGGTCTGAACTGCCGCGCCCCGGGAGGAGATTGCTTAATATACGGTTACTTTACACGGGTATATTTCCGGGGGGAAAGACGGTAATGGGCCCGCCATTAACCTGACGAGTGGGCGTTGACGGGCATGTTCGCTTGCGATATATTAGGTACCTAGATAAAGAGTGCCATAGTGTATGTCGTCTTAGACAAGGGTGTGTGTGTGTGTGATTTCTGTTAATATCTAGTATGACCAGTAGTCAAGTGGATAGGTAGAAACAGACCGTGAGCCAGCGCGTGGTTGGGGTTTACCCCCGTCGTTTTCACCTAGTATTTACCCCTATTTCTTCGTTAATAGGACCTATAGCTACACACATGCCCCCGATAGCTTGGTCAAGTATGTATACCTATAGGAAGCACCTTCGAAATCCTCAGACTAGTTTTATCTCCGTGAAGTCCAACCCGTCCTGGCTATGCGAACAGTTCTCTACAACGCCCAGTCTTCGATAGGTGTCGTTGGTCCCCTCGACACGGCGAAGAACAAGCCCAGGCCTCCCTGGCTTGGTGCCGGACAGGATGTAGACCTTCATAGGGCTACTCGCGCAACCAGTCATCTCCGACGCAACATCCACCAGCCAGCTGTACTCCGGAGCGTCCGGCGCCCGGATCAACCTGTATCTTCTGGCGGGATTCCACGTGGGCTCTCCCCCGCCCCAGGCGCGAGCTTCGGCTAGGAGGCCGCGTATTATCAGAGTCTTGGCGCAGACGTCGGCGAACGGCTTGGTTGCCCCCGGTTCGTAGGATACGTCGACGGCATCGATCCCCTCGTAGGCGCTCCCCCCAATGATGCAGTTGAACGACCCGAAGACGGACGCCCACGTCCACGACGGCATCGATGTGTCCGTGCTCCGTCGCGCCACGACGCTGAAGCCCCCACCATGCGTCGACGCGGCCCGCCAGAAGAGTTGGGAGACGATGAAGCTCCCCCACAGGCCGTTGACGTAGCGACCGAGGCCCATCGTCGAGAAGACCTGGGCGATCCCAGCCAGGGCCGGCAGCCTGTCCTTGTCGTGGGTAAGCTGCTTCTGCAGGTACATTTGGAGGACGTCCTTCCAGAGAAAGAGCGCCGCCGTCGAGGAAGGATGGCGAACCAGCTGGTCGAATCTCGGCTTGATGCCGCCCGCGGACGCCATCTCTCGCGTGCTCTCGCCGTACTCGCCGCAGCTACATGCTCTGATCGAGTCGCACACCCAGAACAGCTCCCACCGGGTGAACATCAAGACGCGAGGCGATAGGAGATACTCTAGGCGGGTACAGAATCCCTCAGCTTAGTTACAGATGGCAGGGGGTAGAAGCAGCAGCAGAAGTGTCACCAAGGTAGCCGACTCACCCTGTAAGCACCAGCACCGCTCGAGCAGAGGCGCCGCCTCACGCGCTTCGCTGGTGCATGGCAGGGCGTTGAAGTACGCGCTGTGCTCCAAAGCCAGACGCACGTGTATGCTGATCTTCCGGCCGTCCTCCCCCTGGCGCTCTACTGTACACCCGATATCATGTTTGTCGTGCCGGTACAAGAGGCCGCCGTGGCTGCTCGCTGACGCCGCGGCCGCGATAGTCACGTAGGCGTTGCCGTACACGTCCTTCATGCGCGCCGCTTCGTGTCGCCAGTCGTCGGGGTTGTCTTGGATGATGCAGAGGGAGTCGATCCAGAGGTAACGGCACCCGAGCTCTCGCGTGACGGCGATCGCGTCCCGGAATGTCTTGGGGAACCGGTCGATCGCTATGCCCTGCTTGAAGCGCTCTAGGGAGTTGTCCGTCGTCACGAGGGGAGCGGTGCCCCCCCAGCAGTGGCTCAGTGCCATGTAAGGCCCCTCGTCACGCCCGGCCGATTCGAACAAGAAGATGGTGTCTGTCTCGCGCGAGACGTCCAGCAGCCTAGTCGGCAGATACTTGCTCCGGCGCTCCTTGCACACGCTGTGATCTTGGAGGCACGAGTTAACCCAGCCTTGCATCTGTGCGAGATACGTCGCGTTGCCAGTATAGGTGGTGAGGTCCCGGTTGGGGACGAAAATGGCGGATAACGGGTCCTGTTCTGCCATCATAATAACAACGTCAACCTTACTGCCCTCGAGGCTGGCGGACGGCTGCATTCACGCCGGCCAGGTATTAAGCAACAAAGTCAGGGCGACCTACGGTCCTTGGTGTAGAAATGCAGACCCAACCAGTCCTGGCCTTCGGACGACCATCTGTACTGCAGTCTGAAGGGGGAATCGTGCTGGCGAAACACCACCCATTGTGCCTCTGCAGCTTTCCCCGAGCCGAAGTGCTTCAGGCCCTCCCAGAGGATCGAGCATAGCTGGCACGTAGACCCGGACCTCTCGAGCTCGTGGCCCGAGCCGCCCGTGACGAAGCCGCCGGACGGGCCCGGACGGAGCTCTAGATCGCAGCAAGTAGCACACGGTTCCATCGTCGGTGCATCTGAGCTCACACCTCACGTCGTCGTCGCGATGGGTGCTCGTCTGTTGGGGTTTTATACCAATGTATATAGGTATAGTCGTATCAACAAGCCCAGCGCACCCTTGGCCCCGGCCCGTCCCTGGGATGGCGTAGGAACGACATACCTAGCTGTTTTTCTGGCGTTAAAGAATACCTGGGTCTTTTCTAGTGCTTGGTGCGGGTCGGCTGAAGATCCGATAGGGGATGGGATGCCTGGAGTATTATTCCCCAGCCGTCAGCAAGACTGGGGTCTCTCGGCATCTTGCATACCAACATCTTTTCCTGATACGGTCCAATGTCTCACGTCAAAGCCATGGCTTGCCAATACCTACCTCTCTCGCGCTGGTAACGTGGGGAGATTGGCTGAGCGGTAATTCTGCACACGCCTACATGTGTCGACTATTCCAAGCCGCGCAACGGGAAGGGATATCACATGGATGATGAAGTGCCTGTAGTGGGAGGACGTCTCGTAAGCACAAAAACTGACGAATTCTTTGTATACCTGGTCGAGGAGCTCTCATGGGCTGTCTCTTTTCTCGCCTGGCCATTGCTACCTAGATATCGGGATCACATCTTCACATAACGCATCGGCATACCTCCATATAGATATACATATATATATATGTCCATGTACTTATATACACACAAAGTAATACTTGTTTCTAATATATATACGTGTCAACGATCTGCTCCTCCCAACCTCACGCATCGGAGAATATCCCGCACGCAACCACGCTGCCCGATGCATTTTCCTTTTTTTTTTATCTCCTCGCCCCAGAGAACGAAGAGAGAGAGAGATGAGTTCAAAATCAAACAAGGCAACCGTTCTAGAAGCCCCCATCGGCCGGAGAGCAGCCCTAAGCCGTCGCGCCCGTGATCTGGACCTCGTAGCTGAGGCCGCGGCTGACCTCGGCGCTGAGCGCGAAGGGGTCGTACAGGTAGAGCGTGTCGGGGGTGTTGACGACGACGAGGCTGGCCTCCTCGCCGCTGGCGAGCGTCGCCTCGGCGCGGCCGCCCACCGCGTCGACGTAGCGCACGGCGCCGCTGGCAGCCCGCACCGCGAGCGCCGCCGAGAACGGCGCGTCGGCGCTGACGGCCACGCCGACGGCGCCCGCGCCGCCCGTCGTCGCCTGCAGCGGCACGATGTTCGCGCCCATGTACCGCGGCTGCCGCGCCGCCTTGACGCGGTACCGCCCGCCGCCCAGCGCGTCGAGGTTCGCGTGGCCGATGCCGCGGCGCGTGCGGTCGAACAGCGCGCGCGCCTGCGCGTGGCCGATGTCGACGTACGCCATGCGCGCCCAGTAGCGCGCGACGACGGCCTGGGCGGTGGCCGGCGCGGCGAGCCGCCCGACGACGTGCAGCGGCGTCTCGTTGCTGCCGCGCTGGTACTGCCGCCACAGGCTGGTGAAGTTGGCCGCGCCGAGCCCGCCGAAGCCGTCTGGGTTGTTGGCGATGTAGGCGAAGAAGGGCCACGCCTCGTAGTAGTTCCCGCTGCCGCTCGTCCCGTCCACGAGCACCTGGTGCGCGTCGCCGAGGACCTTCGCCAGGTCGATGATGGTGTCGCCCTCTGGCTGCCCGAACTTGGCCCGCGACGCGGCGCACGCCGGCGACGTGAGGAACGTGTCGGCGACGAAGTTGGCCATCGGCTCCCACCACGCCCCCGTGCGCCCCTGGTCGATCCAGTAGCGCTCGGCGTAGGTGAGCGAGTGGCCGAACTCGTGGACCGTCACCGAGGCCACGTTCATCCACTCCGGCCCGACGTTGAGGTAGCTGAGCCCAGCGGTGCCGTCCGCCCCCATGTTAGCGGCCGCGCCGGACCCCGGGTTGCTCACCTGGTAGACGTTCATCTTGTACCAGGGACCGTCGTCGCTGGCTAGGTGGATCGACAGGCCGGGGGATCGCCACCCCTGGACCGTCACGAAGCAGTCGTAGGCCGACTCGAGCGTCTGGAGCGCGTCGTTCGCGATGGCGTCGCTCGACGCCGCGTAGACGCGGAAGTGCGGCGAGTCCTTGAACCTCGACCCTCCAGGGCCGACTTGCGGGTTGGCGGTGAATTCAGCCGGTGGCACAGCCCGCGCTCGCGTGGGAGCAGCGCTGGCTCTGAAAGACCACCATAGCGCGGCGACGGCTAATCCGGATGACTTCATGGTTTTCGAGGACCGGCGAGTTGTTGTAAGGAAGACATATGATGATGTTTGAACGATTTCAGGTCGTCTGAATCTCCAGGACGACAGCCACTTTTGTGTCGAAACCTTGGCTCGCTCGCCGCGCATTCTAACCACGGAGCTCGTCCGAAATGAGCTATTCTTCTGTCGACTAGGTACATGGTAGGCAATATCGTAATATCAATAGCCTAAAACAGGGTTGCAGACCAGCTGGTTGCCCGAGAATCATACGCCGACATCACGCCCACTCTTGCCAGTACGTCTGTGTCTGCCGACAGGGGAGAGAGAGCTCAAAGTCGGTCGGTCCTTGGTCGTCTTTGGTCCTGGCGATGGGGGTCCTGGTGGAGGCGAAAATCCACCAAGGAGAAATGAGAAACGACGGCCACGACCATCCGGAGAGACGTGGTCCTGAATAGGAAGATTGCCGCTACGTTAGAAATCTGCCTACTTGCTTCCCCCGTCTATCTGAGGGCATTTCCCGGGCTGGGCTGGGCTCGTTTCACATGTTTAGGATAGGACGAGGGGCTAGAGAGTGGCGCTTTCGGGACTCACTTGGCGATGTGAGACGACGACGTTGTCGAAGGGAACGGCACCGGTTGAATCAACTACACGGTCTCCCTACGTAGGTATATGTATACGACCTCTTCTTCCCCATCTCGGCCACTCACATCCTTCGAGTTATAGATGGCACCGTTGTCTATGATGCTGTTCAGTTTAGTTGCCGGGATCGACAATGATGGGCGTAGCACTGGCGGGATCTATGAAGTGCCCATCAAATCGGGTATCATCCTGGAATACCTTCTGCCGATGGGACCACGTCTGAGTGGAGGGCACTCGGGTATAGTTGCTCACATTCATCTGAATCGAACCACCTACCTCAACGAGTTACCTTACCTGTCAGCTAACTTACCTGGGTAGAGAGACTTACGCACCCTTTTTAATTTCCATAGCCTCACCATCCGCCCCTACGCTCTCTCTTCCACCCCCGACGCCCCGTCTACGCATCTGTTGGCGCTTCCTCCAGTAGTCATCGATGAATTGAGGCGCGATATCTCTCCGGTGCACCCACATCTGTCTCTCCCCGTGGGACCACTCGCCCGCCCAGCGCACAAGGTAAGCGACGGCACGGCTACGCCCCGCGCCGGAGGGCCGGTGGCCGACAAGAGACTCGATCGCGTATTCAACTTCTGGCAGTTCCTGTGGCAGTCCCTGGTTTTCTTCCTCTCCCCGTGTCTCCTCGTCACTATTGCTATTCGCAACGTTGTCGCTGCTGGTGCCTCTTCTGCTGCTTCTGTCACTTCTGCTCCCGGTACTGCTGCTAGGGTCGGTGTCGTTTTCCTCGTCTCCGTCGTAGTCGCTTTCGTCTCCGTACCCTTCTTGGTCTTTGGACTGGGGGAGGGCTGAGAAGACGTGGATGGTGGAGGTAGCGGAAGACGATGGAGAAGCCGAGGCCGAGTGGGTAGACGAGGGCGTGATACGTTCAATCCAACGTGGCTTTGGAGCTGCTGGCCTGAACGGGGAAGGGGACAGCAACGACAAGGCCGTCGCATCGGGGGAAGACAGACCCGAGACGGTCGAGTCTAGCGAAGACGTACTCGACAGCAGCGGCAGGTTGGGATCGAAGCTCAACGTCGGGATCTCCCTCTGCGTCGGCATCGGGCCCAGCTTCTGGTAAACCAGCACGCACGTCCAGCACGCCAAGGACGGATCGCCATCAGTAGCTACCGGGAACGGGCGCTTCCGGAATTCCGGCCAGATCTTGATGTAGTCTGGCCATGGAACCACACCGACGTCCCGTTGCGCCCACGACTCGACATCGAGCCTCATCAACTCCGAGACCACCGCGCTCTGCTCGGGGTCGGCCGCAGCTCCGGGCCGCGGCGGCAGCGCACGCCGCGCCGTCTCCGCGTCCCAGAGCCGCGCGAATTGGCCCAGGCAATCGCGCGCGTAGGCCATCACGATCTCGAAGTGCCGGAGCCGCGACTCGAGGAGCATCCGCTTCTCGGCGGCGTCCGCGCCGCGGTCTAGGATGGCCCCGGCGAGCTCCCGCGATATCTGCGCCCTGTACGTGTCGGCGAGGCAAAGCTCGACGCCAGCCTTGAACAGCCAGGGGACGAGCTGCAGGCAGGCACCATATCGAAGGTACGCACCGAGGAAAGGCAGGTCGTTGGGTATCTTCCTGTCGTGTTCGTCGTGGTGTTCGTCGTGGTGTTCGTCGTCGTGGTATTCGTCTTCGTCGAAGACGAAGTGATGGTACTTAACCCAGACCGCACAGATTCCGACATCTTGCTGGCAAAGGTACGTCGTATGGAGTCGGCAGCAGTGCCCGTGCCATAAGCAGTGCTCTTCGACGGGTATCTTCTCGACCACGCACGGGTAGTCGCATACCTGGAGAGTCTGGTACGGTTCCTGCCACGGGCTATGGACCGTGTAGCCGGTGACGGGGTTGATGATGCTAAGGAATCGCGTATCGTGCCGGCGGGAGGTGTGATGTACGGTGAGCCTGAGGCACATTGTCAATTCGTCACGAAGAAAAAGGGGAAGATGTGGCTGATTTACTACTACCTGACAGTCTTGGAGAAGATCAGAGAGAGAGACGAGGCGTCGACAGCAATGCCGGTGCGATCTGCGACGAGTTCGCACCAAGACAGCCCCATCTAAAAACAGAGCGATGAGGAGTACCCGAACTCGTACTCTTCCCCGCCTACAAGGTGATATAAGTAGATATATACTACTTGTATGCGGTGAGCGAGAGCCTACAGGCCCCTTTGTCTCGGTCGACGATATGAAATAATCACATTGAATCATCGTCTACAAATCCCGACCTTGTTCAACGGTAAACAACAAGTCCTTTGTTGTCAACTCTCCGAGACCCATCTATCCAGCTCACCCTCAACTCATACTCGAGGGTGGTGTGTGTGTGTGTGTGATACCGACCAGGAGGACCTCTATCACGGCCCTCCGTCCACCTGCTCCCGCCCCCCCTCCTTTCAACATAGCCCCAGACACGCCGCCCTCTTCAACTGCCGAACTTGTGCCCTCTCCCCGCTCTCTCCTCTATTCCGGTCGACGGTTTCCATGTTGTTCCTTCATAGCGCCGACATCGGCACTCGAAGCGGACATGTCCATCATCGCCTGGTAGGTGACGGTGACCTCCCCGACCTAGACCTCGAGGTCGGGCGGACGCTGAACTAGAGAATGGCTGCGCACGCCAAGCGCAGAGATAATCGCTTTCAGGAAAGAAAAAAAAAAGCCTTCCCCAAAACGAGCTCACGGCCACGATCACAACACGGATCGGCAGAAAGGCGCTCGATAGTGGCCAGGCCTATTAACGTCCCGGGTCGCGCTACGAGTTGTCGCAAGGTGCGGCTGAGCCGGCTTATGCTATGATTAGTGCGCAGGGGTCCGAGGATCGTGTTGCCTCTCTCGCCGGTGCCAATGTCGATGAGCAAGTTAATTGTTGGCGCCGTCGTCACCTCGTCCCGTGACGCCAGACGGGTCCGGCAATATATCTAGGGACGGTCCTCGGGTCGACGGGACATTTGCGCCTCGCTTGACCTCCTCCCCCCTTGGGCTTACTGTGATAACCAGCGGCACCAATCAATCCGCCTGCCCACGGCTGCGTGGCGTGGCTTTCGTGTAACTAGCACATCCTGGCTCGCCGGAATTCCTCTCCTCCTTGACATCGGTGATCATCAGGGAAAGCCGGGTAGGTAGACGAACGAGATCCGCCGTGCAGATCCCCCCCCCTTTCCCTTCCCCTCCCCCCCCCTGTAAGCATCCGAAATACCGAAACCGACGCTTCGCTCAGCACACCTGTTGGAGATATAAGCCGCGGAGAGTTGGAGCGCGTGACCGTGTATGATAAGAACCGGTGTGTCGTGACGGAAACTCCGGGGCGCCTCGCCACCATCCGTACCGCCGACGTGAACTGTCCCCAAAACGATATACCGAGCGGGGACGGAGGGTATCAGTAGCAGAGCTGGCGGGCGAGGAGTAGCTTCGAGCGTGCGCTCGTGCAATGGCTTTGGGTTGACTAGCTAATGGCAAAAGTAACCTCAGACTCGTCCTCTCTCCCTCTCTCTGCTCACATCCTTCGTCTCCTCCTCGCTCTCCTCCCTACCCGCGGGCTGGGCGCCCCATTACCACGTACTCGTGCTTGTACACCAGTCCCAGCTTGCCTTTCTTCCGTTCAGCCAGTGAACAGGGTAACGAATAGTAGATATGTACCGTGAGAATCCCTGACGAGAAGTGCTCCCTCTCAATAGCGCGGTGTCGATGATGAAAGTGATCACGACGGTGATATGCTGGTCCTACCGGCGCGGTTCTCACGCGGCCAGGTCCCGTTCCATGCGGCCTCTCGCTCGCACGCACGCACCCTCTCTCTCTTTCTCTCTCTGCCATATATGATATGTTGTGGTATCAATGCCGCTTCCTAGATAACGCCGTTTTCCGAATCAAGTAGTATACAGCCGTCCTAAGCGGCTAAGCCGTCGTCGCCGCCCCCCTTGTCCTTGCGTTCGTCTTGGAGCATCCGAATCAGCCTGTTGATGGTGCCGCCATCGCGCAGCCTCTCCACTTCCTTCACTGCGTCGTCCTCCCCCATGCCCTCGGCTATGTGCTCCTTGATCTTGTCCCAGATGACCTTGCGCCTCGAGTACCAGGTGCGACCGCGTGGCTCCGGTCGCCAGCGAGAGCCCCAGTTGGCATCTAGCTCCTCTATCGCTGGCTGGCCATCCATGCCCTCACGGTATTCTTTCCACACCTCCTCAACCGTACCGACGGTCCCGTACTTGTATTGGGGCGGCCCCGGGGGCTGCGGTGTCTGCGCCTGCGCCGGAGGTCTAGAAGAGAAACCGTGAGATGAGGTAGGCGGAGAGGCGGCAGAGGGTCTACCGGGGCGACTCGGTGTCTGCATGGGAATCGGCGGGGCCCGCGAGTACGGAGTAGTGGCATGTTGCGGCGGCGGAGGAGGAATAAGAGGCCGCCCAGGCGGGTCGCGAGAACTGAGTGCCTAAGGAGAGAGGCGCGAGGGTTAGCTGGCAGAAATAGCTCGCATGGAAGGGGGAGCGTGGTGAGTGAAAAGAAAAAAAAATTTTTTTTTAAGATCATATTCCGTTCGCCAAGTGTGGACGTACCGATGCAGCTGCTTGGTGGGAGGCTACTAGGCTTCCGCGGAGGTCGCTCAGTTGTTGGCTGATGGCATCGAATTGCGCCGAGATATGAGCGACATACTGCTGATGTTGCATCTGGATCTGAAGGATGGTGGCGATTAATTGTTCGGGTGTCCTGCCGAGAAGTTGCTCCTCGGTGACGACAATGGGCCCCGACATGGTGACCGGCTGGGGTTGAAGATGGCGAGACTGGGCGGCAGCGGTAGCGGCGGTAGCAGCGGCGGCGGCGGTGGTGGTAGTGGTGGCGGCGGCGGCGGCAGCGGTAGTGATAGTCGAAAGAGGAACCGAAGCTGGGGACGAGGACGAAGCAGCGGCGGCGGCGGCAGCGGCAGCAGCGATACTAGGGCCGGCGGTGGCGAGACTAAGAGGACCAGAGCCAGAGCCAGAGCCAGAGCCAGCAGCCGGGCGAGGAGTGGCGAGAGCGGAGAGGGTAGAGGTGGGAAGTGGAGGAGTAGGAGTAGTAGCACCGGCGATGGCGACGGCAGCAGCCAAGGGACTTGGAGTCGGGACGGGATTCGCCCTCGAAGCGGATGTAGCTTGTCGCTTTGAAGGAGTGGCGCTTGTGCCGGCACTGCGCTGCAGGTCGGCTGCAGCTGGTCGCTTCAGCGATGCCCCTGTCGCTGCAGGGCCGGGGCCAGGTACAGGAGGAGCTGAGGTGGTGGTGCTAGCGACAGTGGTTGGATCCGTGGCCGCGGTTGTCGATGGGGGCGGTATGTTACTGCTACTGCTACTGCTACTGATCAGGCCGGCCGAGGGCGAAGGGAGCATGACGGGCCCTGGGACCAGTAACTCCGACCCCGGGAGGGTTCGAGAGAGAAGGAGAGGGGAGAGGAGGGATGGAGAGAGGGAGAGAGCGCGAAACACACACACACGCACGCGCGCGAAGGGCTGAGGAGCTTAGGTAGCAGTGATGGGAAGTGATAACTAGCGGAAGAGGTGGTGGTGGTGGTGGTGGTAGCGGTAGCAGCAGCAGCAGTAGTAGAACCAGCAGTAAGTAGTAGTACCAGCAGCAGCACGTTGTTATTGTAACCATCCGAGGGGGCTCGTGAAAGGGGGGGGGAGGCGGGGGAGAGAGGTTGAATAGGCGGGACGGAGCAGGAGAGGTAAGGGAGGTAGGTAAGGCAAGTGAGTGCGTGAGCGAGTAAAGGGTACGTGGTATATGTGTGTGTGATGTGTGGTGTGTGTGCGTGCGTGCGTGCGTGTGTTGTGTTATGGGATGCGTCGGTGGGCGGCGCGTAATGTGTGAGTTGCGTGGTGAGTTGTTGGGTTAGGTAGATTAATAGGTCGGTTGGTTGGTTCGAGGCAGCGGTACTCGTCGCGGCGGCAGCGCAGGTATGAGTACTCGACAGCGTCCGTGGGTGTGTTGGTGTGGTGCCGTGCCGGGCCTACTAGTGGTGGTGGTGGTGGTAGCAGTGCTGGTGGTGGTTGTGGGGGGTGGGGTGGCAGGGAAGAAAGAAAATAGGTAAATAATATGACGACGGCGATGATAACAGTAATAATAACAACGGGAACAGCAGCCAGGGGTCCAGGGTATAAAAGCACTCCCCAGCGGAGATGACCCGAAGAAGAACAAGAAGGAGAACGAAAAAAAAAGAAAAGAGAAATCGGGGATTAAAATAGTTCACGGTACCGTTATGTTCACGAAGAGAAGAGGGAGCGGGGAGACAAATAAAGGAGTCAAGAAGAAGAGAAAGAAAGAAAAAAAAGGTAGCCTCTGAGGAGAGATCAAGCGGACGGACGTCCGGGCTAGCCGGGACTGGGCCTCGTTTCTTGTTCTTGCTCCTCCTCTCCCTCCTCTTCTTCCTCGTCTTCTTCTCGGGAAAACAAAAATAACAACAAGAATGCTACACTTTGGTAATTCCTTCTCTACTATACGTGTATGGTGAATAGGTATATATGTCTGTAGGCTCGTTTTCGCAAGTGGGACGGAGCAGGAGGGAAGAGAGGGGGGAGCAAGGAGCAGCGGAAAGATGAGCCAAGGTCGAGGTAACACTGGTAAGCAGAGGAAGAGTAATAATAATAATATGAGCAAGTAATATGGTAGCCGGGGTGCAGGTAAGAAGGTATATATGTACGTGCCCAATGTAGGTATCAAGGAACAGAAAGAAGAATATACGGTATGCAAGAAAAGAACTAGGGGGGAGCAGGGGTAAGAGAGAAAGAGAGAGAGAGAGGCACAGAGAGAGAAGACCAGAGAGCCAGAACGCGATATGAGGCAGAGACGACGACAATCCCGAGACGCTGAGGAGCAGCACGCAGGCGCAACGACAGGCGATGGGCCGGTTGGCAAGGGGGTATAGTGGTAGTGGTGCCGGTGGTGGTGGTGACGGGGATGTTGGTGATGACGACGAACTCGGGCGGGTGAGCAGGTGGCAGTGGTTGGTGCTGGTTACTGGCGATGGCGATGGTAACGGTAGCAGTAGGGGCTTGACGGCTGCCGTAGTAATGGCGGCAGTCCGTGGTGGTGGTGGTGGTGGCGGCGGCGGCGGCGGCGGCGGCAGCGGCAGCGGTGGTGGTGGTGATATGAGCGATGATGACAACGGCAGCGATAAAAACTCGGCATCTAACTTCTACATCAGCGGGAGAGGCAGAAGCAGTACCAGCGGCATCGCCATCGGCATCCTCCTCTTCATCATCCTCGAGAGCCCAGCGGAGGAGGAGGCGAGGCCAGCAGCACGCCGTCCGAGCAGCCAGCAGCCGTAACCACGACGACAAGACAGCGCGGCCGCAGCTCCGGTGACGGTGGCGGCGACGACGGCGATGGTGGTGGTGGTAATCGTGATGGTAATCGTGATGGGTTATCGCGATGGTGGTGGGCAGCGAGAGAAGAGCAGGTAGCATTACCGGGGGTGAGGCGGGGGGGTTGCAAAGAGATGCGGCGACCTCGACCGGAATCCGCAAGACGACATGCCTATGGCCTACATAATATGTAATGCAATATGCGTGTGTGTTGGCCAGCCCGTGTCGCCATGGACGGAGTCACCTGCGGTGTGTCGTCGGTTGTCAACGTGTTGGTGACATGTTGATGGATGTGTCAATGGGAGATGATGTCTGTGTAGGTGTGTCGAAAGTCTGTGCATCTCGTCTGCCTCGATCCCCCGATGCCTACCTCTCTCCTCCTACAGGTAGGTATCTCTCTCCGGAGAGGGAGATGTAATTACCTTGGGGATATTATGAATACAATGATAGAGTAGGTACCTACCTAAGGTACCTACAATGTAAGCATTTATATATGCCGACCACGTTGTAAGGCCGGTAGAGGTACCCGAGCATAGGGCAAGTTAAGTACCTCCGCTTGCGCGTACCAGGCTGTACGTGTACGATGATGACGGTGTTTGTGGCCGAGATACACCGCTGTTGCTTGCGTGTAGGTACCTAATCGCTCTAATCCTCTCGAGAGCTAGAGGCACCTAAGGCAGTAGCCGTCAGGCACCAGCAGTAGTGGTTACAAGGGACACACATAGGAGGTAAGCAGGTAGGAGGTAGGTAGGTAGGTGGTAATACATCATCGTTCCTCTGTCTCACATGTTTCCATTCCGGATTCTCCTCCCATCTTCCCTTCGTTTCTCTCTCTCTCTCTCTCTCTCTCTCTCTCTCTCTCTCTCTCTCTCTCTCTCGTAACCCGTAGTGAGATACCTACCTACCTCAAGCTCCTTTCACGATACGTAGATGGTACATACACAGGAAGGAGGTAGGTACCTGTGTCCCCATTTTGCCTGGAGCATCCCTCTCCTGTAGATGTACGGCAGAAAAGGACAGGACAAGTCGCATTAGGTAATGTAATACCTATCGTAGGCAGACGCCTCAAAGTGCCACTATTACACATCACGTAGGGCCACTCGCGGGCAACGTGACATGGGCAGGCAACAAGGCTTGCCGGGCTGGGATACGCCCAGCAAGAACAAGCACTCGGCGAAGGGGGTGGCCGCCCGGACGAGGGAGAGGAGAATCTGAGGATCTATAAACATAGAAGAGAGATGGAAAGACGGCGAGGCACCTAACATAATCTCCCTCCTAGGCCAGATGTAGGTAGGTATACCTATGGAGTCACGTGATGGTGTCCGGGGGAAGAGAGTAGCTGGTAAGCTGCCCCTTGGGGGGTAGCTTCAAGGGTATCGCTACCCTGTCCCCGCCACCCCCCTGCTGCAGTTAACGCTTTAAGTACCTACCTCTACCTATCTGGCTCCCTATAAGGCATCCACCTACGTGCCTACATAAGCCCTCTATAGGTGCTCCAGCAACTACCTAAGCTATAAGGCACCTGGCATCTGCTTATAGATACCTAATGCCTCCTAAGGTGGAGGCAGCAGGTAGAAGAGGTACCTACCTAGGTATCTACATATACCTGCCTATAGGTACGGGTGTCGTGGAAAGCCGGGCGACCAAAGGGACATCGGGAGAGCGAGAGACACCATGTAGGTAGGTACTCCGTATGCTGGCGCGCGGACGGACACCCTGGCAAAATGCGGCCCAGACGATCCTATGGTGCCTCTGGTTTTACAAATAACGCCTGGCCAGGTTATGGTAGGGTCACATCCGCCGTCGCTCTGGCGGCGCATGCAGCAGCAGCACCCACCACCACCCCCTCCGTCCCAACGCCGACACTCCGGCGGCGATACGTGCATGCCCCCCCCCGCTTGGCGGCGGTACCTGTCCCACCCATGTACCTGTTACGAACCAAAGCGGCAGGTTCACCAAAACGTTACCGACGCATTACCTGCCTTAGGTAGGTAGAGCTTAGGCAGGATAACCTAAAGCAGGAGGAGGTAACTAAAGGCAAGGCAGGTCTGTTACTAAGGCCGCGGTGTGCGCGTGACGTGTGTCCCTACCTACCTACGCGTATGCACACGCACACATACATATAAGCACACATATACGGGCGTCGAAGAGGAGCTTAGAGTGCTTCGAGGTGCCCGAGGTACCGGTACTGCTCCGTCACATCCAACGGGCAGAGGCGAAGGTCCTGTAGTAATTCCCAGGGTTCGATGGCCACATTGGACATCGTTACGTGACGATTCCAGGATGTTACCAAGCCGTATCAGATAATTCCATATACCTGCCTTAGGAGGTAGGCCTAGGCAGGTACCTGTCTACCTAGGTAGGTCCTAGATCTAGGAGGTACCTAAGATACCTAGGTACCTATATAATGCCTCTCCTCTTCTACTAGATTAGAGGTACCTCCCCGGCTTATGAGTACCTGAGGTACCTAAGGTATCTTAGGTACCTACCCTCATGCAAGGCTTCGTAGGTACATTCATTCTACGCACTTTGATTCCCAGCCACCCTCCGCTTCTTCTTCCGCTCCTGTAAATAGGTAGGTAAATAACAGACTACGGGAATGGATTCGATTCCGTGACGCGTCCTCGCACCCTACCACGCAACCCGATTCGCAGGCCGGCCGTCAGGCTTACCCATACTCGCACACGCACACAGAAAGACAGACGGAGAGAGAGGTGGGTGGCATGCTACCGAACGAGCTGCCCCCGTCCCCGATTACTGTATCGGCCATGGATGATCGTGTATAATCATGTAGGTATAGATATTGCCTCGCGTCGTATGCCAATCCACTTCCCAAACCTCTCCCACCCGATCTAGATTCGCTGCCTCGGACGGAAAATGTCGTCGAATCACCGTCGAATCATCTGACAAGCCACGCGCCTACACGCCTACCCAGCTGCCTCATGCTCTCTATTTTAATATGCCTCCCATGCATAACCCTACCTCTTATGATCTGGTTGTCCCCCTCCCCCTACCCCCCTCTACCCCGGTCCGGCACCTACCATCCCGCACCCACCCCGTCAGCCCGTCCGCCACCATGACAGATACGACATCTACACCATTCACGTCATCTCGCCATACTTGCTGCTGAGCCTCCCTCTCCCCCGCCCACCTCGGGATGCGAGGTCCCTTTGTCTGCCACCGGAGCTTCTCTCTCTCTCCTCTCTACCGCTCTCGCTCCTCTTGTCTGTCCCCGTCTCTGTCTCTGTCTCTCGTATCTCTCCCCTCCCTCAACTGTTGGCGGAATACCCACCTGCCTACTTGCGTCTCGCTTAGGTGCTATCGTCACGCGGTCGATTCCCCATCGTTAGCGGAGAGAAGGGTGAAGCGGACGAAGAGGACGAGGCCGAGGACGAGGGCCACCACGGGAAACGATGTGCAGAATCCACCATCCGTATTATTACCGTACGTTTATTAGATTGGTAAATATACCCGACGGCTCAGGCGGCTCCTCGATATCCCAATCCGGTATTTCGATCGCGCGAATTCTCCGCCAAGTCCTCGGACCCTCCCCGACGCCTCTGCCACACTGACGAGCAGCGTAGGTAAGGATGTGCCCAGCTGGTCCTCCGGCGAGCGGCGTCGAGCCCTTCTCGGCGTCGGTCGATTGGCCGTCCGACGCTTTTACCAGCCATGCATGTTTCTCTCTTCCCGGAGGACATGCTATCCCCCAGCTAGCTGACTGCACCCGGTACCAGCATCGCCCCTGAACAGTCCGCGGGCTACGATGGGGCAGCCGAGATTCACACACATGCACCGCAGACCATCGACAGTAGAGCTATCCGTGCCGTCTCAGATCTTCGCTCCGAGGGCATCCGTCGAAAACCAAGTCGGATGGGCATGTGCCGTGGCAGTGCATCTTTCTCTCTATTATCTCTACCTCTATATCTATACCTATACCTAGTTGCGTCTCTATCTACAGTTCTATCTGCAGTTCTATCTATCTACATCAAGCCACCTACATCGATCAGCTAGGGTACTCACCGGTAGCTGTAGATATAGTATTCCCGCCGTCAAGTTTCTAACTCGGCTCATTATGGTTGTGCTACGAACGTCTAGTACTGTTAACAGTTGTCCGCCATTATACTCCTAATACAAGTGTATATTGCTATACTATTAGGTTGCTATAGGAATACACACCAACGCACCACCTCCCCGCACCTAAACCGACCTAGGTAGCTAGAGTAATAATGCCTAGCCTACAGGCAATTTCTATATCGTGTCTAATAGAGGTAAACAGGAGGCTTCCAATAACGCGTCCGTAGGCCAACCCGTACGTGTACGTCGAGTTTAAGATACAATTCTCAATATTACATTCCGTTTCCCATTAGCCGGAGGTTCGTAGATTTAGGTGCCTGACCTTGGTAGGAATCTAACCGGAAATCAGCCAATCCGATATGTCTTTATCCGGTAATAGCCTAGTAGACATTAATATACATTGCTCATCTTTTCCCGGCATCCTCGTAGCAGAAGTGTTTCTATTTGTTCCCTTTTTGTCCTTTTTTTCCTCCTGCGGGCTCTCTCGCGGCCATTCCCCCAGGGGCGTTGACACGACCAGACGAATATCCGCAACGCGTGGGCTTCGTACCTATATTAATCACAACGACGGTCAGATCATAATCATCGTGATGGGGCATAATATATTATATACATACGTGGCGGAGATACAACCCCTTCCTGTCCGACGCCGTGCCATACCTTGTGCTAACATCGTCTTCCCAGCCCTCGTTGCCTTCCGTAACAGATTCGCCAGCGAGACACCTCCCCCCCTGGAGACGGCGTCGATAATAGCGTTACAGTCTCGGCAGCTGACAGGTATGAGGCAAGAATCCATCCTCTCGGCGCATTCGCAGCTTCATTGGTCCGACCAGCTCAGCTAGCTGTGAATGCCCCTCGTCTCCGGCAGCATGGCGAATAGGTTCTTCTATCGGCCCTTTCCCACGCTGAGCCCTCAACTAGGCAAATCGCCCGGCCCCCCTCCCACCCGTACCCCATACTATGCTATATATATAGACACATATATCCATATATATACAACGTGGGAACCATCGATCGAGACAAGCTTAGCCCAGCGTAACAACTGGAGGGGGGCGGCCATGCACGTCATCCCATGAGTAGGCTGGCTTGCCGCCGGCTGTTTGTCTCGTACAAAACCGCCGAAAACGGCGAGGCGGGCAGTCTGGATCGCCGGGCGGCGCTGCTGGCGAGGGCAGCACGACTTCTCGAAAAGCCGTCCCGACAAACCTCGCGGTTGTGTCTTTGGTATCCTCCCGTTTCTTTGCGGAGCTGTCTCGTGTGCGACGGCTGTCTAGAGCTACCCGGTATTATAGCCTGGCCAGTACTGGCCGTGGCAGTTTACCAAGGATGGCTAGCGGTCATCGTAACATGGGAATCCGAACGAGTAGATGATGCGGGCGGGGGCAGGGGAGGGAACATGGGTCCGTTGACCGTCCGGGTTTGTCGGCCATCACGTACTTATCGGGAGTTGAGGGCAGACACCCAAGTCAGCCCCAGCCCATACTACCATCCCAAGGTAACGCTGCGAACGACTTTTGGGAGCGCCAGCCCAGCCTATAGGGCAGAAGAACAGGCGGATGGGACGGTGGGGTGATATAAATAGCTGCTCCGAATACTACGACACGCAACCGGGGGACTCCACGACTAGGACGCACGTAGCAATTGCTAGCGACTTGCCGTTGATCGTTTTCGTCAACATGTGAACACACCAATATTAATAATAAAAGCCCCCTCCGGTGAAGGATATGTGCTGTATTAATAGCTGCCACAGCAAGTTCAGCTCTCCCTCTCGCCTGGCCTCTCGGTCATTAAAGTCTTCCCGCCGCAGCACGTTGTGCCCTATCACTCAAATATTACTAAATGGATTTCCAGGGTAGAATAACCGCCAAGCTTCTATTACCTCGTTACGGAAATGAGGGTACCTGAGGATCGTGTTGGACCGAGGATGTTGATACATAATAAGAGACAATTTCAGATGCTCCTCGGCTCGGCACATAGCTGGTAACCCTAGGCCTACGCTTCTGATGAGAATACACCAAACTGTAGTGCTGTCGAGGGTTTTGTGATGGAATTACCGTCACATGTTGTTCAGGAGCCTAGTCGATGAGAAAATAGTATTTCACACCACAATATTAGACGACGGCGTTGATATGTGAAGTTATCTTGGAAGGAGGTTTAATCTTGCCAGTGTTAGCAGATGCCATGTAGCTCAGACTTCGATATATTGATAACAAGAAGCCTGAGAATAAAAGAAATGGGTTTATTCAGGAAATCCCTTTCAATTTGGAGGAAAGCCACGGGGCCCCCTTTCTGGTTATCTCTTTTCATCGGTCGTCTCTCGGTCAAGTCTCCCCCAGTTCAGAGTGCTCCTCAAACGTGGTGCGGCACCAGCATCCGTACGAGTCACTTGGGGGCTGCCAAGAGAAGGCCGGATGAAGATGAGGTAGAAACAAATAACAGTCTTGGAGCAGGTAAGGGAGAAAGATGGGCATAATGGGAGGAACGTAGGGCTGTTCCAGTTTGTCCAACAAGAAAATCATAGGTAATAGATCTCCGCAAGAGTCAGGGGCCAACAATCCACCTGCAACTCAGCTTCCAGGGGACCGTGGTGAGCATAGTCAAACTAAATCTGCTCTTTGTTATCATCAGCCACGATGTCGCTGACGGCATCAAATTGTCACCAAGGTGTTCGACAAAGGTAATTAAACGACAAGCAGCTCGCCCTATCTGTTAACTAGATCATTACAAATTTGTATACTCTCGCCCCTTCTCCGAGTTATAATGATCCAGTCGGTCCCCACGATGCATGCCGTCCTCTCTTCTCCCTCCCTCCTAATGTATGCCCTCCGCTCTAATGGTATTGCCAATCTAGATCCCCGGGACCTATCGTAAATCGACCAGTCTCGATGGTCCACCGCCGACTTCCCCGTCTCTGTCTGGATGATCTTGCTCCTTTCTCCTCCTCCTCCTCCTCCTTCTACGCGGTCGCTCCGCATGTCCCCTAGCTAGCCAAGGCCGCCTCGGAGGAATCTCAAACGCGCCGGACGTCGAAGCAAGCAAAATAGACAAGAAAATAATCATAAATCAAAGGGGGTATACAACGCCTCGGCCATGCGGATGCAATAACGTGAGAGCCAAGTTCGTACGTCGGTGCGTGAGATTCGTTCGTCCGCCGTCCTCTCCAGAAAAGAAAGTAGAAAATTTTTTTCATTTTTCTTGTTCGAGCTACCGGCCGAACAGCCAGCCCAGCTTCTTGGCTCCGCCGCCGGCCTTCTCCTCGGCCTCCTCGCACTCGAGCTCGAGCCGGTACCGCCTGACGCTGCCGGTGTCGTCGTCGAAGCCGACGCGCCGGCTCGCCTTGGGCACGAAGCAGTCGGGCACGACGTGCTTCAGGAACCAGCCCTTAACGCCGCGGCTCGCCGCGTCGATGGCCGCGTACTCGAGCCGGCGCGTGTGGTCGCTGAGCCAGTAGTGCGTGGTCTGCGGCGGCGGCGGGTACGCCGGCTCGGCTGCCCGCGCGTCCTCGTCCTCCTCCTCGCCGAGGCCGCTCGCGAGCGGCTCCAGCGGCGGGAAGCAGAAGTACGTGTTTGCTGGCGGCGGCGGCGGCGGCGGCGGGGCCGCATGCAGCGTCTGCGCGCCGATGCGCGGGCTCGACGTCGACTTGACGGACCGGCGGACGGACGGCCGCGCCCTGATCCGCGGCTGGGCCGGGCCCGTAGACATGCTGGAGTCGCGCCGCGGGGGGGCGGGCCGCGACGCCGCCGACCGAGATCGCGGCCGGATGGATTCGTACCCCGAATCGTGGCGGAGTATGGGCTTGAACTTGAATTCATCCTCGTCGCGCGGAGGGGCCTGGCTCCCGGCGGGGGCGGGAAGGGCGGCCGGGGGTTTGTACATCTCGATGTCGTGGAAGCTGTGGTACGTGGTATCCGAGCCGGCGGCGCTGGCCACCGACACCGGTCGACGGCGGTTTATAGACAAGGAGGAGACCCGCGACGGCATCCTCGCTTCTTATATGTTTGGCGATTTTCCTCGGGTTTCCCTGACGCACCGGCGAACAAGCTACCGCTCAAATTTCCACGCAAGTTCGAAGTTCGGGGAAGGGGGGAGGACGAGGAAAAGGGAGAAGCGAAGGGGTAGAAAGCGGCCAAACCTCCTTTAAAACAAAAGGAAAAAGGGAAAAGGGAAGGAGAGAAAAAACAAGCGCGCGGGTGTGCCGGTCTGGATACTGAGGAGCGGAACAGAAGACTCAGGACCGTGGCCGCGGTAATAAAAGGGGGGGCGTGGTCGATGCGATTCCCGCTAGGCTTCCAGAAAGGAGTTGCGGTCTGAGCTCCTACGAACTACCCCGAGATGTTGAGTAGTAGGAAGTGATATGTATCGCACGAATTCACCGTGCGCAGAGCGGCCGGGACGAGTTCTGAGTGGATACAGACCGAATCTTGCTGCTGTGTGAGCAGGCCCATGGGCGTGGTCCAGCCGTCGGTGAGGGTGGTAGTCGAGGCAGGGGAACCGGCGGCACGACGCCATTACCAGGAGGTGTTCCGAGCTTTCTCTCTCTGTCCCCTGACAAGGCACAGACGGGCCTGGCAAGGGCAATATATATAAATCTGGCCCTGTCACCTCGTAACAAGGGGAGAGAAAAAAAAGTGACGAGGTAAAGATGGTTAGGGATCACACACAGAGAGGTGGATCCTGTCCTCTCTCTCTCTCTCTCTCTTCCGTCACACACACACACACACACTTTTTCCCTCTTGGGATGTTTTCTTCCTCTTCTCGGCAGAGCCTGTATTTCCCACGAACCGGAGAGGGAGCTCGAAGCAGAGAGAGAAGATAGATCAGGGAGAATCCAAGTGGCACACGGTCCGCAAGCAAGAGGATGGTGTCGGACTGTCTTAGGTATGTATGCGCATATGTATGTATGTATGTATGTATGTATGTATGTATGTATGTATGTACGCACGTATAGATGGACGGGTGACCGTTTTGAGGTGATGGTGGTCTGCCCTGATCTCGCCGGGTGCCGCCTTGCAGGGCTCAGGATAACTATGTAGTTTATCGAACGCTTATTTTGGAGATGTTGCTGGGTGGAAGAAGCGGTCTGGGGTCGCTTTACTGATTCCGGTAACCAGGAGTAGATATCGTGACCGGCGCGACCCCGCTGGATGCCCCACGTCCCCCTTCACCGTTGTCGATTCCAAGCGAAAGGGGGGCGAGCGAGAGGAGGAGGAGAGAGGAGAGGGGAGAGAAGAGGAGACGGTTCGTGCCAAGCGGAAACGATCGTGAGATCCCTGGACCCGTCGTCGGGGCTCCTCTTTTTTTTTTTTTTTTTCTTCCCTCTCCCTCCTTTTCCCTCTTCTTTTCTTCTTTCCACCTCAATCAAGACTTGTGTAAGAATCCGTTGGTCGATCTGTAACTGTGGGGGAGGTTGATGAGAGAGGATAGCCAGCAGCTCCCGCTGACCAGGGCCAGGACCAGGACCCGGGGGAAGGGATTAATTCGCCCTTTATTTATTTAGTAGTGGTATTATTAAAATTGAAATATGAGAACCGGCCCGAGAAATTGCTGGTGGGGATCTCTCTTATTCTTGTTTCCCCATCCTCTTTCTTGCCGGCCCTGTCTTGTCTCTCCTCTTTTCCGTCAGGAAGTGGATTCTATCCCCCCCTTGTGTGCCGTCCGGTTAGGTGTCGATTTGCGCCGATTCCATGTATGTATGCGTGCATCCCTCGCATCGATGTCGATGCAGACTAGAACGGGATGGCCCTAGCCGTTCACGCTTGACGATGGTGTTGTGGGTTGGAGGTGCGCAAGTAATCCGATGTCGCTAGTGATGCTAGGTGAAAAACGCAGTAGAATAGAACAAAAAAAACCTGTCTGCGAGGATGGGGTAGGCTTTTCTTGGCAAAGCGGCCAGCCTTGAATTCTCACGATGCCGAGAGGGGAGAGATCGAGGGGGTGAGAGACGAGGGAGGGGAATAGAGGGCAATTATTGTGATGAAGAAGAAGAAGAAGAAGAAAAGAGGGGGAGAGAGACACAGATTCGCGAGGTCTTTTGTCGCTATTTTCCGCAGCCCTACGAAGGTCCGGACTTTCACATGCTTTCTCTGCTTCTGCTCTTCCAGCTCTACCAATGGCTACTGCTACTCCATCCTAAACATTGTGATACCGTCGAGCCTGATTCGAGACGGCTCGTAGCAAAGGGAGGGAGGGGTGTGTGTGTGGCCCTCTCTGGTTCCCGCGCGTCACAGGCCGTTCAGGCCATGCCATCCATCACGAGCTGTATTCGGCATCGTCACCTGGCGCAGCTCCCACCAATCGCCCTCCGTGGTCGCTCAGCTTGAAGGACAGGCCAATGGCGACGGGTCGCGTACCTGTCGACGGCAACCCTGTCAGAAGCCTGTCCCGTCCCCTCCCACAGAGCCATGCAGCCATCCAGGCCCGTCAAGGGGCAGGCTTGCTTGCTCCGTCTCGGTTGGCTGCCTGCTACACTTCCCGAGATGGCATCCCAATGACGCTCCGGGCAGCTGGTGCAACCTCGGCTGCGGAACTAGGTACCTCGCGCGAGTCTACCGTGGCCTCGAAACCCAACCAAGCCTCACGTCAACGTGTCGAAGGCCTACAGTTCGCTTCGTGCCGCCAGCCCTCGTCGTCACTAGACCCTGCGTGCGCCTGAAGTCGGAACGGAACACGTAGCTCAGGCCCGTCAAAACAACAAAGCCCTCTCGAGCTCACAGCCTCGGCTAAGCCGAGGAGGAGAGGAGGATAACGAGAGACACCGAACCATGCGCGGATGCTCACGACCCCCAAGGCTCTAAGCGACTCGTGAAAAATGCCCGTCGGGCGGATTTCCAAGACACATGCCGGTGTGAATGTGCCAAAACCGCACCCGACACTCTGTCAACCCGGGGAGGGGGGCGTACGGTAAGCTATGAAGACGCCGAGGTGCGTGCGGCACGGCATGAAGACAGGGTGACGACTACACAGGGGAGCACGGGTGGGTGGCCTACGCCTATTACACCACGAATGCTTGCGGACAGCCTCCACAAGACGTGCGGCCAGGCACACCACCGCCCCGTGTAGGATGCCCCATCGGGTTGCGGTTAAACGCCGCGCTTCGTCTGGGCCTATTCATTCGAACACCAGCCGTCCGCCTGTCCATCTACCCACTCTGATCCCACCAGGATCAGGCGCCCATAGGCGGCAGGTCTCGAGTGGCATGTAGGTTAGCTACCGTCTGGCTCGCGATATGCCGTTCCTTGGCTCTGCATCCCCCTGTGCGATGAATACCGGGCGACACGGAATATGGATATACCTAGTTCTATACCTATAATTATATATAGGTGTAATATACTACGTATGGGCATTCAAACCTGGCAATACCCATGCAACGTTCCCGTGCAATAATAATAACACCCAGTGCCAAGAATACCTGTCCGTAACAGTCGTGGTGCGGGGGGATGGATATACTCTAACACATACCTAGTAACAGTTGTATTACGACTCACGAGTTGGCACTTACACTACGAATGAAGGGATCCAGGCGTATTACTTATGTGTATAGCGCCCACTTAGACGGATAGAGGTGCCGCAGGTCACGCGAGGTAAACAAAGCTTCCACGATGCATGCCTCAAGTCGAATGTCTCATCAAGTCGGTATTCATAGTCACTGAGCCCCTCCCTCCTATTCGAACCGGATGCTGCCTCTATCCCGCACCCCTCTCCACCAGATCCAGTTCTATGAGAACTACTTCGGCCCTTCTCTCTCTCTCTCTCTCTCTCTCTCTCTCTCTCTCTCTCTCTCTCTCTCTCTCTCTCTCTCTCTCTGTGTGTGTGTGTGTGTGTGTGTGTGTGTGCTAGCCCCATGGTCACCGTCATACGCATCCGTCCCCGATTCATCCAAGAGCGAGGAATAGAGTTGAGGACGTGCTGCTAGAATTCTGTATGAGAGCCCATGTATGTAAGCATCATAACAGTCGATCACGCTGCTAGAAGGCCTTCCTCCCGTGAGTCCATACCAAGTCCGTGAGACAACGTCACTGTCAGGGCAGGATGATGCATACTTGCAAGGGCATGTTGAGATGACTGGGGCAAGGAAGACAGGACAGCGGATTGGCATTTTTCATCTCGGTGTCCTCTTAGTTTGATTCCTAGCACGTCCTACCGAGGTCCTGCGCAGGAGAGGAATGAGCAGTTTCCCACTAAATAGTACGTCTCCTAAATCCGGAAACCAACATGACACTCAGACAGCATGCTATCAACATGTGGTACTTGTAGTCGGGATATTCCGTCGCCACGCCCGTACATTGGGAAAAGATGCGAGTACCGTTAACTACCGTTTACAGCTGGGGTGAGTATAGGAGTAGCGGTAAGTGTGGTGTGGCGGGAAGCGCTGTGGTATCTTGGTGGCAGGTCACCTTGGTGGTTCACTTAGACCGTATGACAGTATCGATCTCCTGCAATAGGAGTTTTGTTGTAATCGTTCACCTCTTATACGTTGTTGCTGTTGTTCCCCTGTCGGGTATTATTGGTCTTATCCTAAGCTTCAAGAACCTAGGTAAAGCTGCTGCACTACCGAGCAGGAGGATGTGAAAAGATGTTTTGCTGGCTGTTCCCTTTACTCCATGGGCAGTAGCAATATTCTCTAACCCGTAGAATGATGTTGACAATACTGAGAGCCTAGCACTGGAGCTAGCAGGGTCAAGGTTACTAAGAAAACAAACATTGTTACTCACAGCTCAGTGAAGCACAAGAAGAAGGACTTATTACTTTCTCTTCCCCCCCTTTTCTGTCCCTCTTCGAATATTCACGATGTACTCATAAGGTGGGGGGGAAGCTCGAATCGGGCGTGGGAGCGGACCTGTTGATGTGTTTGGAGGTGTCCAGACTGCGGGTTAAGGCCTCAAGGTTAGGTTTGTACCTGGTCTTACCCTCAACTGCTTGGTGTCGAGAATGCATGCCGAAGGCCGAAGGGCCCGTTGGTTATCGTCCAAGTCAAGGACTAGGGGAGCATGCTACCAGAAATGATGTCGATGAAGCGTTAACGGAGAGATGCAAGAGACCGGTGACTCAAGCAACAAGACGAGTAAACAGCAGCGCAACACGGCAAATATACACAGGGGGCTCATAATTTATAAATGTCGTTACGGGTACTTCTTTTTTTTTCCCTCAGTATAACAGCCCCTTGTAAAGGGGAGGACAGGAGTTGCTTGGGAAACGCAAACCAAGCTGCAACCAGCTTTATCTCCCAGCACCGTCACAACCCCGTCCGTAAGTATTTTTCTTGTGTCGTTGGCAGGGAGGACACTCCTCTCCAGTTGGTTAGAAGTCATAATGGTCATATCAGCGTAGGATCCCTAAGAAAGGAAACAGTTTTGGCATATTAGCGACAGGCTCCCCCTATCATAACTCCCCACATGGTCCTCCAAGGCTTTCCGTGGCCGTGAGTGTCCTTTTAGACACGGATGTCCCCAGCGGAGAGTGAACCGGGTCACCTCTATAAAAAGGGTTGTCTGCCGGTTATTCTCCGTATCGCCACCTACCTAGGCAGGTCACCCGACGCCCCTTCGGAACTGCAGGCACAAGTCGGAGGGAGAGCGGGCATATACAGGACCGAAACATGTCCCGTGTTAGTATTGTCATAAGAAGAGGCGCAGCAGGCGCTTGGGCTGCCATGGTTCGTTCTCGTCGGCCACTTGCCTCCATCTGTAGCACGAGGCCATCGGAAATAATATTCCTGCCCTCCAATTCTACACCAATTCCGTGGTTCGGTGGAAATATTCCTTGGCCGACTCTGGACGGCTGGTTGCACCGTTAATTACAGCCTCGGGCAATTAATCTGCTTGTACTCGGCATCGTTGCATTTAGCACGTGCCCGGGATGTTCTTAAGAGCCTTGGATGTTGAAACGGGAGAAGAGATAAGTGAGTCTCCTTTTCCGAATACGCAGTGTTATGAACCAAGGACATCACTCCCCGCCCGCCTGGCCGTCGTTCATCTGCATCTTGGGCTAAGTATGAAATATCCCATCCTAAGGCGAAGCGAGTGGCGAGGACACCACGATGCCAAATGAAGAAAAGGAGACCTACTCGGCGCGTATAACCAGGAAGCCAGCCGCAATGAATGGGTTTGAGGACTGTCGTCTTTGCCACGCAGAACTGGTTCCCATGCCCTGGTGATTGCGTCCTAGGCCTGTGGCCTCGCTCGAGGACGCTGAGAATTCCCTAGTCATATTTACCGGCCCAACAGCTCTCATACGCTATTATAATACGACCCTAGACTAATGCTAATATCCGATACAAACCCCACCCTTTTCTGACCGCTACCCTACCATGTAGGAAATCCTCAACACTCGCGGTTGATTACTGCGAGTTTGAGATTAGCAAGTGTTCGTACGGAGTCACTGTAGGCTGGCAGGAAAAAAAAGGTTTCCTGGGACCGAATAGAAGTTCTGCTCACTCGTTCCGCTGCCGGGATTCGCATTGTTCCAAACGCCTCGGCCGACAGCAAGATCCTCGCTTGATACAGGCCTGTCATAACAAGCGCACTGCCATAGGATATGGTTGGGCGGGTTCCCTCCCGGCGTGTTGACAAAGGCGCCTTGGAAGAACTTCCCACTTGGCAACCAGGTTCCCGGATTTGCGGTGTCATTGCCAGATAGGCAGATGCTGCTGCAGGTGTCCAGGACGAGCTTTTGATCGTTCCCGAGCCAGTCGTTCTGTCTGAACCTGTAAAGCTCGTGCAGATCGGATATGTTCGGCCGAACGACCCATATCCCCTCGCTGCCCCGGTTGATGGTGCTGACGGTGGTTAGGGCGGCAGACGCGCACTTTGTCGGCGCCGGATCACCCCGGACCCGGGTGGGCTCCGGCACGTAGAACCGCCTGGCCGCAATGACGCCGGACGACAGGAGAGAGAGAACCAGGAGCCGCAAATAATGCATAATGGTATCCAGAGGCTGCCGGACGAGGACGGGATGCTCGCCGGCTGGATTCGTGGTAGAGACTGGGATCTACGTCTTATAACTCGTACTGTCTGAGAACAGCCATCGACGCGAGATCGTACCGAGGGTGTATTTAGCCGGGGCCAGAGCAGTCTCACCAATGCGGAACGCGAGAGGGCGCCACTGATCGTCGTCCAAACTGCCAGCATGCAGCAGGCCGGAAGGAGTGCGTGGCTATCTGGTTGGCTACACTCATACCGCTTCCCCTGCAGCCTGATATGTCGTCAGTAGATTAACCAGACCATATGCCGTGATCATCTCCCCAGTTGGGCAAGGCCTGTCAGGCGTACTTTGGAAACTTTTTCTTCCGCACCATCTCTCTTCTCTCTCCTTGTGTGAGAAGAAGTAAGTCGGGGGCCGGAAAATCCTCAAGCCACTACCACCCCTCCCCTCCTCTTTCGCTCTCCTTCAAGGAAATGCCGTCTCCTATCATGCGTAATTGCACGGAAAATAGACACCTATTTTCCGTCCAAACACGGGAGCATCATGGGAACTATCATTTTGGAAATGAAAGGGGGGGGGGGGGGGGGGGTAGTTACAATTGTGCAAGCCCCTCGGCAGCATGGCATCTTGTCGGTGGCTGCTTTCCAATCTCCGTACAACGGGTTTCTCGCCCGGTGGTAGAGAGTTATCGCCCTCGACAGGATAGTGTATAGAAGCATGCGTAGTGGTTTCACGGTGTCCCGCCGAGAGGGATCAGCCTTATATGGCCCTGGTGGAGGAGGTATCATGAACTTGTCGGCTCGATCTCGTAGAACTCTACGCATGTGCCCTCTCAAAGTCGTCCTCCGGTGCTCGTCTTATCAAGGAGGAGGCTCGGAAAGATCTGGCAGATAGCAGTGATATAAACGCGGAGGGTGTCTGTAATATCGGCAGTTCCTTCAGAGGTGGACGGCGTGCGGGAGGTCAACCTACCGCCGCTCTTATAGGCCGGACCATTTATGGATATATTGGCAGCCATCTCAGGCTTCGTGAAAGCGATTGCGGAGCGAAATATAGGGGCGGTGCTCAGTACAAATCTGGGCCCAATTCCCAGATCGTTCTCTCTTTAGTTGCCTTCGACACTCATACTCAATTCGAGGTCCCAAGAATGCGTTTCTCACTACTTGCTAGTTCGACGCTCACAGCATCCTGCGCTCTAGGCGCAGGCATCTTACGCTTCGGGTGTTCCCAGATTACGATCGAGCGGCTTGATCCGTAAGGAGCGCGCCTGTGATTTGTTGTGTTGCGATAATTCTGAGTATGGCTGGTACAGACTGGTCGAGCCCGGGGCAAATCCGAGTGCCCACCTCCATCAGGTAAGATTCTTACACAGGGTACGCCGGGCAGAGAAGGACTAGTTGTTAATAGCTGATCTCTTAGGTTGTCGGAGGGGTGAGTATCTCGCAAAGCCAAATGCCTCGCGCCTCAGCTAATACCAGCCATCGGATATCCCCAGAACGCGTTCAAGGCGAGCATCGAGCGTACTGATGTCTCGAAGCTGGCCGACTGTACCACATGCAGCTTCAGCGAGGACCTCTCCAACTACTGGACCGCGAACCTGTTCTTCCGCGCTCGGAACGGGACTTTCAAGCGTGTCCCGCAGATGCCCAACAGATTCCTGGACGGCTCGGTTGGCGGCGTGACCGTCTACTACTTCCCCCAGGACCTCCGCACCAGGGTCACGACGTTCAAGCCGGTGAGTTCTGAAGCATCTCGCTCCCGACTCAAGCTGGGAGACTGGATCATGTAACCAGCATACTAGGGTTTCCGCATGCTTGTCGGCGACGCCACGTTGCGGACAAAAGAGGGACAGTCGCCCCGGAACTGCTACCGTTGCTTCACCGGGCCCAACTTCGAGGGCGACAACCTCGCACCGTGCGCGGACCCGAAGCTCGATACGCCGGGGCTACCGTCGACGCCGTGCCCCGGAGGCATCCGTTCCAATATTCACTTCCCGACGTGAGTGGGAGCGCAATTCATTCCGCTTTTATGTTACCCGCGGGCACTTCTCCTGACCCGAAGCCATAATATAGCTGCTGGGACGGGGAAAACTTGGACACGCCTAACCACAAAGACCACGTCGCCTGGCCCCCGGGCAACGCATACCAATGCCCATCGACGCATCCGGTCAAGATCCCACAGGTGATGCTCGAAGTGGTGTGGGACACGCGCGAGTTCAACAACCCGGACGAGTGGCCGGAAGACGGCTCTCAGCCCTTCGTGTTAAGCACTGGCGATCCGTAAGCACTCCTTCCTTTCCCTCCGCTATTCACTTGGTGATCCCGCGGCGTTGCGTGCGCTCACGGCGGATTTCTCTCGCCGACTAGGACGGGATATAGCCAACACGGGGACTACGTGTTCGGCTGGAAGGGTGACGCGCTCCAGAGAGCGATGGATTCCAACGACTGCTTCGCTGCCAACTGTCCGACGCTAGAGACGCAGTCTTTCGAAGTGGCCAACAAGTGCGCGATCCCGCGCACAGTAGACGAGCCCGTTGACGGATGTGAGTTCTTTCGGGTTGGGGGTGACAGAGACACAGCCCTCCCGCGCTTCTACGCGTACGTGTGCTCGTCTGCTAACTGATTTCCCAGGGCTTGATTCTCTACCGGGGATGAGTATGTAGTTATGGCGTGTTAGGTACAGCGTATGGACGGACCCATGGAGGGAGGGAAGACCGGGGGGGGGGGGAATGGTTCGTGTTGCTGGGCGTTTCCCTGGCCGCTTACTGGTCATGGCTGCTTAAAATGGCATCGTCGATAGTAGTAGACACAACCAGTAAGCCGTACCAAGTAAACCACCGCCATGCCGAGTGATCTTCATGGTTAGGTTTCAAGTGTCGGGAGATCGAGCGCCATGCTGTTCTCTTTGCCTGCTTTGGGCACGTAATTACAATCATACCAATATATCTCATGTCCGTATAGTAAGTCTACGTGCGTTATGTCGCGTACCGCCATATTCATCTTTGTAGGCATTGGGCGTTGATAGCGATCCGTCTCCGACGAGTTGGTGTCTGCAGCTGCGGTGCGCGAGGTGTATAGTAGTAGGCGTATGTTTCCCGGGCCGGTATTGCTCGTCTACCTGGGGCAGGCCGTGTTACGTATGGGTGTTATGATCAAGTTGACGATCAGGTCGAGTCTGCGAATGGCGTGGTGTCATCCATACTACGCAAGCTCTCTCTCCCTCACTTCCCTTCCCCATTCTCTCCTCTCGTGTGGAACGACCGGGGTTTATTAGCGCTGACAGGTCCGGTAAATATACATAAATAAGTAAATATATACGCATATATATATATATATATATATATATATACTCATATAATATGTATAGTTAGAGGAAGACGAGACGGAGAGACGGGGAGAGAGAAAAAAAGAGAGAGAGGAAGGGAGACCAAACGAGGCTAGCACGCCGTAACGATATCACCTTACATGGGGACGCCTCTGGAATTCCACCCGGAGACGATGCCGAGTTCTGCTTTGGGGTGTGGCATTCGATCTCGCGTCCAATGGCCGCTCCCTTCACCGTGCCATCGCCCTCCTCGCTGCCAACCCCTTTAATCATGCCGGATCTCGTTCCTGCATTGCGGGTCCCTCCCTACAGCATCCACGGACGGGCGTGCGCGGCGGGCTATTGGATGCGCGCAGGTTGTGCGGGCGGGCGAGTGACGCGGCGGCGCCCAGCTTGCGTTGGGCGATGGCTATCATCGAACGGGCGGCCGGCAGCGCAGAGGCAATATACACTTACAGCTCAGCGCGTCGGGGTGGATGGGTGTCTCAATGGTAAATATCGAGGGAATGTCTCGGCGTCGTACTGCAGGCCTGCAGGCCTGCCCTATTCGTCCCCTTTCCTGCTTCGCGCTCTCTCGGCCGAGGTCACCATCGAACGCCGCCGATTTTGGTGGAGGCCGAGTCGACGCCTCGCTTCCTAGGCTGACGCGTCCGCGTCGATGATGCTGCCAGTGCTGGCCGGCTTTCGATCGAGGGCCATGCGAGCCATCTAAGGGAGTCTGTATTTCAAACGCGGGAGATGGAGGAGGGTTTGCCGTATGCACGCCGGTGCGATGGCGCCGTGGATCTCGGTTGTAACCTGTGGTAGGGATGCTGTAGGCGGCCAGGTTATTATCTACCGTGAAGCGATCGATCGGGTTCTGCTCGCGAGAATCGAGCCACCCGTTGGTGTTGTGGGCGTTATGGATAACATGCCACCGTAGGCGCCTCTATCCAGGCTATGCTATGCCTGGGTAGTCCGTAGCTGGTTCCGTGGCGCTCGGTATTGTTCCCTAAGTAGAGGCAGGCTAAGTACCTACCTGGTGTCGATTAGCGCCCGGTGCCTCCGCGCTGCTAGGGTCGACGGGCGATTGCCGGGGTGCAGCAGCGCTAAACCCCACTATATATCCACTAAGCCCAGGTACCGACCTTGTTAATTAGGCACCCGCTACCTAGCACGCCACAGCGTGATGGGACCCAGCGCGCAGGGGATACCCAAAGTTGGGTTAGGTACCTAACGACCTAGGATGTACCCAGGCTACAGGCGGTACTAGTGGACTCGCGGGCCGTCCTGCTGTAGCGGTTGGTCGTTTAGGGCTCCAATGTGAGGTAGGTATAGGTACCTAAGGTACCTAGAGGCAGGTGCCTATTGCTTACATTACAAGGCTGGTACCTCTTTGGCAGGTACCTGCATGGCATCAATTCACCCTGCCGACCCATACCCACGTAGGCGTGCCTCAGGTACCAGACCTCGTAAACACAGGCAGCGTTGGTGCCGCCCGCACACTACCACGCGCTGTAAGGGGTACCCACTGACGGACTGCCGGGTACCCAGTCTACCGTATACCTACCTAGGTACCTGGGTAGGTAGTAGGGTACCTCCCTGCGTACTACCTCCTAACCCAGTACCTAGGAGACATGTACATACGTTTAGCTTAAGCGCGCGTGCGCCGCCCACCATCTCCTCTGCAAAGGCTCCCGGGGTTGCAGCGCCTCCCTCTGCAAATTACCAAGAATAAATCCCAAATCCCAGGGTCCGATATTGACTTGAGATTTTCCATTTCCTGGGTTACCATCGCGTCCCCCCCTCCCCTCCTCTCTCTCTCTCTCTCTCTCCGTTCTCGCCCTCTCCCATCCTCTCCATCCCTTTTCCTCCCACTTGCCAGGGTTTCGTCATCGTCTACTGGGCTGTCGGCATCTCCCGTATTCTTTCACCGTCGTCTACCCACTGCTGCCGTTGTCGTCGCCGCCTACTGTCCTGCTTGCTACCTTTGGTTCGCGCGCGTAGTCGTGGCCAAGACAAGCCTCGCCATTGTCTCAATTCGGCTCCGTGCTCGCCATGGACGAGAAACCCTCGGCCGGTGCTGGCTCGACCAAGTCTAGCACCCTTCCGAGGCCCATGTCGCGTCTCCCCCAGCCGCGATCGACTGCCTCAGCGGCCCCTGCCACCGTCGCCCCGACTTCGCGAGCCCACCAGCAGCTCGCTGAGACCGCCCGCGGACGACCGACCCAACCCGTGGCTGCTAGCAGCACCCCCCGAAACCCTCGACTACGCGCGACTCCCTCGAGGGAGCAGCTTAGCGCACCTCCAACCTTGCAAAAGACCAGGAGAGTAAATCCACCTCCGGTGAGCTCCCAGAACAACCGCCGGGAGCTAGGTACGAGGAACCGGAGCTCGTCGCACGGATCTAAGCAGGATATTTCTACGGCCAACGATGATCCCCTTAAGAAACCCCTGGTGGCGCGAAGGCGACCTTCCAGCCAGTTCAGCCGCGCCTCTATATCGACCCCGGTCCAAGAGAGCTTGGTGCCAGAGGAAAACGATGACGACTGCGCTGTTACCTCACTCCCCCCCTTAACCGGCTCTAACGAGGAAGGGCTCACCTTTGACACCCTCCGGGCACAGCCGAAGAGGCCGCGCCCGTCGTTAACCGACAGGACGGTTGAGACCCTCGCCCAGCTGCCCTCCTCGCCGGCCTTCAAACGACGCGGCAGCAATTTCTTCGAGGCCGGCGCGCCGGGAAGGCCACGATCCGGAGGCAGCGTGGGAGGATCGAGGCCAGGCTCCAGCTACCAATCCGAAGGTTCGCGTATCCGCGCGGCCAGATCGCTGAGTCGGCCGGGATCCAGCTCGGGACAGCCCGACGACCCATCTAGCAGCTTCCGCGCGTCTACAAACACATCCAAGCCCCCTCCTCTGGCGACGGTTCGGGGAACAGCAGCGAAACGGAGCTCCGTTGTGAGCGCGAAGCCGCCTGTTAGCAAGACCGCAGGCAAGACGGCTTCGGGATTCAATCCGCGATCCTCCTTGAATAAGGTCCCCTCGCGCTCCTCGCTGACGGCTTCGCTCGGCCCCCGAATCTCGAGCCCGGAGAAGCGTTCGGAAGCCCCTGCCGCCAAGCCAGGCTCGAAGACGCCTGCTGCTATCCGACCCCTGAAGCCCAGAGCTTCGACGAGCAACTTGTACAAGAAGCCGTCCCTACCATCTCCGGGGAAGCCCGCCGCTCCCGAAGTGCCCCCCAGTCCTGCTCGCCAACCGTCTCGCGCGTCCGCGAAATCATCTGGCACCTCTAGCGACGGCCGCAACTTATCGAGCGCCTCGACCGCGTCCACGACGCCGACAGTCGCCTCCGTCGAAGAAACGCCAATCTCGACCCCTCGAAAGTCCTCTGCTGCGCTGCGAGAGCAGATAGCAAAGGCAAAAGCGGCGCGGCGCGCCGCCGCCCGAGAAGCCGCCGGTTCCAGGATGTCCCCAACCAACGAAGCTCCGGTCGTCCCTACGGACAACACCTTTGATTTCGGCTTGTCCGGGGACCCCTTTGGCCAGCGCAAGTTTGAGAGCTCCAATCGCGAGGCCATGCAGTCGCGAATCGACGTCGCCAGAACTACCGGAAGGCTCAACATCGCGGCGATGGGCCTGAAGGAGATTCCTGCCGACGTTCTCAAGATGTACGACTTAGAATCCCTCGATCGGTCTGGTGGTGCGTGGGCTGAGAGTGTGGATCTGACGCGGTTTGTGGCTGCCGACAACGAGTTGGAGAGCATCGACGAGGCTCTGTTCCCGGATGTCGACCCTAACGAGTTCGCCGACGAGGACGAAAGTCGAGGCAACCTTTTCGGCGGGTTGGAGTGGCTGGACTTGCATGGCAACATGTTGATATCTTTGCCCATGGGACTGAGGCGCCTCCAACTGCTGACCTCCCTGAACCTGGTAAGTCCCCCCCCCCCTGTCCCCCAATGATTTGCCTGCCAACGGCGGTGCTCCGACTGGGTTCGCAAGCCTCTCCCTAACCATGCAGCAGGCGTCGAACAAACTGACGAACAACTGTCTGGAGATCATATCGCAGCTGGTTGCGATCCGGGATCTAAAGCTGGGCAACAACCTCCTATACGGTCGGATGGAAGAAGACCACTTCGCGAACCTGCAGCACCTGGAGATGCTCGACCTTCACGGAAATAACATCTCGTGGCTTCCAAGCAGCATCGACGGGCTATCGCGTCTTCGCATACTGAACTTGAACGAGAACGCCTTCGAGACGCTGCCTTTCGAAAGCCTCTGTAAGCTTCCGCTCACGGAGCTGCTGGCTCGCAAGAACAAGCTGTCCGGGACGCTCATCGGCCCCGGCGTGGAGAGCCTACCTCAGCTGCAGATCCTCGACGTGGCAGCCAACCAATTACAACTAATAGTAGACGGGGCCCAGGCGCTGAAATTGCCTTCCCTCCACCAGCTCACGATATCTATGAATCGAATCTCGTCTCTGCCCGACGTGAGCTCCTGGACCAACCTTCTCACGATGAACGCGGACGAGAACAGCATTGCCGCGTTCCCAGAGGGGTTCACGAGTCTCGAAAACTTGCGCCACGTAGATTTCACGAGCAACGACATTCGCACGGTCCCTCCGGAGGTGGCCCGGATGGACACTCTAGCCATGCTGCGGATTGCCGGAAATCCTCTGAAAGATAAGAAATTCACGTCGCTTACGACGGAGCAGTTGAAGGATGCATTGGCCGCCAGGTTAGAGCCGCTGCCCGCGGCCGAGGTCGGCGGGATCGAGAATTTCGGGAACGGATTCCACGTTACCGGACCTATCTACATCGTCACGCCTACCACTAGCGACCATAACTTTGGGGCCCCGGACGCTCGCGACGAGGAGGAAGAGGAGGAAGAGGGCCGTTCGGAGGTGGATGACTTTGCCACGCCCCCAACGTCGTCGCCCCCCTCACCGCCGGGCCGGTCGCGGTCGCATACGTTGAGCAGCCAAACGTGGCCTCTCAAACCCGGCGGCCTTCTGGATCGGTCCGATACGCAGTCGTCTTCGTTGCACCCCGTGGTATGCTCCAAGATCGCGGCGGTTCACACGGTGCGTGAAGTACGACTCCAACGCAACACGTTTACCCAGTTCCCCAATTCGCTATCGTTCTTCGCCGACACGATCACGTCGCTCTCGATGGCGCAGAACCAGCTCACGGGCGAGAGCTGGCTCACCGAGCCCATCGACCTCACGGCTCTCCGGGAGCTCTCGCTCGCGTCGAATTTCATCACCAGCCTCACGCCGCTCACGGCCAACCTGTGCGCGCCGAACCTGCAGAAGGCGGACTTCTCGCGCAACCGGATCGTCAAGCTGCCGGCGCTACGCGAGTTCTTCCCCAGCCTGACGGTGGTGCTGATATCGAACAACCGGCTGGAGGAGCTCGAGCCGGAGGCGATCAAGGGGATGAAGGTGGTGGACGCGAGCAACAACGAGATCGCGCACCTCAACCCGCGCATCGGGCTGCTGGGGGGCGCGGGGAGCCTGGAGAAGCTGGACGTGATGGGGAATCGGTTCCGGGTGCCGCGGTGGAACGTGCTGGAGCGCGGGACGGAGGCGACGCTCCGCTGGCTCCGGGGCCGCGTCCCGGTAGCGGAGATGGCGGAGTGGAGGGTGAAGGCCGGGGAGAGCGAGGAGGACGGGCTTAACGACGTTGACTAATAGCGGGTCCGGTTCTGTTTCGGACGAGTTCTATTTCGAGAGCGGAGGCGGGGCGCATAAAAATCAGTAAGGTATCTCTAATTCGAAGGGGGGCCGGGGCGATGCTCTCCGCGGCTCGGCGGGAGACGGGACGACGGTGGTGCCGACGCGTCGCTGGCGTACGGAAGTAATGATGGGCAGGGTCTTGTCAGTGATGGCGTCGCGGGCGAGAGGATTCCCGGCGGGGCGCGAGCCGGTCCGGATGATGACGATCCGAGAACGCGCGGTTAATGCGCGGCCGTTACGGGGTCGTATCACAAAGTGCCTAGACGTCGCGTGCGAGGAAGAGAGAGGGATAAGACGGTTACGTTCGAACAGCCATTGGTGTATCGATGAATACTTGGCGGGGCGCCGACATATCTATATATTTATCTATATGATATATGTATACATCTATATGTATTATATATATCTATATGTTATATAGATACGAGGGGAGAGAGAGAGAGAGAGAGAGAGAAAACTACGACCTCATTACGGACAAGAGTAGTCAGTTGTGCATGTGCCTGGCCTATCGATGCCCCGGACATATATATATATGTGTGTGTGTGTGTGTGTGTGTGTGTGTGTGTGTGTGTGTGTACATACATATATCCGGGACGGCCTCGTCTGCGTGTGCTGTATATGCGTCGACGCATGCGCGCGTTGCTGTCGCAATATTGAAGCATCGCAGACGCAGAGAAAGGGGCGGGTGACAGGTGGCAGACAGGCCCTGTCGGTACGTGCCAGCCAATTGGCGGGCAGCGGATCGGGGCTGGCCAGCCTTCGAGATTTCCGCGAGGAGAAGAGTCAGGGACCGCCAGGGCCAAGCAGAGAAGATAGGTTGATATTAGGTGGCCGAGGATGCATCTCTTCTCTCTCTTTTCCCTTTATTTTTCAACAGAGAAAAGCAATGCTGGGAGCCGTGCCTGGAACTGGAAGGGTGACGGGATGGGGGGGAGAGGATTGGGGGGGTGGAGGGGGGGTGGAAGATAGGAGGGGTTTTGCTGGCGGAGCAACCGATTCAGCATATCCCATCCCTCCCTCTCACGCCCTGCTCTCTCCCATCTCTCCTCCTCCTCCTCCTCTTCCTCCAATCCCGTCGGTCCAATCCATCATCTCATCTCCATTCCCGTCTCCGTCACCCTCTCCATAATATACTAGCGAGTCGCGACGAAACATTTCCTTCGAGACAACGAATACGATACCGGGATAGCTGCCACACATGCTGCTGCATCTCCTGCACATGGTGTCTCTTCTTCCTCTGCTTCGCTGACGACGCATCCGTCCGTCCACAATCCGCATCCACTTCCGCATCCAATCCACGCAATCCTCCCTCAACCGTTTTCTCTCCCGCAATTGATCTCTTCCCGTCGTATTCTCTCCTCTTCCTCTCCTCCCTCCCTTCCTCCCTCTCTCTCCCTACAACCCGCGATCTTCGCTCCTGGCTCTCTCCTCTTCCCCCCTCCCGCCCACCCTCGCCCCCGTCTTCGTTCTCTCGCCCGTCTAAATAAATGTAACGGTCCAGCCCCCTCCCTTCCCCCTCTCTCCTCTCTTCCTCTCCCCTCCTCGGTCCCTTCGTCATCCGTCCGCCAACGCTCTTTTCATCCGAGACGCAGAGCTGTTTGCATTTTCCCGCATCAGGTCGTCCGCTCCCTGCAGAAGCCACCCATCGGACGCATCGCCGTCACCTCTCCGCTGCCACGTCGTGTCTTAACTGGGTCGCGCGTCACCGCTTCCATCTCGACGGAAAAACGCCCCCTTCAATCCTCCCTTCTCCACACACACGCGCACACGCGTACGCACAAACTACGTCCGTGTTATCTCACGTCTCGACCTCTTGCTGCTGCTGCTGCTGTCGACGCAAATATGTCGGCCGACCCTGACCCGAGCTCGTCCTCCCGACCGAATGGTGCGGTAGACTACGACCACGTTCCGTCCACTCCGCCCGATGCTACCGCTACCCGGCATTCCTCCTCCCAGCAATCCATCTCGTCCACCGAGGGACCCAATTCGCCCGTGGACCCCTCTACCTCCTTCAAGACCGAGCTCAACGATGACCGTCATCCCTCGTCTCAGGTCGTCATCCCCTCGTCTCTAACTCCCCCTCCCTCGTCCCAAGTCCCGCCGTCCAACGGCGCCGCGGGAATGCATGCCAACTACGTGAGCTCCCAGAGGGCCAATATTTTCTCCCCGCCCGCCACGGCATTCCGTGAACTCGCCCGCGACGGCGGTTCCGCCTCGGACTATGTCGCCCCGACTCCCAGCCAGGTCGCCGACGCCTCAGCCGACGAGCTTCGCACCATGATCCTGACCTGCCTCGCCGAGAACGCGAAGCTCAAGATGGAAACGGCACACCATAAACTGCAGTACAGCCTGCTGAGCCTGCAAGCCGACGAAGATGCGAAGCGGGCCGTGGTGGAACACGACATGACCCGGCGCGAGGTTGAAGTCCTGCGCATGACGGAAAATTCCCGCCAGGCTCGGCGCGAGCTTAACGCCGTGGCCGAGTCTACGCGGATCAAATACCGCGAACTCCAGACCCAGTACCACGCCCTAGTCAAGGAGAACGAGGCGCTCCAGAAGCGGGTCAAGTCCGCCACCAAACTCATCCAGCAGCAGAGCGAGGAGCGCGACAGCCTCGTCGACGAGCGCGACATGCTGCTCAACCGGATCCGCGAGAACCGAGAGCATTTCAATATGCTCTGCAGCCCCGGCGGGGCCTTCTACGGGGCGCTGACGCCGAAGACGCCGGCGGTTACCACGCCCCAGCAGCCCCGAGCCACGCCGCGCCAGACGCCCAAGTCCGTCCACAGAGAGGTCCGCCACGACAACGACACCAACCAGGCCGGGTTCGCCGCCCTGCTGCAGGCCCTGAGCCACGACAACAGCGCGCCCTCCACCCCGACGGCCGCCCACCGCCCCGCCCTACGGATGCCTCCGAAGCACACGCGAGGGGCCCAGTCGCTATCTTCGCTGCCTACCACGCCGACGCCGCGCACTCGCGGAGAGTACTCGGGCCTGCTGCCTTCGGCCGACCTCGTCCCTCAAACGGAGCCGCCAAACCGGTATAGCAGCCGCTTCGCACCCGATACGCCGGTCCTGCAGAAGACGGGCCTCCGGAGTCGGGAGAGCACGATCTCTGCCGACGACAACGAGGAGCTTGCCCGCGCGGCTCTCGAGTCGGTCGCGGCGGCAACCCAGTCGTACATGTCGCAGGGGTCCCGGGCCTCGCGGCGCAGAGAGGAGGAGATTTTCGAGAGCCAGGCCAGCCAGGCGGCATCGGAGATGCTGCGTCGCGACCCGCGCGAGAGCTTCGACGTGGCCAGCTCGGTCGGGTCCCGCGACGCCACGCCCGCGCCGGCGGAGAAGACGGCGAAGCTGCAGTCGAAGCTCTTCGCTGGGCTGAATAAAGTAGGGCTCGTGTCGGAGAAGCGCAAGTTTTCCGACGGCAGCGACAGCCGACACGAAAGCGTCGCGAGCCCGCCGAAGAAGATGAGATACGGGCCGGGCGGCGGCGAAGGCAACGGACGGGTCGGACTAGGAATACGTTACGGACAAGACGCCTAGAGGAAGAGCCGAAACTAGCGGGAAGCATATCGACGATATTGGCCTCGGAGTGAGGAGAGGGTTCGAACGAGCAGCGGTAGTGCGCAGCCCATAGAACAGGGTGGGTTGAAAAGAAGGGGAGGGATCGAAGGAAAAAAAAAAGACAAAAAAAAGGGAGGACCGGATGAGATTCGGGTGTATTCTTAACTCCCGAGAAGAGGGTTCCTTTTTCTCTCTGGCGTTTCTCTCTCTCGGCATGACGACAGCGTCCTGGCCGGGTTTTTTTGCCTGCCCCACACCAGCTTCGAAGCATCTTGACGCGCCATGATAGTGGTGGGAAGAGGGTTTGGGAGGAGCGGGAGGCACAACTAGTACGTGGGTAGATAGACCTGGACTTTGGGCAGCCCCCCCCCCCCCCCTCCCTCCATCGCCGCCCAGTTACCCAGCTATACATAGACACGCACAATCATGTACCCCGGGGGCAAATTGATCAGCATACTTGTTATCATCTGTCGGTCTGCCTGTCGGTGTCTCTAGTGTTTCCGGCTCACTGCGGTGCATACGGCCTCTTTACGCTGTATAGTATTCATGTAGGAATGCGGCAGCGATGTGGGCAGCGGTGTCCTGCGCGTTATAGGAATATACCTATCTACCTACCAATGTGTTAGGGCATATCGAGCACTCAAGGTCAGGTACCTGCAGCCTATAGCGACAGGTACCTACGTCCTCGTAGGCAGGTAAGGATTAGGTAGGTACCTCTACTGATGAGTTCGTGGGATGCAACTAAAGGAGTTACCCGTGTACGCAGGATAGGCAGGTACCGTATTTTGGTCGCCATTTGGCCTCCCCGCCTGCGGAACCGGCCAACGGCAGTTTGGCGGCCAATGTCTACACAATACCGGCTTTTCTCCCGATCACCACCACCACTACCACTACTACTGCTGCTACTGCTACCACGACCTCCATGGATCCGTCCTGGCGCTCTTATTTCCCATCTTCCCCCTTTCCCTCTCTTTCTCTACCTCTCTCTTCCTCTTCCTCTCCCCTCCTCCCCCCCCCTCAATCTTCGGTATACGCAGGCACACACAGGTGATACACCATCGGTGTAATGCCTTCATCCTCGTCGTCGCCCTCTTCCCCATTCCCTCCGTTCTAACGAAACATACGTATATATGCCTGCCTGATAGCCGTCGACGCACGCGAGCTTAGGAATCCCGAGTTTCCAGTCATCTTCTCTTTGCAATTTCGCCTCCCTCCCAATCCTTGTCGCGATGGTGCTCCCCAAGGGCCTCTCGGCCGTGCTGGCCAAATCCCCCTACGATACCGTCATCCTCTCCTCCCTTCGCACGCCGGTATGTCGGTCTTACCGCGGCCAGCTCAAGGACGCCTACCCCGAAGAGCTCCTATCCGTCGTGCTACGCGCCACCCTCGACGCCAACCCTAACCTGCCCCCCGAAGCGATCAACGACGTGGCCGTCGGCGTCGTCCTGTCCGAGCTCGGCGGCAGCAAGGCCGCCCGCGCCGCCATCAACCACATCGGCTTCCCCAACTCCACCTCGCTCTACACCGTCAACCGCGCCTGCAGCAGCAGCCTCCAGAGCATAGCCACCGTCGCCGCTCAGATCCGCACCGAGATGATCAGCGTCGGCATCGCCGCCGGCATGGAGAGCATGACGCGGAACTACGGGTCCCGGGCCATACCCGTCAACCTATGGCCGGAGCTGAAGGAGACTGCCGTCAAGGACGCCCGGGACTGCATCATGCCCATGGGGCTAACGAGCGAGAACGTTGCGGCCCGGTACGAGGTCGGGCGCAAGGAGCAGGACGAGTTCGCCGTCGAATCTCACCGTCGCGTCGCCCGGGCTCAAGCCGAGGGCCGGTTCGACGCCGAGATCGTGCCGGTGCGCACCCGCTTCCAGGAGGTGGACAAGCAGGGGAACAAGGTCGGCGACGAGAAGCGCATAGAGGTGACTAAGGACGACGGGATCCGCGCCAACGCGACGCTCGAGGCCCTCGCCAAGCTCAAGCCCGCCTTCAAGGAGGACGGGTCGAGCACGGCCGGCAACTCGAGCCAGGTCAGCGACGGCGCCGCGGCGACCTTGCTGATGCGGCGGAGCACCGCGACCGAGCTCGGCCTGACGTCGAGCATCGTCGGCAAGTTCGTGGCGGCCACGACGGCCGGCTGTGCGCCCGACGAGATGGGCATCGGGCCCGCGCTCGCGATCCCGAAGCTGCTAGGCCAGCTCGGGCTCGCGGCGCGCGATGTCGACCGCTGGGAGATCAACGAGGCCTTCGCGAGCCAGTCGGTGTACTGCGTACGGGAGCTCGGCTTGCAGAAGGACTGGGAGGAGGAGCGCGTGAACCCGGACGGCGGCGCCATCGCACTCGGGCACCCGCTCGGCGCCACGGGCGCGCGCATGACGAGCACCCTGATTCACGGCCTCGGCCGCACGGGGGGCCAGGTCGGCGTCGTGAGCATGTGCGTCGGCACGGGGATGGGCATGGCTGGCTTGTTCGTGCGCGAGCACTGAGAGTCGCGCGGAACGCACGCGGTGTGTACCCGTAGGGTAGGTAGGTAGGCAGGTAGCGCAGCGTAGGGAAATAAATAGATGGATATACCAAAAGAATATTATATATACATATATATACCTACATATAAGGGTATCTTACGACGTGCCACCAGGCCACGCCAGGCAAGAGGCCACGCTTTCGCCTCCTGTCTGATAACAACAGAATAGACAAAACAGATGCGCATGTGTACAACCCAATACAACCTACTTTCTCGAGAACGCGAACATCCCCGGGGTTTGGCTTAAACAAATTCTGTATGAAACATGCGCGATTAAGGGGGCGGGTGCATTTACCTACCTACAGACGTCCCCGGACACCTTCGGAAAGGAGGCGGAAGACGAAGACGGGCCGACGTACGTACGGTCGATATATCCCATTATGTACACCCCGAGGACCAGCAGGAAGAAGAAGGGCACGAGCACGCTCAAGAGACACATCTGGAGCCAGATCAGGAACTCAAGAGCCGCCATCGGGCCCCGACTCTCCATGCACTTTGTCCAGAGGTCGTAGTGGTCGTACGGGGAGTGCGTCAGCCCGTTCCGGGCGCAGTAGTCGCAACAGACCACCTCCCGGCTGCCGCTAGAGTAGGCAGAAGAGAACGTAACGGCCGAAGAGGCGGGAGAGCAGGGAGCGCGTGCTACACGCCCCATCTCGACTGCGTAGTCATCGTCAGCTGCGGCCTCGAGCGCCGCGGGAGGAGACGGCGGAGGCTGAGGGGGCAGAGGAGGGCGGATCGGGGGCCGCGGCCTCTCTTGCGAGGGGACACTTAGCAGAAACGTAGCAGTAGCTGCGGCATAGCTGGCGCCGTTCGAATGCCGGAGCAAGGGGTCGCGCTGCGAAGGCGGCATGGCGGTAGCCAGGGAGTAGGAATGCTACAAGGTCTCCCCACTGGTGGACGACGAGGTGTAAGGGGTGTGAGGCAGCAAGTCTTCTTTGCGACGGGGGAGGGGAGGGCCTCTAGAATCAATGCCTACCGGGGACGCGGAGCACAAACAGGGTGTCAGGAAACAGACAAGCTACTAGGAACGGTGCCGTCGTGTTTTTTCGCAAGCACGTACAAACCCCTCTTATGCAGCGTCCGCGCGGACAGAAGCGAAACAATGGGCTTGCAGCGGCCGCGCAGACAAAGCCGCAAGGCAAGCCCAGACATCCGAGGGGGCTTGGGGTCTTTTGACACGGTGACAAGGGCTATTGTGTCTGTGTCTACCCGTGCTGCTTTGCCGTGTGCCGATCGCTTCTTTCACCGCGAGCGCGTCGTTGTCATCGTGATTCTCGAGGATATGCATCGATGGAGACGGCATCCGGGTTTGTTCCTACGGGGTTGGGACCGCGAGAGGACGTGTACGCAGAGGAGGGAAAGGGGCGAAAAAGGAGGAAGACGAGGAGGGGCGGAGAGACGCGAGAGGGGAGCAGGTTATAACCATATCACGGATTGATGCTCCTATGCATGTAGGGGGAAGGATATATATATATATAGGTAGTTAGAGAGATACTGGAGGTATATATTAAATGACAAATTTACGCCCGCCGGATTCTCGCTACGCCGATATTCGGTACGAGGCGCTGAAATCCGCACAATCTATTCCTCGCTCCGACGTTCAGACCCGAGACCCAGCCACCCCTAGCCACGACGGACGGTACCAGTGAACGCCGTGCTCGAGATGTCCACATGCACCCTCTCCTCGGGGTTTCCCCCCGGCTGGTCCCGACGCTGCGGCGTGCCCGGCGCTGCGCGCACAAATCCTCCCGCACCCCCGTCCCGCGCGCGTGGGGTGTGTGTGCGTGTGAGGGGTCAATCGGGGTTCGATCGAACGCGGGACAGGCAAGGGGAGAGGAGGGAGGTAGGTGGCTCGCATCATCGCCCGGGAGCCGGATGGGGATGGGTGGTGCGAAGAAGGGCGGAGAGCGTGGAGGGCCTGGACAGGGACAGGTAGCGACCGTGAGGGAGGGCGGCGTGCGCGTAGGCGAGTGTATATAGATGGATGTGTGTATGTATGTTTGTAGGTGGGTGGACTCTTGAGGTGATACAGGCCATTCTTTGTTTTATTTTGTTTTGTTTTGTTTTGTCATATTTTTTTCTCGTTTCGGTTCATTCCGGCGTCATCGTCTTTCTGCGTCTCTTCTTCTTCCTTTTCTCGGGGTGCCAGCGGGCAGACCGCTCCCTTTCTTTCTCCGTCGGTTGTCCTCGTCTCCCGTGGGATTTTCACTGGGTGCCGGCCGCAGCTCCGCTCGCCTGCGGTGGACTCAGGGTCGCGCTCGCAGCGGTAGCCGTCTTTGCCGCAGCCTTCTTCGCCGCCAATCGCTCCGCCTGGAGCAGCTGGTTCAGGGTCTGCTTGTCGTTCTCGAGGCGGGCCGACGCGTGCTGCTCCAGCTGGGCCGCCTCGAGCTCGCTGCTCTCGGTTTCGCCGATGGGCATGTTGCCGAGAACCAGCAGCCTCTTCCGCTCCGAAATCGAATACGGCTCGGCGACGACGTGGTTGGCGACAGCCAACGTGCTGGAAGCATCGCCCGGCGGCCGGCTGGGACACCGGAAGCCCTCGACGAAGTCCCACTCCCCGGCCGCGGCCTCGCCCTCGAGTTGGATAACGGGGGGCTCGGGCCAGCTCGGGGACTCCGGGAGAGCATCGTCCCCTCGAGAGGATACCGGCGTCGACACGTCGAAGGAGTCGGTGCTACGATTTGCGGTCTCTAGCACGGCCGCTCGCAACTCTTGGCGGCTCTTTTCCGGGGTGTCGTTGGCGTCATCGCGTCGTTGGTTGGATGCAACAACCATGTTCGTGATCGAGGCAGCGTTTCTACTGGCGGGGATCGAAGCTCGCGCGTGGCATTGGGTATTCTGTTCCTCTAGTCCTCTTTCTCCTCCTTCTCTTTGTTTCTTTTGGAGAGGGGGGTCTCCGCTATAAGTGAGGGAGACGTGCACGAGCACACATCGATGGGATCAATCGGTCAGGCCAAGACGGTCGGGTCCGGATATAAGATATCCCGTGAATGAAAAGAGAGAGCGGGCATGGGGAAGGGGAAAGATATGGGGAGGACGTGGGGAGGACATGGGTGGTGATAGGAGAGAGGGAGAGATCCATCCATCCACCCATCCTCTCATTCATCCACGTACCTACGGATCATGGCCCCAGTCCCAGCTGACCCTCTCCGTCAGCGGGAGGGAACATCTCTACATGCTGCCTACATCACCGAGACGAAAAGAAGGAAAACAAACCCCATCACCTCTTGGGCCAAGATATAGCAGATCACTAGCCCTCCCATAAGATAGGTGCATACACACTTGCTACGCCGTAGCTCACGTCCAGGGGGGAGGCCGCGGTGAACTACACTATGGCAAGTAGGTATATATAAGTCGCTCCGCTATAGGGCGGGTGGGTAAGGAGAAACTAAAGAACAGACGCCATCCAGACCAAGAACCGCATTCCCACCATCTCCAAAACGCTCCAAGACCAAGACACTGCTAATGCGAGATCCTACCCGACCATAACTTCTTGATGTCTTCCCAAGACTGCTCGTCCTCCTGCTCGCGCCTCTTGGGATCCTTCAGGGCTTCCCCGAAGCTGCCGCTGTCGCGCTTGGCCTCGAGCCCCTCGACAAAGTCTGCGATCTTCGTCGGCGTGGCCGGCGGCAGCGCCCCCCGCAGGTCGCGGTCCAGGAACCGCCAGGCCAAGCTTACCAGCTTGGTTTCGTCGGCTGGGTCGTCCTCGAATTCGCACGCGGTCTTGAGGTGGGCGACCCAGTCGGCGAAGGGACGCCCTTCGGCCAGGTTCGCCAGCGTGAAGTAGCACGCGTCGTCGCCGGTCAGATGGTTCGTCCGCATCTCCACCTTCAGCCAGTCTTTGACTTCGGGCTCGCCCTTGATCCGGATGTCCGGGCACTTACCTTGAGGGTCGCGCGCCGCCCGGCTCTGCTTCCGCCAGTGTTGGTCGACGAGCAGCAGTCGATGAAGCGCGCTCTGACTGAGCAGCTTCAGCTGTTCTATCTCGTCTCGATGGCTAGTGCCGTCGTCCTCCCGTTCCGCCAGATTCCTGCCGCTGGCGGTTGCGTCCAGGGTCTGTCGGATGCCCTCCTTCGTGACTTTTCCGGCGCGACATTCCAGCTTCAGTATGCACTGCGATAGCCTGGTTAGATTCCGTCGAGTTGTCGCCAGAGCATAGGCGGTCTGTCGCCGCTCTTCAGCCTGCTCGTCTGTCAGCTTCCCCGCCGGATCTTCCTCTGGTCCTGCGTCGCTGCTCTCAGCCTCTCTCGGCTCTTCCCGCTGTTTGGTCGCCGCGCCCTTCTTCCCTCGTGTTTCCTTCAGCTTCAGATTGTCAGCAATGACAGCTTTGCGAAAGTACTCGGCCAGATCCTCGTCGACATCCTCTATTTCCGACAGCCCTGAGCTGTCTTTCCACACACAGATCTCGTCGTCCTCTTCCTCTTCGTCGGACAGTAAATAGGAATGGTACGGCCTAGCGTTGTAGACGGAGTACCTGTCTCCGTATCTACCGCTCATGTTGTATCCAATGTTTCGTATCATTCGGCCGGTAAACTCGCTAGAATGTAGGTTCCAGATCTTTTTTTTTTCCTCTTCTAACCGATTTACATGTCTGACTTCGTGGTTGGGCGACGGCCTAGCATGATATACAATAACCACCGATCAAAGAGGCTCTTTGTCTGCCGACGGAGGACAACAGTAGACAACGAGTCGTGGGTCGAACAAGGCCATTTTTCAATTAGATGAGCGCTCGGGTTGTCAAAGTCCCTTTAACGGTCTACCCGGATGGCAAAGACAACTCGTACCCCTTCAATTTTCGCTTTCACTCGAGGACTGCACCTCTTCTTTAGGTCCTAGGTCTGCTCCCCTTGCACATGTCTATTCTCAACCCTACCAGTTGGTGCAATGCTAAAGATACCGGGTCCTGGCTCTTGCAGCGGTCTAAAGACCACCATATACGGTGCGGCGCTCTGTCAGAACGAGACGCTTAGAGTAGCCTCCGAACTTGTAGCTCGAAACGCGCCGATATAAGTGTAGATGCAAGTAGACGGCAGCAATGAAGTTAACTCGCCTAATGATTATCGTTTTAGAATATGCTAGATGTCGTAAAATACTACAGTACTCGTCATCGCCATTTACACAGCGAAACCTTTTAATCCTGCAAGGCTTGCCCTTTGTCCGTAGTCCCCTGGAAGTTGATTCTCTATGGGTATAACCCCCTTAAAAATGCGCTCCCCCCTAAGTCTGGAATCGCCCACCGCAACCCGTTTTCGTTTTGTTGGGGACTGTTGAAGTAACCAAGAGTGCGCCTCATGCTCCGTTCCTTTGCGATCTGCAACCAGCACCCGATCTCGCAAAACTGATAATACAGTTTCTAGGGCTCGCCCCAGATCTCGTCGGCAATCTGCCTCACCAGCGACAGCTTCTGTTTCTCATCCTCCACCGTCAGCGGGTACCCGCTCTCGTGGGTGCTGAAGCCGCACTGCGGGCTGACGTAGATCCTCTTGAGGGCCTCCTCGCGCGTCTCGCCGCTGCCCTCGGCCACGAACTCGGCTGCTTTGTAGACGCGCTCTTTCATGGCCGCCTTGTCCTCGAGCTGCCGCACCTTGGTGCTGATGATGCCGATGACGACGTTCTTGTCTTTGGGCAGGGACCGCAGCGGCTCGAAGCCGCCCGCGCGCTCCGTGTCGTACTCGAGGTAGAAGGTGTTGACCTTGAGGTTCTCAAAGAGCTTTTTGGCGATGACGTCGTATGCCCCTTCTGAAAAGTGCCTCCCGCCGATGAAGTTCCCTCTGCATAGATGGATGCCTGTGTGGAAGTCGGGCGGCAGTTTACTGAGAGAATCGTTGTACAGCTCGATGTAAGCGTCTAGGAGGTCCTCCCATGTCCCGATGTTGTCCTTGTCCTCCTCCCACCCCTTCCGGAAGTCCTGAGAGCAGAAATCTGTTTATCGTGTTAGCGGCGCGCTGTGGCAGGACGGCGGCGGCGGCGACGTATACGACCCAGCGTCGTCGACGACGTAAGGTGGGCTTACAGGCCATGCCCGGATCGTCGAACTGGGCGTTGCGGAGGCCTGCCTTGTATAGCAAGTCCAGCTCAGCCTGGTACACCCTGGCCACATCCTTGAAGTACTCGGCGTCGTTGGCGTAGGCCTCTTTGGTGTAGGCACGACCCTGCTTATACCTCATGTGGAACCAGGACGGTGCGATTATTGTGAGCTTGATGTTGCCCCATTCACTCTCGGGTACAAATGCCTGCACCGACCGGAGCTCGCTCAGATTGGAAACGGACCTGCTGGCGTTGTGGGATAGCTTGCTGCCGGCGATGACCGACTCTCCAGGCATCACCTTTCGACCCTTCTCGATTAGACTTACGACATCCGGGTGGTACAGACGAAACATGCTAGCATCGGCATCTTGCAGGCGGATGGTGCCGTCGATCTCGTCCCATAGAAGACCCCAGAAGCGCGTGCGGTTGTACTCGCCCGAGTTGACGGCCTTGAAGCCGAGGTCTTGCTGCAGCTTGACCACCTCCCCGATGGCTTTCTTCTCTGCGGCCGGGAGGCCGGCTTCCTCTGCCGAGATGCCTCTGTCCCGAATGCTCGCACGCACTTTCAGCAGATCGTCGGGTCTCAGGAGCGAGCCCAGGTGCTCGGCGCGAAACGGAGGGGCCATCCCGGAGCCAGATGAAAAGTTACGGTGTCGCTCAGCGTCTCCGAGTTCCGGCCTTGAGTTTTCGGATCCCTGCCGATTTCGCGGGATAGCGTGAGAGGGGTGGTAGGCTAAGTGGACAAGAGAGAAGAGAAAAAAGGGGCGAGGGCGGGCACAGACTCTCTCTCTGTCTCTCTCTGCCACTACTTTTAGCATACGAAAGAGTCTTCCAGTCTCTCGAAAGGTCGGCAGGACTACTACCGGTCTTTTATATGGGACGAGAAAGGAATCCCCCGAAAACTCGGAGATGAAGAAGAAGCTCTCCGTTCGGAGCCATGGGTTTCCCACATCCCCTCCTCCCCCCTCCCCTTCCAGGGTTGCTAGCGTAGGATGTGTGGTGGGGAAAAGGGTTAGACCAATGTGACATGGCATGGGAGCCAAAGCAATCACTGGAGACTAGCTAGAGATAATTAGATCCAACAGCTGATGAGCCGGCGCAGACTACAAGGGAATAGCTCGGAGAAGGGTGTTGTTGGTTGGACTAAGTTGGGGGGAGGGGGGGGGGGGGGGTTAGCTGGAGACAGACGCCCGCGCTGTCCCATTAAACCAACACACGGGACACCAACAAGAGATGGCAAAAGACAAAAGAATACGAATAAAATGCAATGCATGGAGGTCTCCGTGGTCACCGCCGTTATTCGGGAACTTGGGTTTATATCTATCTATGTAGCATGTCCACATTAGTTGTCGAAGACGGTACCACAACCAACGTAACCATTCAATCGTCTACGGAAATATGTAGCCCTAGTTGCCCAGCTGAGTGCCCGGCAGAATCTCTGGTATGCCACGAAACACGGCATTAATAAAAAGTTCTTAGGTGCCATGGACATAGCCGACAGCTAAACAGTCTCGGTGTCTCTGGCGGAGACTTGGCAATTGTTCACGTAGTACAAGCAAAACCTCAACTCTCTACGGATCTAGAAAACACAACTCAACCCAGACCGCGACTTAGCTAACTGACACAGGGACGCACGAGTCGAATCAAAGCAGAAAGTAATCACAACCACGGGCATGCTTCCAAGGACCAGCGCGCGGCAGAGACCAAGATTGTTGTACTAAATCTACAAGGGATCATGAACATAATTGGTATCTACCGAAGCTATTTATGACGTCCTCTCGATTGCTTGACAATGAAACATTATGAATTATGAATTTCTCCTAACCAACCGAGCCTTGTATACCTCTTACATCAGAGCGACGAAAGCGCCGGCGGCGGCCAGTGCGCCGGCAATGCCGGACCCAACCCTGGCGGCACCCGCAGTGGCGATGGGGGTCTCGCCCGGGTAGCTGGCAGTCGGGTAGTGGACGCTGACGCTGGGCTGAACGGAGGTCTCCAGCGAAGTGTGCGGCACAGTACCGTTAGAGCCGATCGGGTGAGTCGGGTACGGCGGGACCGTGGTCAGGTGGGCCGCGGTAGAAGGGGATCCGACGGGAGTCGGAACACCGACCGGGGTTCCAACAGAAGGCGAGCTGGCGGGCGTGAGCGCGGAGGGAGAGGGAACCGCCTGGCTCGAAGGCCCGTTGGTGGATCCGCCGGTGGGCGTGGTGACGGGAGCAGTGTGGGCAACGGGGCTCGTGGGGAAAGGAGGAGTAGGGACGTTGACGGGGGGAGTGAAGGACGAAACCTCAGAGCAGGGCTCAAGGGTGACGACGGTCTTGGTCAACGTCACGGGAGTGACGGGTTTGGTGTGAGTGGGCTTGGGCGGGGAGGTGATAGCTTCGGTCTGAGTGGCCGGGCACACGGTAGTGTAGACGGTGGTGTGTACGACGGTCTGGGCGGTCTGGTAGCCGGCCGGGCAGTTAGGAACGTTAGCAGCACAGGCAGTAACCGTGAAGGTCTGGACGTTGGTGATAGTGGAGGTAATGACACCGCCAATAGGGGCCGGCGTGATGGCGGACGAAGCGTCAGACGTCGCGGAGACAGCAGGCGTGGAAGCACCGGCGGAGGTCGACGCGCCGTCAGCAGGGGTGGAAACGCCAGCAGCCGGAGTGGAAACGCTACCAGCTGGAGTAGAGACACCGCCAGCAGGGGTTGATACATCAGCGCCAGGAGTAGAGACGCCGGCAGCGGGAGTAGACACACCACCCGCAGGAGTCGAGACTTCGCCAGCAGGGTACGAAGCACCGCCGGTAGGGCCCCCATAGGAGGAAGTCTCGATGCTAGAAGGAGAGCCGGGGACGGTGGCAGACGCAGACCCAGAGCTACCAGTGGGGAGGCTGGGGAGGCTGGGAAGAGTGGGAAGCGTCGGGATGGCCGGTTTAGTAAGAGAAACTGAAGCCGAGTACGAGGCCGAACCGGTGGCGGTAACGAAGCCGCTGGAGCTGCTGCCAGGGAACGTGGAAGAGCTTCCGTAGGGAATGCTGGCAGTCAAGGTCGGGACGACGGTTGGGATGACAGGCGAGTACGTCGGGTGCTGGCAGAAAGTGGCGGTGGGGTAGCTCAGGAGAGCGGTGGAGAGCGTAGGAGCCAGGTGGACAGAGAGGAGGTCCTCGATAGAGACATCGAGCTCGACTGCGGCACCGATGTTCAGGCCGTACGATTCCTTCGAGAGCGGGCACTCGGGGGTAGCGCAGAAGAAACCAATGTACTCGAGAAGATTGGCGAAGACGGCAACCTCGAGGCCGGCGCCGATCTCAGGAAGATCGAGGATGGGGACGATATCGTCGAGATCGAGCTCAGCAGCGACGCCCAGCTCGACACGGAGACGAAGGTCAGCCAGCAACTTTGTGCAGCCAATCCGGACCTCGATGGGGAGAACCTTGACAGAGAGGCCGGAGAAGGCGGCGTCCAAGATCTTGCCAGCGAAGATATCCGTCTCGATGAAAGCCTCGTCGACGAGTTGAACCTCGATACCGGCGGAAAGATCAATGGCGGTCTCGACGCCGAGGACGAGGTCGAGATAGACGAGCGCCTCCACCTTAAGGCCCGGCAGGGGCAGGGAGATTGGCTTAACGGGGGCGAAAAGGTTGACGGCGATGGTAGCGGCAGCGCCGATCTTGATATCCAGGTCAAGCTTGGCCTCGATGTCGGTCAGGGACAGGCTGAGAGCGGGGACGACCTTATCGAACGAGATGCTGGCTTCGATGTTACCCTTAGTATAGCAAGTGTCACAAACGATGGCGACCTCGACGTCGGCGCCGACACCGACAACCGGTGGGACAGCAACGCCGGCTACAACACCAGCGAGAAGGACGGTATCGCTGAGGTCTACTCCCAGATCGATGCTGGCGGAGATGGGTTCGCCGAGGTCCTTAGACAGGTCGAGGTTGAGGAGAGATCGCTCAGCCGGAGTCGAAACCGAACTGGCGCTGGCGAGCGAGGCCGCCACGGCCACGGCCGTGGAGCCGTAGGTCGCAAAACGCATCGCGGAAAGGGGCAGAAACGGCAGAAGCACTAAAGAGTGGACTGGAATAGATATTCCGGGAAGAAAAAGACAGAGAGTACAATGCCGAAAAGCACAAAGGAACGACTATCTTGGCCGAAGCTCGATGGAAGTGAGGAAGGAAGAGAAAGGGGAAGGGAGTAAGCCGACAGCGGCGGCGCCGGCTGTCTTTTCTATGCCCTCGTCCTCTCCATCACCGTTGCTTCGAGATGCGCACCAACCATCCCAGCCAACCAGTCAACGGCATATCAACTCAACCCAAGCGGACAAGGGCGTCGTGGTGTGGTGTTCTCCGCTCACCCGTTATCGCCTAGGGCGCGGCGGCTTGCTCGCTGGACTTGCACAGCCCACACAAGCCTCCTCGAAGCCCGGAGACCTGGCGGTCAGCTCGACATAGCATCGGCGTAATTCCGATCGTCACTTAAGGCGAATGTCGACGAGCCGACCAATGCCGGGCTGTGTTTCCCTCTCTCTAGGGAAGATGGCCTGTGGAGTCGACACGGTGGGTGTCCCAACGGTAAGGCTCTCCCCCTCCCTGTATGTCTCACCTCCTTTCCACATCGATGCCTGCGGGGTCCCATCACAGGGGTGTAACGGGCCAGTCGACAGGGCTTCCCATCCTCTACTCATACGTCCGGCAGCCAGCATTCTAGTCTCGTACACGGCTTCACGGGATGGGTTGGGATGGGGCGGGATGTGTACACCGTTTTTGGTTCCCATCTACCTACCCATACACCTGCTGCAGACATACACGTAGACACACACCTACATATTACATATACGAACCAGGACTAGAAGGGCAGGTCTGTCAGGGTGCCTACGTGCCTACGTAGTACGTGAAAGCCTATCACGGGGAAGAGCAAGAAGGGGGGAGAGGCACAGAGAGCTTCGCAGAGCTGAAGCGAAATAGGGGGGGGGACGAGGTGTTAATTCCTCGCCTGCCAGCGAACCAATCAGCCCCTGATACGGGGTGCCAACGGACTCCAGAGGAGAGGGAGAGAGAAGAAGAAAAAACTGGTCATTATTACACCTCGAGTGGACATGAGATATCACAGAATATGATTGGTCTCGAAAGCAGATTTTGGCCAGGGCCAGGGGGGGAGCGAGGTCTCATCGACTTGACGATACCACCATACACAGCAACACCACGCAGTCTCTTACATACACATCCGTCTATCCATCATGCATAATCTCGCTGTCGCTCTCTGCCTCTATCTCGGTCTGTCGGTCTCATCCACACATACGGCATACTCGCAAATTTGCATCTCTCTCATCTTATGCCGGCGGGCATATGCATGTGCGCATCTATTTTTGATGTACGCATATGTAAGCGTGTATACACACCCTCATGTGCTCCATCCATGTCAGGCTCGTCGACCCGGGATGACGTTTAGCCACACTCTCCCCCTTCCCCTCTCCCCGGCCAGCATCCCTACCCGGCTGTCGTTCAGTCACGTCGATTCGTAGCCTATTTGACCCCCAAGTGCCGCCCAGGACGGCTCTACTCCAGTGTTCGTACGAATCGTATCGTCCACCCAAGTCACTACAAAGCCGCCAAGCGGACAAGCCGTTTCAAATGGCGATCGACGCCGATTTGCTTGGCGACAACCAGGGTCCCTCCAATGCCACACCTCAAATTAGAAGGGGGGGGGGAGTCCAGGCCGTGCACAATACATATGGAGGTGACTAACAAAAACTGAAAGAAAATAAATAAAAACGCGCGATGGTAAGGAGATCGAATGAGATCAAATTGCAACAACACCCATCTGCCCCGTCGACGATGCTACCATCGCAGTGGCATGGCGGTACCTTGCAGACGGCAAGCCAGCAAAAGGGGAACACCCCCCCGAGCGCGGGAAACCCGGTAACGGACTATGAGTAGATATATATGTATATATTATATAAATGTTACGTGTAATATACAAGTATGGAATCTATCTATTCATCTGAATACTACATCCTGATAACTCGTATAGCTAGCTATATCACCAGTGTTAATGTATGATGTACGTTGCTGCCGCTGAGAACCGCACACTTACCTACTGGTATACACATAACTACACGCAGATACGCGTTATGGGCAGGTATATCCATACAACACCACATGCCTCTCCTCCGCGGCCTCACCCTGGCGGCGACATGGTATCCGTATGTGATCTAGGAGAGATCCGGCATGGGGCGCCGGCATGGTCGGTACACATGCATATGCACATGTACTTCATCTCGCTGAGTTCTCGACCTTCTCTCTCCGGCACGGAAATACCTCGCGAGCTCGCGTCGGCGTTGTAAAGCGTGCATGTAAGTGGTCGTCTCGGCGGTCGCGTGTACACACGAGCGTGTGTAAGCCGCCCAAAATAACGAGTCTACATACATCTAGATACACATACACACACATACATCCTCCTCCTTCTCCTCGGCCTGGTCCTGGCTTTACTGGCCTTGATGTGAACGAGACGAGATCCTGATCGATCCAGTCTGCCCACGATGCCAGAGACACGGGTTCGAGTCCAGTTTCTGCTGCAAATCGTCCACATACTCACATACACACACATATACATATACATATACACATACGGACAACCGTGTTCTTTCCTATCTCCAACTCTCTATCTCACGCCGAGATAATACCTGTGCACTTCTCCTGTCCCTCCCCCCCCCCCCTCGGCCAAGCTGCTGCAACTCCCTCTCCCTCCAGAGCTAGCAGTCCTCGGACCCGCAAACACCCGTTGCATTATTTCGACTTAATATAAGCTCTTTCGGGCTCGGCGTGTGCGGATGTCCCACCTCCCAAGCCCCAGCCATCGGCATCGTAAAGTGGGCTGGTGAATCGACGGCATGATAAGTGATACAAGCGGACTATTCCTCGTTCTACTGCCGCCTCTAATGCACACACACTCCCTGACAATTTAGCAATTAAGCAACAAGAGTACTAGTAGTCATGATGGTGAATAAGGGGGATCCCATGCAACGTGACAGGCTGCCGTGTGACAGCGCGCCGAAACGCGTGCTCAGTGACATACTACGGAGGAGCGGGCGGACAGAATCTCCAGTCTAGAGCTTGATCATCTCCGGCCTGGCTCGCTCCAGAAACAAGAGTAAAGATAGCAATAGCAGCAATAGATCCGTCCGGCCAAGGGCTGGGAAAGGTAGGTAATACATGATTCTCTGGGCTGCTATCGTTATGTATTATGGGAGTATTCCCAGCAGAATTTCCCACCGGCTCGACATGCCAGTTCAGGACAGCACCGCGCACACGTACACGCGCATATAAATATTGGGTATAGCCAGTCGCAGCATCTCGACGGTCTAGACTCATCACTGTGCGGGACCAGCCCCTCTGCGGTATTGTGACCAGGGGGGTGCCTTTGGATGATCCGTGAAGCGTCTGCGAAACCCAGCCGCATGCCACCTAAACCGGGTTTCCAGAACTCCTCACGAAAGTCCACGTCGAGACATATCAGAGACGACTCTTTGCTTTTCATCGAACACGGCCGGCAAATTGTACGTGGGGGCGGCGAGCTCAGATCCTCCCGTCGCGGCTTTCTCTCTGGGCTTGCAGGGGGGCTTATGGGGCGGGCTTACAAGGGGTAGTAGAGGCTGGTTGAAAATTTCCACATCTCACCACCATCCGCATTGTTATCCCACGCTGGTTTGGTGCCTCATATCCGTGCCTCACATTATCAGTTCGCGAGCTGGACAGCGCCGAACCCTCCGAAGCGGTGACAACGGCTCGAGACTAGATAGGTAGAACTTCGTAGATGGAGCCTCGTAAGACTGCACGCTTGCTAGCTACGACAAAACCCAAGTCTATCGGTACATACCTACATAGGCATACGTATGGAAATATGAATACTTACATACCTACCATATAATAGGCAGTATGGTGATAGGATGTTTCCAGATCGGTAATTGATGAAGAGCCTCCATGCCCGTCGACATGGGTGTTTGATTCCTATTAACGCATAGCCAACCCAGCGGCGGCGTATTAAGTCCGTTATACGAACGGACGTATGGATATAGTCGACTCCCCTCCAGTCCGTTGTAATAAAACGCAGCCTGTCTCTCGGTTCGCATTCCCCTGTCACGACTGCTCGTCCACGGATACCCCAACTCTTCCCTAGCTCTCGCCGTACAAGCAGCTTCGGGACCAGGAAGCACCAAACATAACCAAACTACGTATTACCGCGTTGTTGTCCCTGGGTCAAAATCACCTAGGGCATGATCTGTACGCAGCCATGTAGGTATGAGTAGTTTCACCACTCACCGACTCTGGCGTAAGGCGCGTGGGCTGATGGGAGCTCTTGTTGTACCAATGTCAATATCCTATCGGTTCGTCCTTCATACTGAGAAGCCCGTTCTTCATCCAACACGTACCTACCCATACGCGTATGCGCGGGGCATCCCCTATTCAGAGCATACCCAGCCAGTGCCATCTGTGGACATATTAGCCTACATGGATACACACGACACGCAAGCGGCCACCTTCGTGTCGTCCATGTCCCACTCCGATGATCGGGTCCTCGATCACGAACGTGTCGTGTCTATCCTACACAGGTAGGTTTATCCATGCACCCAATGTCGAACCCGATTCTGTGGGTATGAAGCGTCTGCTTTCGGTACCAGCTTTCTGCGAAGAGCGGGTTCGAAGTATGCGATACGGGGGGTGGATGGCATATAGACACGCGTATTTCTTTCTCGTTTCCACAGCGAATTCCCAGCAAAGATATGAATGTGGTCCAGGGATGAGCTGAAGCAGACGAGTTCGAGAAACGGTAAGGAAAAGTGGTCTCTGAGGAGAACATTCCGACGAGATTTTCCACCCCATAACGCTTACATACATGGGGAGGCCCAGAACGAGTGCGGTGAAGCTGGCACATACGCATCGATATCCTGTCGTCTCCCCCCCCCCCGGTGGCGCTCAGATCGACGTGCGCCGAGGGCTTGTCGCGTCAATGTACACAGTTAGTTCTAGAATTCTACCCGAAAGCAAATATTCCGAGACGCCTGCGGCTAGGTAGCAAGTCAGTCTTACTTCTAGTAGAAGGGATCACCTACATGCGTATATACGTAGAGGGAATCCGAGCCGCCGGGACCAAAGGATTCCCGTCCGTCTTGGCGCTCATGTCAAGTCGACGAGGCCCGTATCGTCAACCTTCGTCAAATCGATGGGGCCGGACTTGGGCTGGGCCTTGGACTGAGCCCCATCGGCGCAGAAATTCGGGCTGCCAGCGTCTTCGCTCATCGCGTCCGTTTCCATGTCGTCGTCAGACTCGTCTGAGTCCTTGACCGTCACCACACTGGCCTGACGGCGAAGATTCCACCCCCCCAGGCACTCAACCTCGCTAGACGACCGACTGAGCTCCCTCTCCCCAAGATACTCCACGTCGCTACCGTAGTATTCGTCGTCGTCGTCGTCTTCGACATCATAGTCGACGCTCACCCCGCCACTGCTCTCTCCCTCGGACTCGGCGAGTCCACTGTCGTCAGCATAGATACGGTCCCTCTGCTCTAGCCACTTCCTCAGATGTCTGAACAGCGTCTCGACCGCCGGGGGCGGGAACGCATTCCCGATCTGCTTCTTCTGGTCTGGCTTCTCAAACTTGTAGTCCGCAGGGAAGCCTTGGAGCACGGCGTACTCACGGAGAGTGAAGTCTCTCCTGCCGTTGAAGTGGTAGTTGCCGACTCCGCCGTTGCACGTAATCGTGCGAGCCAGCGGCAAGTCGGGATTCCAACGAGGCTTGTAGATCCTCTTCAGCTCGCGCGGCTTATGGAGTCTGTCGCCCGTGAGGCGCCGGGGGATCTGCCGCAGCACCTGCCGCACCGTCCGGTACGGCCTCGTTCCCTCGCTCGGCGTCGGGTCGGCAGCGTGCGTCGCGCCTGGGTAGGGCGGGAGCTCCTCGCCCGCGCAGGCGCCGATCATAATCAGGCGCAGACGCCGCGCCGGCGACCCCCACGACAGTAGGTTCACCACCTTCCATCGTACGGAGTAGTTGTATTGGGTGAAGCCGCGGACGAGCGCGTTGAAATAGTACTCGAATTGCGAGTGCAGAATGCCATAGGTTTGCTCCAGCGTAAATACCCGAGGTCGGAAGATCTTGACGAGCTCGTGGCAGCAGGATAGTATGGCGATGTTCGCCTCGTCGTTGACGCCGGGCGTCGTGTGGGCGGGAGACCAGTACTGGCACGGGGGTGAGAGGTGAAGCACGTCGACGTGGACGTACGAGTTCCGCATCTCGTCGATGAAATCGTACATGTCTTTGCGGTGCAGCTCGGCTTCCGGGAAGTTCTCGGCGTACGTGTTGCAGGCCCCCTCGGCTTTATCACAGCTCAGCGCGATGCGGAATCCAGCAGATCTAGCCCCGTACGAGGCTCCGCCAGCTCCGCAGAACATGTCAGCGAGGGTGTATTGCTGGCCAGGCTCGCTAACGGCCCATCCGTCACCCGGCGTCGTCTCCTGGACGTCTGGGTCGTCGACGTGTACTATTAGCTGCCCTTGGGCGGCGGAGGCGCCTCCGCGTACTTTCCCGCCCCGCCAAGCATTCGTGAGATGGACGTCCGGGGCCCTGAACTTGTCTTTAGGCACCTCGTTGGCGCCGATACGCGTCAAGACGAACTCGAGCGGGGGTTGCTTGCGGAGCCGCTGAAGGGCATTTCCCCAGATGCGACGGTACTTCCAACGGCATACGAGGGCGGCCCTCTCCTCGATCTCCCAGACATCATCGTAGAGTTCTCCGGGGTAACGGTGCTCGGGGAAGTTCTTGTTCGTGATGTAGCAGGTCCGGGTTCTTCTGACCCTATCCAGGGGGATCTCAATTGCCGCCTGTTCCTCGTCGGGCCGACTATCATCCTGGTCGACGCAGAGAACGAAGGCTATCTCGTTGCGGAGCCGTGGGAGCTTTCCTCGTAGGTACCTTGTGCGTGTTAGCGGAAGTCCCCGAAGTACGATGGCCGCTTCAGTCTGGACGACGGATTGGATGTAGAGAAACGAGGCGTAAAAGTGATCCTCTTCAGGGGGCATAATTTCGACTGTAACGCCGGACTTCAGTAGCGTGTTGTTATGAGTATAGCTCTCCAGTCTGCAATCCGGGGGCGCTATCGAGGGGTTGCGCCTGGGGATGATAGCCCCTCGAGGGAATCTCTGCCTCCGTTTCCTAGTTGTTAAATCAACAACCTCTATGACTTTAGCGATATCGGGTTCTAAATTTATGGCGTCCTCGTATTCTTGCTCCCGTGCCTCAAAGTTGCCGTCCCGTCCTTCGGTTAGATCAATCGCGGTATTGTCGCCACCAGGTAAGAGCTCTCGAAAGCGACGCTCGATGGCCGCTTGCGTGCCGTTCACCGGCTGCTCCTCGCCCCATATCTTCTCGAGCTCGGATGGTAGAGCGGCATCAAGCACGAGGTTGGGAGTAGAGCACATAGCCAACCGAATCTATAGTTGAGCTTAGTTCTCGAGGTTAGCAATCTGTCTCTTCATATTAGCATGCTATTGTGACAATTCCTCACAAGCTACCTATGGTGACTTGCTTACCTAGGAATGCCAAGATAGATTTGCCTTATCTTGAGGAGCTCCAGGCGTTGGGAATTCTTCTATAAAGGCATATAGTGTTGCTTCCGGGCTCTGGGCTTATCATGTTTAATACGTACACGGTAGTCTTTTTAGACCACTGACTTTTAATATGAAGTACATATCGGCTGGTGAGTTGAGGGGGAATTTAATTATCAATTCTTACCAGGTTGGCAGTTTCTGCTAACTATAGACGCTGAACTAAGAACAGAAGATGGGGCAGAATCTTCACTGGGTTTCGAGGTTATTGGTACAGATATCAATGAGTTTTGTACTCCAGCTAGGCAACGTCTAGCTTAAGAAGACTGTTATTAAACACGGCAGAAAAGGAAAATCACGAAGGGCGAGGGGTGGAAAGGGGAGACTAAAGACAAGCCATTTACTCTCCCAGCTCCGTTGTTACAGTTATAAGGAGTCGCTCAAGCTAACCCCCTAGTGGCCTTTAGCGATGATACCTAAGTATGTATTGCTTGAGCACGAGAAATTGCTTACACAGGAATGTGTCTCAGGCATATTCGTGGCTAGAGAGTCCTCAGCTAGAGAGTTCTTCCAGTTGAGCCAGTTATTGAAAGAATATCTATCGTCTCTGCCTTGTTAGCAGAACATCTCAAAGCAACCCGAGGTATACCTACTATAGATGAAAGTCCATGTTGATTAGGTATACTTTGCATAAAGAAAGGTACCTGGCTGCTATAGAGACAGCCGCAAGGGTACCCTTTGTGTTGATGTTAGAGGGTTATGTTGGTACTATTGGGTGTATTATGTTGTAGGAGTTTGGGGTGTATTACCTACCTCTGTAGCTGAGGCGCCTCTATTATGGAATACCTATAGCATTACCTGCATAGTAATGGTTAGAAGGATGAAAGGTCAGGTGTACCTACCTGGTAGGTGTGTGGCACCTGAGGAATCAGGCATTAAGAAAGGAGCCCTATGATTAATAGAATTAAAGAAAAAATACGTAACAGCTAACTATTCGTAAAACGCTATATTTAAGCCCTTTTAATAGTTTAATTTCTATACCTTTAATTAATTAACTAAGTTTACCTTTTAATTCGTTTTACGTATCTTAAGATTAAGGTAGTAAGGCTACGAAAGAAACCGCTATTAAAACGTATAAATAATTATTTATTATAAGTAAAACGCTAGTAATATAATTATTAATCGATTAATAATAATTAAAGTTATTCTTAATCTTTTTACGGCTTTACGAGCCGTTCTTAATACTTTACGATATCCTTACCGCTTATCCTAGAGTCTTCTTCGCTAGGAAAGACGAGCGCCGAGCCTACTACCGACCTAAAAGCCCTTATAAGTAATCGAGTTACTTACGGTAGAATAATAAACGGTATTTATAAACGCATAGAGCTTTTAGCTCGTAATTTCCGTATAGAAACGACCTTCCGTATAGAGGAGCTTCGAGTTAGCCTCGAGCGGAGCTTTAAATAACGTTTCGACGAACGCCTCGAACCTATATAATAATAGCTATAAATAATAATAAAATATATTACGAAGCGTAAGAATCGTAAGATTAATTAATCTATAAGTTAATTACTTAAACGGATTACCTTAAGCTCTTTTATACGAGCTAGGACTACTTAATTTACTTTACCGCCGATAGGTAAGATTTTAAGAAATACGAGGCGATAATAGCCTAAATAACCTAGATTTAAAGCTATCCTATAATATGGTTCTTAAGGCTTAGCTCCTACTTAAGCTTTATCTTTAATAATAAGTATGGCTTTTTTTATAACCCTTTCTATCGCTTCTTTTATAATATCTCCTACTACTCTTTCCGTAATACTTCTTATTACTTATCCCGCCGTACCTTTAGCGATTCCTTATACCGTTCCGCCGGTTAGGCCGCCGTTAATAGCGGTAGCTACGTATCCGGTACCGTTTTTACCCGTATAAGAGGCCGAACCTAGCTTATAATATACGTCGGGAAGAATTAATTTTTACGGATATATAGCGTTAAGCGTAGCGTTTACGCGGTAAAAGGTAAGAGTTAAGGCCTTATAGCCGGGAATAATCCTCCCTAGCGAAGTAGTATATCTTTATTTATCGGATAATAAGAATAAAGTCGTAATACCTTTAAGCCATCGATTAATATAAGCCGATAATATAACCCTTTAGAAATTAAACGATATTTAGAATCGTTTTTAAGGCGTATAGGTCCTATATAATTATTAAATATAACGAATAAGAATCGAATTAATAGGCGACTTTTAGTAGGTCGTTATTTTCGCTCGAAATTACTTACCTTCGTAAGTAACCTTCGTAGAAGATATCCTTTAAGTATTCGTAAATAACTACGTATTTTATAGCCTAGTAACGTCGCTTACGACGTTGCTACTTTTTTAAAACGAAAGTATTATTAATTTTATACGCCGCTTACGTAAGGTATTTTATAAATTACCTTATTAAGGATAATAAATAATATAAATCCGCGAGGTAGTCCTCGATTTAATCCGTAATTACCTACCTAGTATCTAGATAGTTATAGAAAACGGCCTTCCTATATAAAATACGTACGATATTATCGAGCGTATATTCCGCTACGTAAGATCTTTTACGCGTAAGGCGATTAAAGCTAAAGTTTACGATACGCTAGTAGTTATAATATAATTATATAGCGGCTCCGCTCCGTTTTATTAATTAAATATATCGGTAGTAAGGAGGAGCAGAGCGTACGCGATACTGGAGACCCGGATAGGTTTATTCGAAAGTATACTCTATCGAAGACTATAGTACGTACGATGGTTTAAGACGGATGAAACTAATATCGCTATACTAATCGAAAGGCAAGGAATCTAATATAGTTATCGTATTTTAGCTATGCCCCTTAGTCGTAAAGATATAATAGTCGCTAACCCGAAGGTATAAGAGGTAAGGAAAGAAAAGGAGTAAAACGTAAAAGTTACTTATTCGGCTATAGCGGTACGACGAAGTAACTTAAGCGCCTATAATTAAGATAGATATATTAATCGGAGAACGACGAATCTAATAATAAAAACGAATCTTTAATTAAGGTAAAAATAATAAAGATAGTAATCTAATTAGGTAATAAATTAAATAATAAATATAGTATATTCCGTACTTACGGGAGCTATGGTTACTTTATATAGGTATAAGGCTTATCGTAGCGTATTATGTAATATATTAAAAGAATATATCTTACCGTATTTTTATAGCCTCCTTAGTTTAATTATACCGTAAGGGATAATTAAACTAAAAAGGGTAGTACGATATGTCCTGATTAATATCTCCCTTTAAAATCTACCGCGAAACTCTATTCCTTCGGCTATTATCTAATTACTACGGCCGCGCCTTTAACTTTTCGTTTAATATTATAAGGGAGCCCCTTTATTACTTTATAACTAACTTAACCCGGTTTACCCTTACCGATCTAGCCCGATCAGCGTTTTCTTTCTTTATCTCGGCTACCTTCTTCTTAATCTCGTCCTAGCCCTCTTAGTTAAGGGAATAGTAGGGAAGCGGACGCGTCTTAAGGGTTAATTAAGTATCTTTCCTTTACTTATACGGTATAGAGGTTTCCCCCGATTAAAAAGCCTTAATTCTTTTTAGTTCGGAGGAAGGAAAGGGACGCGTTATAACTTTAACGAGGTTATTATAGCGGAAGTTTACGTTCGCTAATACGAAGGAGTAAGGAGGATTAGGTATTAAGGTTATAAAGGAACGATAAACTTCGGCTTATACGATAAACCGAACGAAGGATTTACGGTTAAGGAGCTCGCCGATCGGCGTACTTTAAGCGGATATTATAACGTTAATAAGGTTAATTCGCTTTTAATAATTTACGACTTACCGAAGACGCTTAACGATACCTACCCCTTCTTTTAAAACTCGAACGCTATAAAACTATTCTATTACTTCGGCGTATTCTTTTATAATATTAAGAGGGTCGAGCCTCTTATTTTCTTAAGCCTAGCGCGCGACTTCGATCGGTCGTTTAAAGATAAGATACGGTAGAATGCCGCTTTAAAAACCGTAGCTATAGCTATTTTATTAATCTATTAACGCGATATAATAAGTAAACTAAGGGGTTATACCGGGCTCGAGGCTACCGTTTCCTTAGGCTCGCTATAATTAACCGAACGCGTACGCCGCCCGATCGAAGGCGCCGTCTTTAACTATATTAAAATTATATAGTTTCCGGAGCTTAGGAAGGTATAGCGTTATAGCGAAGTAGGCTTAGGAGAACTTCGTAAGGTCGGTAATAATTCGTTCGGGGTTTATTAGATCCGTATAGATCGTAAAAATTAAAATAAAAGTAGGGTTATCGAAGAGGTATCGGCGGGTTAGGAAATCGAACGATCCTATCGATCGATAGCCTATCGTTTAATACGGGTTTATTTCGAAGGCCGCTTTCTTACTTTCGAGGTCGTAGTTTATTATAGTATAAAAGGTACGGATATCCTCGTTAGTAAGGTAGTTATAACGGGCGATATAAACGAAAGAGTTAACTAAGGTTACCTTCGTTTATTCTTATTATTATTAGTTTATAATTCGGAACCGATTAACGGATAGCCGGAAGGCCTAGGCTATATTAGATCTTAACTCGATCTAATCCTTCCTCGAATCGTAATTATTTAAAGTATTAAGTTAATATTTCTCTATATTACTTTAGTTATCTTTACTACTATAAATCTCCCGTAGGAGTTCTATTAGGTCGGTTAGATCGGCGCGACGTACGTTTCTATAAACGGAGGAAAGGGAAAAGGAAAGAGGGATTCCGGCGGAGTGGAGGGAAGATATAATAAAAATAAAAAAAAAGAATTAGGAGGAGAAGGAGAAAAGATAATAAGTTAAAGGTAAAAATAAGGATTTAAATT